GTTATTCACATAAGAAATTCTTCTGCCTAAATGAGCATCTACTGCTATAGCTTAATACCATTTATCTTTTCTAAAAAAGAAATCTTCAGGTTTAGTAGCTTTGATTCTTTTACTCATTTTAGTTTTATCATATGGCATATAATTCTCATTTGATACATATGATAACTCTCCTGTATAACCAAATTCTCTCAAAGTTGTTAGACAAGCAAATGCAGCAGCTCCTCCTCCATAGATTATTACTTTTCTTTGATCATTATAATCTCTGAAATGATATTATGGAATTATCTTTTTTGGTACAATTAGAGGAGCATAAACTTCAATTGAGTCTTCATTTTCTTTTACTCCAAATTTAGGTAAATTATCAATAGATGGAGGTCCTTCAACCATACCATTTGTAATATCGAATTAGCATCCATGTTTTGGACAATATAATTTATCACCAAAACATATTCCTTCTGATAAATCTGTTTCCAGATCATATGGACACAAACTACCAAAAGCATATATTTTTCCTTAATATCTAGTTAAAATAATTTAATAATCTTCATCTCCATTCTATATAACAAATGGCATTAATTCTCCTTCTTTTGGTTTCTTGAAACTTGTATATGTGATTAATTGAGTATTGTTATAATCTAGCATTTAAGCTGTCTAAATTATTCCTTTCTTCTATTCTTCAGTTAGATCACTCTACAACTTGCAGCTACTTCGAATACCTTTACTAGCAAAGAGAAATATGGGAATTAATTTCAATATTCTCCTCCTCATTTAAAATTTAATAAAATTGTTTTTTGATATTGAATATATTTTATTTAGTGTATAAAAATAAATTTTCTATTATTTATATAATTCAAAACTATTTTCATCCTCTAATTCTTATAAATCACTACTTTTACGACAATTTTGATTTTAAATCTTCTATTAAAATTAAATTAATAGATAAATCTAATTCATTTTAAAAAGTAAACAATAAATATATAAAGTATTAGCTACTAATAATTAAATTCATTTAAGGCATTCAAATTGTTGTGTAAATAAAATTAATTTATATATAAGCATAATTAATCTAAACTAAAGAATATTAAAATCTAATCCTTATTAAAGTCTTATATTTTTAGATATTTCTATAGTTATATATTAAATAATGTTTAACAAAAATGTATATTTAAGATGATTTTAATGAGTTCTAAATAAAATTTGAATTTTTCAAAATAATGATTTGATTACTACACAAAATAATTCTTTTTTACAATAATGAATATTTTAGTTTATGTAAACACCAATATCTTTATGATAAAAGAATCAGAATGGGTTTTTATTTTCATTAGAATATGTATGTTAATTAATAAATAATATATTAAAATCAATGATATAAGATTCTTTATTTGCTGAATCCTTTTGGAATCCAATTTCACTTAATTCATTTTCAAATGATGACGATTATGATGTATAAATTTTGATTTCCTTTAATATAGGTGTTTTAACTATACTAAGGAAACACCTCAGTACAAATAAGAGTCATCTCAGGGTAATTATTAGCCAGTAGTTAATAAATGGATTTATTACAAACATTCATTACATTAGATGAGAAAGGAGTGACACTTTAAAATAAATTTGGATAAATTACATTCTAAGGACCATAATTATAGTAGTTTTATGAACACATCAATAAATATTGTATGCATTTAGATATTCATAATCATTATGCAATTGAAAAATAAACTCACTAATTAGATAATTTTGAGGTATAAGTAATGGTCTATAATTAGATTTTTCAATCTAGAGATAAAATGACTGGTATTTAAAAGTCAATAAAAAAGTATTCAAAAAACTTAGGAAAATCCTATTTGTAGAATATTATCAACTATAAGAATTATGAATATTTATTTGAAGATGACAAATATCTATATTTGGTCATGTAATATTTAAATGGACAAAAAATCAACAATTTAACTTTGGAGGAGTCCTGCTTTGGATTACTGAAACTATTGTATAAATATCATAATCAAGGATTCATTTTAAACACTTTTTCTGTAACTATATAACATTTATATAAGGAATCCAATACTATTTTATTAGATGAAAATTATAATCTGGAAATACTGGATAATTCTTAACTTAAAAGAATTACATCAGATTATAAAAAAGAAATATTGTAAGATGTTCAAACTATTCATAATTATCTTTTATAAAAGTACTATAATTAATATTATTCAGATTCCCCCATAAATAAGATATTTTATTAAGCATTTTAGACATTAAAATTTAATCAGTCCAAGAATTACTCTTTAATTCATTTTTTATTAATTACTTTGGAGAAAGTAACTTTTTTGTGTTCTTAAATTCTTAACCCTATCAAAAATTAAACTTTATCTCTTCTAATTCATAATTCAATTTGCTTGAAACTTTCAATACTATTAGATCAAGTATGATGGATTCTTCAGATGAATCAGATGATGTCTAATAAAATAATCAGTTTAATTTTTGTCATTCCTAATTTGAAGATTCTCCAATGCTTTCTCCTAAATTAAAGCCTAAACATCAATCAAGATTATCAAGTAGATAAGTTGTATTAGAAACTTTATTAAATGAATAAATAATTACACCATAATAGTTCTAACAGTTTTATAAAGAAGAAGATTTTTAAAATGAATAAGAAATTAATGAATTTAGTGAAATGCTCTCTAAGGAAATTGAAAATTCTTAATTAACAACACCTATTTAAAGTGATGTAAGTATTTTATTTATTATTAGTCTACTGCTACATGTCCTAATACAGTCATTATTCACTCTAGAAAAAATGTAGTCAATCGAATAAGTGATATAATACTTGAAGCATAATAGGAATTTATTTAAGCTACAAAAAAACCCTATAATGTTAATAAAGTTTAGAATGTAAGAAAGAATCTATTCAATTTACATTGATATTCTTTATATACCTTATACATAATTTTGTTTATTTATTAATCTTTCTTATTTATAAACAAATTTAGCCGTTTTGAAAAAATTTTCAATATAAAACTTCATTTGTTATTTAGTATGGTTTAGAATACAATCAAATCAATATCTATATTTTAGGAATGGTAATCTAAAACATTTAATACCATTCCAAAAACAAAATTCATTCAAATTATACAGTAGCCATATGTTATAAAATTATAATAAAGCTATTAATTACTTTTACTTTCAATAATTATATATATATATATTATAATAAGTGACTTATATAATATTAGTAATAGAAGGATTAACTCATTTAAATGTTTACAATGAAATTCCTTCATCATATATTAAATAATATTGAGATAGTATATAACAGAAATTAATTTAATTTCTATGAAGACTAGGTCACTAATATTGATTTTACATAAAAATCAAGAATATTGTTGTATTAACATTTTTTAGATTTATTTAAAATAACACACACATTATGAATCATATACTGTAATCTCATTAATTTTAATTTTCATTTTTATTTTCTTAAATATAAATTTTGGTTTACTGAATTAATTTTACATAAATATAAATCACACATATTTTTTCTTTTATTTTCATAATCTTAATTATTTAATATTACATGATTCTACTTTATTAGACTTATATATTTTTATTTTTAGATATAGATCTAAATGTTCATTCAAATTTTTTTAGAAACTCATTAATTTCTCTGTAATTTCATATAAACAATCTTAAAATTATTATTATGTTACCAATTTCATAACTTAAAATTATTTCAAACCTCTTTCTGATTAATATCTATTTCTTTAAGATAATATGTAATAAATTTCGTAATGAAGGGTTGTTTATATTAAAGATTTAATAATATTTATTAAAATTAGAATTGTGATTAGAATTTTCATATCATTTAATATTATTTTTAATCTAAATATTAGAATAATAACAATGAATAACTTAAATATAGTTTTTATATAATTCAGTGGAAAATAAACAACGTGTAATTATTTTTTAAATAAAATAATTTAACAAAGAAAGTGAAAAATGTGGCTCTACTATATATATATATATAATAGTTAATCAATTATCTATTCTGAATTTATAATAATTTAATTATCTATAAATATAATTTATCAATAATATCAATATTCCTTCTCACAAAATGAAAAATATTCTGAAATTACTACATAAGACCAAATACAATTGAATATTTATTATTTAAGTAAATAGGCCAATTAGAATTTCTTACTCATAAGTATTTATTTTGGATCTTCTTTAAAGTTCTTTCCCCAATGTTCTATTTAAGGAAACCAAACATCAAATGTTATACTAATCAAACTTATATAAAATCTGAATTTAATTAATTTAGTTAATGAATTCTATAAATTCTGTTTTGATTCATCTTTTGGTTTATGTGTATATTGATATTAACATAAGGAGAATAAACTTAAACCAATAAATCCATAATATAAAAAATGAATAAAGAATGCATCAAATAATATAGTTGGTTTGCTTACAAAATACATTAATGAAAAATATCTAATTTGATGTTGATTAAATTCAGGAAATAACTTCTCTCTAAAAGATTTCAATAATTTATTATAAAAATAAGCACTTGGCAATGAAACAAATCCAATGAATCCAAAATTAAGTCCTACATCTCTTATTTATAATTTATCTTTTTAAGTTAGATACAAGGGGATATTTAATAAAGATCCTTAATAAATAGTATTCACTAAAATATTCAATACCATATTTTTATTAATATATATATGAATTTAAATTAAACAAATAAAATATTTTAGGAGGCATTTGAGAATAGTTAAAAAGTACCACCATTAGTAAATAGAATCCAAATTATTCCTTTGAAATAGTTAGAGGGTGATTAGAAATCATTATTGGAATTATACAAAATATAATCATAAGAAATGAGAAGAAAATATAATAATAACAGTGAATTATAATAGACGTTAGAGAGTAAATTTATTAGTAGAAATTCATCAAAATAAACTTTATTCTGATATTATTAATATTAATTTTAATATTCAATAACCACTCTTTCTCTTTTATTAATCAGTGTCTAGCATTTAATATTAACCATAATAATTGTAATTCAGATATTACTAATTATATTAATAATATTGTTGTTCGTCATTGTAAAAGTTTTGAGAATAATAATATGCTTAATCTATTTAGGACACTTATAATGTTGGATCAGGTGTTTATGTTGTAGATGCAAAGGTTTTACGACGACTAAGAATTAGATTTTGAATACTTATTAGGTATGTAACCTTTTCCAATTCCATAAATAACATTCATATTCTTTTCGAAATCACTTTACAAATCTGGAAAACAAAACTTCATTTGATAATAACATTGTAATGTTAATAGAGCATCAGATCCAGCTTAATGTTCAGGACCTATACGTGTTACTTCAACTTTAGTTGCTAGTCTACTGAGACCTGCATCCTTATATTTAGGATTGTCTTTAAGTATGTATTTTAAATCATAGATTGATGGGAAATAGAGTTTCATCATTTTATAGAATTCATCTTATGTTTCAGGAATACCAGAATGATGAAATAGATGCAATAGATATCCAAAATCAAATTCACCATGAAATACAACATATTTAATTTCATCATTTAAAATTAATCCTATTAAATATGCAATTATTAATACCACTCCCTGTAACCACTTCACAAAATTCAGAATAATCAATTCCTTTTGATGCCAGATCATCAAATTTAATTCCTGCTTGTTCTAACATGTTTTTGACAGAACTCATAAGCTAATCATATCTATAAGTATTTAAATAAAATGATACTGAGCATTAAATCTGAAATGAAATTGCCATGTATTTTTGGCTAAAGGTACTTCTCCTGCTTCATTTGCTAAACTAATTCCTAATTAGATAAGTTTATATTTTTGAACATTTCTGACTAATTATAAATATTCATAATCCTAATATATTACTATATCACAATAACCTTATCATCACTTTCTGGTTAATCATATTCTGTTCCTGGAAATTCTGTGTCCTAAAATCAATAAAATCATTACTAAGGATATAACATTAAATTCTTCTATTAAATCAGCAATTTCTGCAATTTCTGCTTAAAAATTGTGTGCCCAAACGTCAACAATATTTGTCTTATTAAGATGTGTTAATTTCACTCTTGGATTGGATTCTTTTAACTTCTTTAAATACTAGCAATTACTTTTCTATGCATTTTGATAATTAATTTAATATATGTATATTATTGCATATTTAATATCTCAATATGATCTTCCCCATAATACATACTTCTTTGCTTATTCACCACAATTGAAACATAATTCTCCTTCTTTTACTTAATCTTACTTTAATGGCATACATAAAGTCTTAGCACTACCAGTTAATTAAACTTATCCATCAATTTCAGAATCCTTTTCTTTAGATTCTATACCTGACTTTGTTTTTACTTACTTTTCACATTCTTATCTTTCACACCTAAATTAATATCATAATTACCATTTAGTTAATATAGTATTTCTTTGATTTAATTAACTCATAAATTCTTTCCAATTATCAGCCTATTTTATTCTTTAATTTAATTCAATTTTAGCTTTTTCTAACATGTTATTATGAATATTATCAAGTATTTAATTTAATTAATTAAGTTCGTCTATCTTAATTTAATATTTCTTATTATCAAATCTTTAAACAACTCTAACTTCATTATTTTTGAATTCTCCAGGTCCTATTTCTAATCTAATAGGAACTCCTTTTTATTCCCATTTATTAAATTTCCATCCAGGAGAATAATTATCTCTACTATCTAAATGTACTCTTAATTTTTATTTAATCAATCTATAAATTTTATTAATATAATAAATACATTTATCTAATTTATTCACATCTATCATTTAATTATGTCTCATCAAGATCTTTATGAATAATTGGAATAATAACAATTTAATATTTAGCAATCCTTGGTGGTAATACTAAACCTTTATCATCACCATGAAACATAATCATAGCACCAATAGATCTAGTTGTTAAACCCCAACTTGTTTACCAAGCAAATGCTTTTTATTTTTTATCATCTTCAAAATTAATCTCAAACATCTTGCTGAAATTTTATCCTAAATGATGAGATGTAGCACCTTATAAACCTCTTCCATTTTATGGAATGATTGTTTCTACTGTAGTTGTAAAATCACCACCTGCAAATTTCTCTGATTCTGTTTTAATCTATATATATTTTTAAATATTTATACTCCTTTTATAACAGGAACTGCTAATAATTCACCATAAACTTATTCATAAAAATCTAAAATTGTATAAACTTATTTAACTGCTTCTTCTCTTGTTGAATGAGCTGTATGTCCTTCTTACCATAAGAATTCTCTTGTTCTAATAAATGGAGTTGGAAATTTGAATTCCCATCTCACTATATTTGTCCATTAATTCACTTTTAATGGTAAATCTCTATGACTCTATACCCACTTTGCAAATGCTGGATACATAATTGTTTCTGATGTTGGTCTAATGGCTAATGGTTCATTTAGATCACTTTCTCCATATTTTGTTACCCAAGCAACTTCTGCTTTAAATCCCTCTACATGTTCCTTTTCTTTATTCAAATGTTTTGCAGATAGAAACATTGGGAAATAAGTATTTTCAACATCTTCTGTTCTAATAAGATCATCAAAAAATCTTTAAATTTATTCCCATATGAAATATGCCCATGGTCTTAAAATATAACAACCACTAACATCATAATATTCAATTAATTCTGCTTTTCTTATTACTTATTAATACCATTCTGAAAAATCTGATTTTTTTACTGTAATAGCTAATGTTTATAAATTTTATTGATCTTTTTATAAATCTTTTTATTGTTCTTTTTATTATTCTTTTTATTATTCTAATTTTTATTCTGCAGCAGCATCTGTTAATTATAAAACTGTAAATTATCTGTTTAATATTTTAAGGAACTTGTTTTATAAATCATCAAGTGAAATTTCAATGGTACTTGTATTTTCAATTGGATGTAACGCTAATCTTTAATATTTAATCAATTCTTCATCAATAATAATATTTTTGACCTATATTATATATTATTGAGCAATACTAAATTATTTATATCATTAGCAACAGCAAAAGGATTGACATTACCTTTACTTGATTTCAAAGCTTCAGCAATCTATTCTTCTTTACTTAATCTCATGTTTCCAGATGCTAATCCAAGTGTTTTCCAAAACAATTTACCAACTTGAGTTGTATGATTAGCTAATATCAAATAATAATTAGACTAATTTATAATAATATATATTATACTTTCTTATCAACATACAATAGATTCTTTACATATGCTGTTCCATCTGCAACTTTAATTTTAACAACTTCTTCCATAGTTGGAACAGGATCATGATGATGTATAATATAATCTATTCCTAGTTTTGTTAATTAGTCTAAACAGGCTTATTTATTTGGTAATTAGAAATTATTGTCCATTAAAATATTAAAAATAATTTTGAGATTATTTAAATGATAACTCAGATATTCATTAACTTTTTAATATATATAGATATATAAATATTATAATCATTTTTCTATGTTTTTATTTTATCTATTATAGTAACATGTATATCCAATGAAAAGAATGTCAATCAATACAGTGATGAAAAAGAGATAAAATTGAGCAGAATTTAATTAATATACTCCAAACATTAAATTTTCTCTCATTGAATTTAATTGATTCTTAACATAAATATCTGAGCAATCAAGATTTATGACTTAATCCAAAAAATCTAATTCTTTTTGAATTTTACTAAATTCAAGTGATATTAATATAGCAAATGGTACATAAATTACAAATTTAACACCAATTTCAATTAAAAATAGTCGTTTTGATGTCTCATCTTAATCTTTTGTTTATAAACAGGGTATTTACTTTCCCATAATATTCATAAAAGTAAATGTACTTAATACAATTGAGATAATAACAAAGAAAAATACTGAAATAACAAGCTAAGATGTTAATCCATCCAAAATTTCATTCAAATATATTTATTGATTTAAGAATTCATTTAATTCCTATCCTCTACATTTCATTTTCCAAGGAATATATGATCTCTAATACAATCCTTAATAATAATTATTCATATATACCCCATTTAGTTTGATTTGAAATTTCAAAACCATTTAAAACTTTACTTAAATTAGATAAACCATTAATATTATAAAAAATATCTTCTGTAGTTAAAGCGACTTCTTCAAATCTTGGGTCATATTAACATTCCTTTCTTTTAATCCTCATAAGTGGATAATCCTCCCTTCCATTTGTGATACCATATTCATTATTTCTTAAACACACTCCTCCTTATCCTATTCTAATTTCTGCTACTGGTAAATATTCATTTGAAGTTCTTGAATAAATTATTGTATCTTAGTCCAAAGTATTTCCTTCCTCTTAATTTTCTAGAATATTTTTACTTTTTAATCCTATTCTTCTTATAGGACATACTTTTTCTTAAGTACAATAAAATTGATCATCATTTTCTCCACATTTTAAAAATCCATCACGACAATCTTTACGTTTAGGTGCCCATTTATAAAAATTATTATCTTTTTCTCTTGTTGCACATAATTAGAATCCTGTTTTATTATTTGAACTTGGAAACAAAATAAATTATTTTTCATTTATACTGCTGATTGTTGAACATCCAGATCGTAATTGTGTTTAATTGCATTATTTACCTACTATCAATTCATTTAGTTTTAATGACTAAATGTTTTCCTCTTATAATAATCTTGTTTTTGTAGAACAGTCACATCCATCTATTGTTCCAGGCCATTTATATTCAATTAAAGGTTCTTCCTATTTCCTTAAGATAGATAAACTACTTCTTAAGAACAACTTCCATTAGTGATTTTAATTTAAACTAAAGGTTGTTGATGCCAATTTAGTATGATATATTCATAATTATCAATTGTGTATTAGAAAGATGAATAAGATAGTATTGATAAGGTTAGTAATATGATCCCTAATATTATTAACCAAGACTAATATGCTATCTTTAGTCCTTTTTTTTTAATTGAAATTTGAGATTTGCTAGAATCTGTATTTTCTGAATATCGTCGCATATGAAATCAAGAATGAGAAATAAATTTATAATAATTAATTTTAAATTGTGTTAATTTAATTTAAATGAACCCTCCCTTAAGATAAATTTATTATCATTGATTTTCATCATCTATTTCTTATTAAGATATATTGACTTCTGCTTCTACTTCATCTTCTTATTATTATTATTAAATGTTCTCATTTTCTTCTTCATTTTCATATTCTTATTAATTAATATCTTAATTATTATTTTATTCTTAATATATTTCATTATGATTCTCATTTTAAAGAGATTAATTTTACTCTGCATATTCTTTATCCTCTTATTTTTATTCAATAACTTGATTTAATTATTGTTTTTCAAACTATTTATGAGGACCAAGATGTAATTAATTAATCAAATTTGATGATTATAATTCAATATATTACCAATATTGAATCTATTCATCAATTAATTTTTATTCTAATTCTGATACTTATTTTATTAGATTTGAATAGAATTTAAATTTTATATCTTAAAATCGTTCAATTTCTATAAATCCAATTATTGCTTACATTATATCAATTAGATTTTATAAATTATCTAATTCATTTTAATTTGTTTATATCTATATATTTAAATGACTTTTAAGTTATTCTGGTGTTTATTTATTAAATATATTTTTTAAAAAGTTAGGATTTTTACCATCATTTACATTATTTAATTCTTATTATGTTTCTAATTATTTAGCTTCTAATTTCTTTTTTAATTCTTCATATTCTTTTTTAGTTTTCAAACTCTAATGAAATGCCTAAACTTAATAAATTATAATACAAGACCTTAATATCTTTCAATTCTTATCTAATATATTCATATAGTTTATCTATATTTCTTCTTTTGAAAATGACACTTTAATTATATTATGTATCCAATTATTTCTTGATATTTTCATTTGTGAACAACAAATTATCAAATTAATTGTTTTAATATATCTAAATAAACTATTTCTCATAATTTGGTAAATGCATAATCATAATTTTCTCTAAACTTTAATTATATAATTCTTATGATTAGTACAAATCTCTTATATACTTTTTTGCTAATTTTAATTAAATTTAATTATTTTTCAATTTTTCCACAAAGCCTTCAATTTTCTTATCTAAAGTTTAATCAATATCTCGCTAAATAGAAATATATAATACTCCTTATAATTCTATAAAATTAAGCTGATATTTTTAAATTAACTCTGATGTCTTTGGTTTTTACATTTATTCACTATTAATATACATTTCAATATTTACAATATTTTATGAATCTCCTTGTCTTTAGATCTTAAGAATAATTGACTAAATTCTTAACTGTAATAAAGATTAGGTAATAATTTCATTTTATTACAGAATTGTTTCAAGAATCTTAATCGTTCCGATGCAGTTTTGATATCATTTCCTTGAAACATCTTTTTACCTGGAATTCCTGGAATGAAACATCCAGGCCATCTTATTAATAATATATCCCTTAATGATATGAAATCCTTATATCGTCTATAGACTTCAAAGAATCCGATTTTATCTTTTCCTTTGATAATATAGTATGTATATGTATCTAATAATGACTCATGTTAATCAAAGGTTATAATATCAATTTGAATGTCTTGTGTTTCTTTTATTTCTTAATGTTGATTTTATTCATTCTCATCTAGATTCACAATTGACATATTAATAATATTTATTAAATGAAAAATCAGTCAAATATCCTATTATTAATTTATATCTCCCTTTGATATTGATATATAATCTCATAATTAATCTTGATCAATAACTGATATACTATTAAATGAGAGAAATAGAAAATTAATAAAGAAATTTATTTTATTTTGAATACAAGAAAATTGATAGATGAAAGAATACTTAATTTCTCTGAATTAATATTCATGAATTAAAATTATCAAATTAATATTAAAACATATATTGTAAATTTTGATATTTCATTAAATATATATGTGTCTAAAAATTATGGAAACTAAAGGGAAGAATAAAAAATTAAGTATTTAAATAGAGGTTATTGTATTATTTTTTAAGTGATTTAATGACTACAATTTATTTATAAATAATTATAACTATTACATAATACTATTATAAATTATATTGATATATTGCCATAAATAATAATAAATAATTAATGATATAAAATTGGATTGGAAAATTATTATTTAATATTTGTGGAGATCTAGTTGAAGTATTATATATAATTCTATATAAATTAAGGATTTCCCTAATAATGAAATTGAAATAAATAAATGGTAAGGAGTTGGTGAAAAAAGAAATATTAAATTTAAATAGAACAAAGTAAGAGAATGGATGATGGAATATTTTGGATTAAATGTAGATGTTAAAAGAGCTGAAATTGAATTATTATAATTTAAAATACCTTGGAATAGAATTTGGAAAGAACCTACTAAAATACTAGTAAAAGATGCATTTATTTGTGTATAAACTAGAGAAGAATTCTCTGTTGAATTGATGCGTCTATAATATTAAAGTGATCTAAAAGATTTTATTGAGCATTGCTATAAGAAACTCTTTAATAATTTTACAAATACAAAAAAACAAAGTAAACTTAAAAGAGTACTTAAAAATTTCTTTTCTGAAATGATTATACTAGAAGTGTAAAACTTCCATCTCAGATTAGAGGATGAAAATAATGCTGTAAAACACAATCGTGTAGCATTAGGAGTTTTATTTAAAACATTAACTTTACAACCCTCTTATAATGTAGTATCTGTAAAATCGATATAGTCATAAAAAAATGAATAAGAAATTAAAAGAAAATTAGATTTTTCAGTTGAAGCTTTAAGTATGTATTTAAAAATTGAACCTACTTCTAAATAATCTAATAATTTATCTCCTGATTATGTAGAATAACAAGTAATAATATTTATCCATTATTATAGAATGTTATCATAGATCCGTTATCATTTCGAATACTTATACATACTAATCTAACATAATAAGAAGAAATTCCTTTAAAATATATTGAAATTCAATTTGGTGATGATGTAATAATATAATTAATAATCTTAGATTAAAATAAATATTGATAATTAATAATTTTAAACAATTCTCAAATTATTAAAATTAAGAGATTGGTATTGTTAATAAGGAGATCATTTATAATATAGACCTTAATATAAATCTAGTCCTAAAGATAATCCTTTTGAATGGCTTCTTTATTGGAAATAAATTGTCACAATAATTAGATGTAGAATAAACAAATAAAAAATAAATCTTAAATCTAAAATGAGAAATGATTTGGTTAAATACATTATTGTGGATTTTCTTCATTAATAATATTAACAAAATGATGATAATAAATATTTTATTGATGAATAAATGATATTATATACAGATATAATGTAAAATAAACAATAAATAGAAGATAAATTACTCTAAGAAGAAATTGAATTTGTATTCTATAAAGTAAATAAAATATTAAACTCACCTGAATAATTAAAAGAAATATTAGTAAAAATGAATTTAGAATAACCTTAATAATAAGAGAAAAAATAAACTATTTGGTCTTATTTTTGGAAATAAAAGTAATAACCTGAAGAAGGTACAGAATTTCAATCTAAATACGAAAAATTATATACATAAATAAGCTAAAATGAAAATAGATGTTTAAAAAGATTAGAAATATAAATTTCAAATATATTGGTATTATTTTATTTTATTTAGATAAACTTAAAAATAGCATAAGAAAGATCCACTGTTTTTATGAAAATAGAATTAAAGGAATCACTATTGTAATATGAGTCATTTCTAAAAATCAGAAAATTTATTTTGAAACTTAAAAGAATTACAGCATATGATTGTTTAAATCCAAATAAAGATTTTTAAACTATATTTTCCTATCATTCCTATATTGAAAGATCTTAGAGGAATTAATATTTAAGTTAGGAATAATCATAAATAGAAATTTCATTTGAATATAATAAAGAAGTTAATAAATCGCTTTTTAAAGTCAAATCATTACCTCATTTAATGTCCTTAAATGATACAGTTTTAGCACGTCTGCAGCCATTCCTAAAATAATTAAGAAAAAATGATTATTTTTATGACATTGTCTTTATAAGTTAAGGTAATTTCAAGAAAAGTGAATTCATAAATGTGATATCAAATTTATGCAAAGCAAATAGTTTAATAATAGATATCAATATATCTCATGTTACAATTAGAATTCCTGAAAGTGCAATCAAAACTAATTGTCCAGTCCTTGAAATCACTCTTGAAAACTATCTATTATAATTTCTTAATACAGTTACATAATAAATAAATAAATTTGCTATTAACTTTTAATATGTTGAAAAGAATTGTAAATAATCAATTCACATCTTGTAACCAGTTTCTATTACAACTAAGGTTGTTTAATATTAAAATTAAGATGAATAAAATAAATTAACTGAACTAACAGATCTAGTATTAGAAAATAAAATTAGTGATATATTTATAACTATTCCTATATTGAAAACTGATTTTTTTAAGAATTTTGTTTATAATGTATTAGGAACTTTAGATAATTTAAAGAAGATATCTATCTTTTTATAAAAGGAAGATTCTGTTAATTAATCATCATCAGTTAATTCTGTTAATAGAAGAAAAAGATCTAGATCTTGGTCTTAATAAAGAGATTAATCATCAAGAAGGGAAGATTGTTCATCTTAAACTAGTGAAATTTATTATGATGCTGAAGAATTCATTAATATTCCCTTCATTTAATCAATTACTTAAAGTAGATAACAAGTATCTCCTTAAGAAAAGAGAGAAGAAATGTTAAAGAAATGGAATAAAATAAGAATTAATTTGAATTATTTGGTTAATAAAATATTTAAAGAAGCTGATCCAAAAATTAGTTAATTTTTAGAATCTTTAAGATTAAAAGCAGTTTTTGAATTATAAAAATTTTAAATTAAAGTTGCAATTTAAAAAAATAATGATAGAAACTCATATTTTTATATTGATAATATTAATGTAACTATTGAAAAAGCTTTTAAAGTAAAACATTTTGGATTTCAACTATAAATAAATACAATAACATTATCAATTTATAAATTGCATTAATTGAAATAACTAAAAAAATATTCAGGTCCATAATCAGATGATATAATGGCTCATATAAATGAAGATATGCTCAATTTACTCCCTTTTTTATTAAGAATTAAAGAGTTATAAATTTATTATTTAATTTCAGTCAAAGAGATAAAATTAGAATTATAAAATATCAAAGATACTAATTCAAATTATCTAACAACATGTTTAAGTAATTTCAATCTTTAAAGTTAATTGCCTTTTAAAATTATGTATAAAGAAAAATTATCAGATAAACCTTTTTTTTTAGAAATTAATAATTCTGTATCTTCATGGGATACAACTTGTGATTGCAAATTTATATTGAATATATTATATTACAATGGAAAACTCAAATTATATGAACCTATTTTAGATACTTGTGAGGCAATAATTACTTTTTAAAAAAGTTCTGAGGAGCTATGTTTTGAAACAAAATTTAACTAATTGCTATTTAATATAACACCATAACTAATATTCACTCTTTATTCATTGAATCAACATTCATTATAAATTAAGTAATTTTTATTGTAAGATTTAAATGCTTCATAAGATTAAATAGTTGTTTAAAAATAAACATTGACATAGAAATTCGAAATTGAAATTGAACATGATAATGCAAAATTATTAGTAGATTAAATTGAAATTTAGCATTCTTAACACTATAAAACTAAATATAGAATATAATTATAGACTGCTAGTTCAGATGATGAAATATCTAATGAAAAAACAAACTAAAATTCAAGACATGTGACTTTTCATGATTAAGATCCATCTCCATTAATGAAATAATAAACTCCAAATTTTAAAAAACAAACTTCTTTATTAGAAGAAGAAATCCTTTTAGATTAATCAAATGAGAAAGATACAATTAAAAGAATTGCTAGTGAAATAGATGTTTCTGAGAAGTAGCGTTTTGTAACTGAAATTTTAGGAGATTACTTACCTATTGAATAGAGCACTAAATACATTTTTGTTAATCTAACTGTTCAAAAATTATTATTTAATTTAAATGGAATTGAATAATACATAAATGAAAAAGAAAGCAAATTTGTTAGATGTACTGAAGTTATGGCATTTAAAATTACATCTTAAAGAAATTTTTATAGATATAGTTCTTTAATTAAAACAAAAGAAGAAAGAACTTATTTTTTGAAAACAGATAATAGGGATCATAAATTAAAGACAATTTATTATTTATTATCAATAATAAATAGAAATTAAAATCAAATTATCATTTATTAAATTGAATAATTACCAAAAGCACCATATTTGATAAAAAACAAATGTTCATAATTAATTATATTCTATTAATAAAATTTTGAAAAATAATAATGTGTTTTAGAACCAGGAAAATCTTCTGGATTCTGTTGGGAAGATCCATTTTAGGCTCCATAATTATAATTAGAAATTCATTATGAGGGACAAACAAAAAGGTTTTTAATAGATATTGATAGATTTAATAATTAAGAATTGTAAATTGATAAACAATTGGATTCGACTATTGATAAAGAATATAGTTTAGAAATATTTAATGATGGATTATAAAAAGTGATTGTATTAGCTGAGGCTTAGTCTTTAAAAAAGAAAAAAAAATCATATAAAATAACATGTGATTTGATAGGATTTTCATTTATTGATGAATGGGAAATTTTATATGCTGAAATAAATAACACTTATTATATTTAATAATAATAATAAACTGATATAGTAACTTATTAGATTTCTGCTGAAAATATTTAACTTGATGCATGTGGACTACCAATACCAAAAAGATAATTATATATTGTAAATAATTAAATTAATAATTTTAATAAATCAGTTGGATAAAAAAAATCAATAACCTAATCTTAATAAATATAAGATACTACAAGTGGTCTAAGGGAATAATTAAAATTAAAAATAAAGTAAAAAACAATCTCTGAAATTTTGGTACACTTAAAATATGTGAAAATAAGAATTCCAAATTATAAAATCATAATAGATAGCAATTTATTATTATAAGTTTTTTCGTTTATTAAACACACAAAATTGCTTTTAGATGCTTTTAATACTCCTAAATAAAAATCAAAATCCCTTTTATTATAATAATCATTTGAAAAGCTTAACAATTCAAATATTAGTGATAAATAAATTTAAATTTAACCTAAAAAAATTCATATTGATAAAGTTATAATAAGACCCTTTTCTGTAAAAATGAGGTTTAAGAATTTATTGAATATGGAATAAGAACTTAAAACATTACATCATCAAGCAGGGTAATTAATTATTTCTTTATTTTTAGATTGATCACTTTCGTACTTAATCAATTTCAGTAATTGAATCTTGAATTTTAGCAATATATAAAAACAGATTATTAATAATTTATGGATGCAAATTATGAGCTTCATATTAAGGCTTTATTTAATGTTTTTGGTGAGTCAATAAATCAATAAGTATTGTATTTTTATATACTTAGATAAGATGCTAAGTAAACCCGACTAATTTCTTAAAAAATTAAGGAAATTTAGCCAAGCAATTCCTCACAGAATTAAAAAATTTATAAAGTGAAATGGATAAAAACGATATATTTTAAGGTGGCTTACCAGTTAAATTTCAATTATTATAAACCTTTTGTGTTATAAGTAAATCACTTTATGATGCTGCTTAAGAGACTTTTGTATCTGTTTTATTAGGAATTGGGAAATATTGTGAAACATCCCAACCTGATTAAACAATTCAAAGAACATCCTTTTCAAATAAATTATCAAAACTGTTTAGAAAAGTTTCTGATTTTTAATTTAAAAGTTAAAATACTTTAGAAATATCTTTTCAAATGTTAATTTCTAAATTAAAAACTAGGAGATATCCTAAATATATTCATAAAAACAGATAAATCACTTCATACAATGAAGATTTATCTAAATTTTAATTATATAGATTATGGAAATTAGGATTGGATTAATAATTTGATCATTTTTAATTGTCTTTGAATTGCTACTTATTTTTATCAAATCAATTATTCATATTATTGGATACTTAATATAATTAAATATTATTAGAGATGAATTAAAGAATGTTTTAATCAATAACAAACACTAATTCCACTTGTGTTATAAAATATTAGAAATCTAATGTTAATAAGTAAGAAGGAGACGATGATATTGGTATGAAGTAATTAAAAGTAGAAAAACTTATGCTAAACTTTACAATAGACGAAAAAATATTATAATCAATAACTCATATAATCAAATCTAATTTAGAAATTCTTAATGTAAAAGAAAATAAAATATTTAGTATTATGATGTTAATTTGAAAATTTTATTGTTTTATATTATATTTAATTATTAATAAAGCAAATATTCATTACTATTATTATTCTCGTTGCTATTTTATATTCTTTTTTATTTTTGCCAAAGACTTTAAACTTCGGAATCTCATTTCTTGTACTTACTATTTATAAGACTTTCTTTCTTCAATTTGTTTTATTACACTATTTTCTACTTCACCATTATTTTCACCTATATCCTAATCTTTCAAATTCTTTTTAAGCTCAGTTTGTTGTACATAAGAATTTATTTGATCAATTGCCTTTTTCCTTTAGGTTTCTTCATCAATTATTCTAATGAATTTCTTTTATTCAATTAAATTTTCAATCATTTGGGATAATTCAGTAAAAAAATAATCAGAATCTACTTTTTTTGGGTCTTCAAAAAATGCCTCACAAATATCATTAAATTATTAATTAACCTTAGAATAAAGTTCATTTAGATTTTATTTTTGACATAATTCTAAATTATCTACTTTGATTTTATCTGAATATTTGATTATTAATTTTTTTTCTTATTCTTATTTTTCAATCTACTTTTTAATATTTATTAGTGAAACTTTTGATAATTTTTTTAATTATTGTAAATTAAAATCTTCCTCCCCTATTAATTCCCCTTCATTTTATTCAGCCATTCTAAGTATAAGACTAAGAAAATTAATTTTAGAAGAATTATTTGACTTAATTGGAGCAATCTTACTAAATTCAGATAGTTTAAATCCATAAGAATCTTTATTTGAGGAACTATTCAAATAATTTATTCCGGCTAAAATGTAACATAATAGCTTTTTTAATTTCACATTGGATTGAATAGATTAAATCTATTCCTCTATTAATTTTAATTCATTCTAAATTTCATTTTGACTTTAATTTAATAAAATTTGAAACACTATAATTCTTTCATAATAATTTTCTATTTGGATTAAGTTATATAAAAAGAGTTCAGGTCTGTTCAACACACTTATATTTTCAATTTTCTTAAATTCTTAGATTTCTTGTATTGTTGGAAGTATTTGAATTAAACTTTCAATATCATCAGAAGTAAACTTCGAATAGTTCATTTCTTTTATATAATTAATCATATCATCCATTTTAATTTTAATTTTAACTAAAATTAATTCAATATTTCTCGATCTATCTAATGTCAAAACCTATTACTATTTTATCTTAATTTAAGAAGAGCTAGGTAATGAAATTGCAATCTTAGATTAATTCTTTTAAAAGTGCTTATCCAATTCTTCAAATTTTAGTTCAATTTTAGAATCATCAAGAGTTTAAAATATATTACTCTTCATTTATTTAATTTCTGTTATGCCAACGCAGATTAATTGTTAAGTAGGTTTTCTTCTTTGTCTAATATCCTTTTTATTTTAAACTTAAACTGTCTTTTAAGGAGGTGGAGGAGGAGGTGGTGGTGGTGGTGGCAATGATGGAGGAACTGAAGGAGCACTTTTTTATACAGGTAGAGAACAGCTCATTAAGACAGGTGTTTCCTTATTTTATTCGCTAGGGTGAATCTACAAAGAACCATCAATCTTTTATAAAAGAATCGTTTCATCTAATCCCTATAGCTGGGTGACTGAATCAGATGATTATTAATTATCTATGCGCTTCTAATACATATTTAAAGCTTATTTTAGCTTATATAAGACACTTTAGGTTTGCTTCACTAATAAATAAATCTAATTTTATACATTATGTTTGGTAGACAATTTTTTATGTTTAAAAATCATTTAATTGTCTTTTTAAGTCTTCTATCTAAATTTCTTAGTTATTATATTCATCTAAACAGTTTTAAGCTACTATTTATAATATTTTTGTGATTATATTTTTACCATAAACCTCTGCTTATGATAAGAATCTTTAAAGTTTTTTCATGCATTCATGAATGCCGCATTATTGATTAAAATCTGAAGAGAAGTGTTATAAACTTAACAAAAATTACTCTGGAAATACAACTTAGGCTAATTGAACATTACCAACTGAAACTCTATTAATAGGTTAAGATTTTGGATTGTATGAAATTCTAAATTGATTAATTGATTCCCTAATATTTGGTTCCCCTGACTCTAATAAAGTCTCAAAGGCAGATATATGCTTAATTATGATATTATTTAAGTCATTAGAATTTTCCTTAATTCCCACTAAAATTGAATAATCCTCTTAAAAAACTAATAAATTATCTTCTAACTTTTTCTTTATATCTTAAAATATTAATTCTACACCATGAACTAATAACAACTATTTTAATTGAATTTTCTCGTTAGATAGTTCAACAAAATTATTTATAAATGATAATATGGCTGCAATCTAATAAAATCTATATATAAATATATCTTACAAGTTTCTTATCTGAGGATGTTTCCAGTTACTATATTGTTTAAAGTAAACAAAATTCTTAACTCTACTTTTTCATTAGTGATTCTATCAATTAATATCCATTAATTTATCTCCAAGATATTTTTTCATATTATTAGTATATTTAAGCTAATATCTAACTATTTGGTATTTTGATTATTCGTGATAAATTATTTGTTAAAGTTATTAATTACTATTATTCTAGTGTTTTCCCTAAAAAAAGCAAATTGCCTTATAGCATTACATATAACTTATCATAAATATTCAGAGTATTTCTATTTAAACTTAGATATTCAATTTATTTTTATACAATCGGAAATGCATAGGGTATTAATTAATTAGTTAATAGCTCATCATTTAAACCTATCAGTGCTTTTATTTCTTAATAAAAAGAAATATAGATTAATAAATCAGAATCTTAATTTAGATTATTTATCAAAGGATTTTCATTAATTAGAGCATAATAATGCAGAACTAATAACAATTATTTTTATTTCAGATTTAAGTTTGAAAACTTCTTTTTTTCTAGATTTGTATCAGAAAGTATTTAATCAAATATTTCTTCAAAATTATCTACATTAATTTAAAACTTTGGAGGTTAGTTTATGTTTTTAATGTTCAATTATTTTCCTCGAAACATATAAGAATATTATGTCGAATTCGAGGATGATTAAAGTTCATTCCCCATTTTATTAATATAAAATTTATACTAAAATTATACATTCTTAAGATGACATATAATGAAAGCTCTTAATCAATCAATATTAAAATGAGACTTTTTATATAGATAAATAAATTAGAAACTAATTTTCTAACTAAAAGATGAGACGATAAAATTTTTTATTTAAAACTTAATGAAAATTTTCATCAATTAACATCGATTAGGAAGAACAAAATATAATAATAATAATAATAATAATAATAATAATAATAATAATAATAATAATAATATGTGTATAATATCTCAAATAGGAACATGAAGAACAAAATATCTATTAATATATATTTAGAATAGCGATTATATCATCTTCATTAAAATCATCTATTCCTTTGTTTGAACATAGGAGACAATCACCAAAAATAATTGATTATAATACTTAAAATCAATAAGACCTGCAAAAAAAATTGCCTAAAAATGAAAAGAAATTATGTTTAACTCTAAAACCAAATGTCGGCCTTTCTAAATTTAGTTATTAACAATTTCAGGAATAATTTGGGCTTACATAGGGAAAAAAAGGTCAATTGGATAAAAAAATATCTAAATTTCTTACTCCCTTTAAAAAATATGATTAGAAATCCAATAAAAAATATTTAGGATTAAAATTATTAAAAGTTAATTTAATTTATTAAATAATTAATACTATTTCATTTTCTTAATCAAGTTATTCTATATAATGGTTGTAAATTTATTACAATTTTTAGAAGTATATAATTNTTATTTAAAGTATAATTTAACAATTGCCTGAAAAACTATAAAAATTATTTATGGATTCATAGTTCAAAGAGTATAAATATGGGAAATCTTAATTAAACATTACATAAATATTTGTATCATTTTAAGATAATACTTAAAGAAAAAAATTTAAGTTAAGCGAAAATATAGGCTTAATTTGCATTCTGACATATAAGTGAAAAAAATGTGTTTTCCTGAATTTTTTAATTAGCTAAATTAGCTTACGAGGAAGTTAGCTATTCAAACTTTATAAACTATGATTTCTTAAATAAATGAAAATATAATAAAATACTTTTTTTAATTATAATTCATTATCAGAATATAAATATAATAGGGAATTACTTTAAGTATATAGAGTATATTCATGCCTATTATTGAATTATTATTGTATTAATTTATCGAAATAGTATAAATTGATTATTTTAGAGTATCTTCAAAGTAGATTCATTGAAAAATTCAAATAAATACTCTCAATCAAGATAATTTCCCATAATTATTTAATTTTCACATCCATATAGCGATTGCATAAAAATAAATTGATGAGTTTAATAAATTAACAATATTGAATCACATTAAGAATAACTCCATAAATTATAAAAATCATTAATAGTTTCAAAATTAATCAAGCCAGGATAGCTATAATTATATCAAAAATTAAATTAACAATCTGGAGATAAGGATAATAAAATAAATCTTAGGAAGTAATTGCAAAAATTTTTGGACTTATTGTAATTGGGAAATCAAAATCAATAAATTATTTATTTAAGCTATTTAAATTAAAAAATGATGATGATAAAAGTATAATTATTGAATAATTCTAAAAATATAAGGCATATACAATAAAAGTATTTGTTCCTTTTACAATTGATCATATTTTAGTTGAAGTAAGTAAATCTAATCATATTAAAAAAGCAGGTTTTGATTATGAATATATTATTTGAATTAATAAGAATTCATTGTTATAATAGCAATCTACCTAAATTGTGTAGATAATTTAAAAACAAATTGATATTAAAACAATTATACAAAGGATTAATTATCACAGATAAACCTTTAATACTTCCATTTATATATAATTACTTCATTATTTTTAGATAATGTACCAAAATGTGTTTTATTTGATGACATTGATATAAATTCTATAATAATAATCTTAATGACTTACAATTCCCTTTTTTTCTGCATATTTCTTCACATTAATTGATTAATTACACATTTGGAATTTAAGGTTGCATTTTACACGTTAATTAAGTTTCTGATAAAAGATTCTCCATATGATATTCATAAAATTCTCCTTCTGCTGTTGGGTACAAAGAAATTTCTTATTCTTTGTTGAATTAAGCACAAGCAAATATTTAGATCACTTTAATATTTAAGAGTATTATAATCATTTGATTTAAAAATATTATTGGATTTTAATATATTTTATATAAAATTATTTTGAATTAAGCAATTTCTTTAATCAAATTTCAATTAAGTAATTATGAAAACAAAGATCTCTTTATATAATTTGATTAATATTAGAAATAATACATTTTTTTAAGTTACTATCCAACAATATTATATATTTTACATTTGATGTAACAGAACAATAATTAAATAAAGTTCCTCTATAAACATTAATATTATATGATCTTTTCTTTAATAAAATTATTTTTTCTCATAATATTATCAAATATTGAAAAATAGTAATAATTTTTGAAAAATCTAATCTATTAATTCTATAGTATTTTCATTATTCTCTTGTATAGCTAAATCAGATTCTTTGAATCTAAATTTATCTAATTGATAAAAATCTATTAATTATCAATAAAATCTTTAATTATTTTTATTATTGATAAGACTTTTCTATCTTTATTATATATTGTGCAGAAAACTTCTCAATCACTTCTCTTTATTTTAATTTTCATATTCTTAATATCCTAAAATATTGCTCAATCTTGTTAGAATACTAAAATATCAATAATATCTTAATCCTATGTTACTCAAATGAATTATTAATCATTAATAAAACTAATTCTGCTTCTTTTAAGTATATTTCTTATTTGATGCATCAATTCCACATGATAAAAAGGGAGTCTCAGATCAATTATAATTTTATGCAAGTATGTATTAATGTTGTTCTTTTAAAGCATATGTATAATTAAGTTAATTATTTAAAAAGTTTAAACTTAAAAAACTTATTGATTTGTCATCACTACCATATATTAGTTCATCTTCTCTTTAATTCAATATGAAGCAATTAATTTTAACTTTATGACATTTATAAACTTTAGAATTCCATTAATTGATATCAACCTATTGGGAGAAATGATCTACTTATCAGCAGAACCTGAAATAAAGTTATTTATGAATTTACTATTAACTAGAAATTTAATATTAAGATTGATAACTTAAAACTAAACTAGTTCGTTAAAAAAAACTAACTTATTCTAAATTTTCGTTTTAAATTTAATAAAAATATTCAAAAATAATCCAAATTTTATAAATATTAATTAGTGCATATATATAACTAATTAATTCTAAATATAAGAAGCAAACTTTTTTCATTAAAATAAATTAGTACATATAATAAATAAGTACTTGTACTTTTTTAACTTATTTTCTTAATATTATTTTTATTTTATAAAAATAATATTAAAATAAACTTTATTTTTTTACATATATTTGCAACATACTTAACTTAATTGTAAAATTTTTTTTACATTTTATAAAACAAAATCTAATTTCATTAAAATAAAAGACTAAATATTATTAACTAACCTGTTCTAAATTTTTGTTTAATATTACAATAATATTTACATATGATCTTTAACTTCTCAAAATATAGGATTACATATATAATTATAATATTCTTAAAATTTTGAGTTACAATTAAATCACATTAAGGATAATTCTATTATTTATATCTTATTAAATCAATATCATATTAGAACGTTATCTTTCAATTTCTCCTGAAACATATATGATGCTTTTATGTAAAATAATATGTATTAGTCAAAAATGGAAAATATGAATGGAAGATTGATAGATTATTTTTCTGGTCTTAAAAAGTGATTTTTTTGATCTTAAGCAATTATAAATCTAATAACACTAATAACTGATATCAACTTAATCCTAATTTAAAATATTTATAATTTCTTAAAGTATAGGTTTCAATAAATTTTTTTGTCATAATGAATAATTGAAGAATGAGAAAAAAAAAGAGAAACCTTAAGAAAAGTAGGAGCATTACAACTTATCATAGAAAATATATTTATATGATTAATTATAAATTGATATAAAAATACTATGGGATGTGTTAATTCTAGAAGTGTTGAAACTTAACAAAGGAAATTCAAATTAGTTATTGTAGGATTAGAAGGTAGCGGTAAAACAACTGTATTTGAATACATCAGATAAAGAAAATTTGTGTAGACTAAACCAACAGTTGGTTAGGAATTATAATTATAAATAGGTGTAAATGTTGATTTTAGCCATCCCGAATTCATGATTTTTGATGTTGGAGGAAAAGTACCAAATTTATGGAGTAATTATTATGAAAACACAGATGGCCTGATATTTATAATTGATTCTTCAAATAAAGAGTAGTTATATTAAGTCAAAGAGCAATTGGTAAAGCTGAATAAAGACTTAGAATACATGAATGTATTGCTAATTAAATGATATAGGTAGTAATTCTGATCATGTTTACAAAGCAAGATTTATTACATCTTGATAATTAAGTCTTAATCTAAGAATGTGGAGTAGTTGGATATTTAGAATAAGATACTGTATTCTAAATGTGTAGTGCCAAAACGGGTGAAGGTGTTCAAGAAGGGATTTAAAAATTAATAAACATAATTAAAAAATAATAAAAGCTAAACATTCCATTACACACCATTAAATAACATTAAAGAAAGATAGCAGTATGATAGTTAATTCAAAAATATAAATCTAAATCTATTTTACACAATTTCTCATAAGGCAAAGATTATATCTACTATAACTGTTATTTCTTTTGCATTATTTTTTAATTATTGCTTTAAACCCCATTTGAAATTATTTTACAACTTTTCATTTGGTGTTTCTCACACATGTAGTTACTTAAACTTTCAATATAGGGAGGATCAATAGTCCAGACACCATGCTATACCCAATTAGTCGTTAATTGTTTTATGATTTATAATCCCTTCCCTAAATTATTATCAAATAATCCTCTTAGACAAGCATAAGTACAATATAAAATTGATATATTATTTGAATAAGAACTGAGCACTCTTACAATTTGATACTCTTTTCGATTCAAATAATTACATTTTTATATGAATGGCTTAAAATGGCATTACATAAGTATTGTTCCATTAGTACCACACCAAAATAATTATTTATTTAATATACATGAGCATTTCATTCCTGCCATTACTTAATCTGCATTTATTTATAATTACTTAGGCTTGTTGATATTCTGAAAGTCGCCTGTTCCTAATTGACCAAATTCATTACATCCCCAAACAAATACTTTTTTCAAAGAACTTAAAGCTATTACATGTTTATATCCACATTCAATTTGAATGATTTTTTCGTTTAATGGCAATCTTTCAACCTGATCTCTACCTTTATAGTCTCCCAATCCCAATTAACCTTTCTCATTTTGCCCATAACAAAATAATCCTCCATTATCACTTAGTAGTATTGTAAATGTACTCCCACATGACAATGAATTAATTTTTACACCAATTTAAATATATTTTAATTAATCATAAACTTTGCCTTCTGAAATATACAAGATTCTATTTCTATAGGCTTTGATAAATTCAACATTTTCATGTAATAATTTTGGATGTTAAATAAATTTATGATGAACACACCCCCAAATGAACATCTTTTTATCGTTTTATTATAATAGACAATGATTTTGTCCCACAGAAATAGATTTTATTTTTCCTGTAAAATTCACTTATGTTGGATTATGTTTCTCTCCATCTTATGTAAAACCTAATTAGCTCATATCATTTAAACCCCAACCATACAATTTATTACAACATGCCCCTATCGTTGTATTTTCTCCTACTTAAATAAATTGCAAAGGATTTTCTTTCTCGAAACTTTAGATAAATAAATCCTTATAGTTGGATGCAAATGAACCATTATAACTGTCAGAAGTATCTGAGATTATCTCCAAATCAATAATAAAAGCAAATAAATATATTTTTGGCTAAATTAATGACTCCAATCCCAAAATTAATGCTGAATCATAATCTGTTTTTTAACCCATTTTCAACCCAAATAAATCAGTCTCTTCCTATAATTTCTACTATTGCAATTACAACTCTAAAGGAAAAATATATTGATCATATTATTATTTTAATTCTCTTTTTCTAGGTAATATCATTCGAAATCTTCTCTATATAATTACAGCAGCCTATCTCATTCTCTAAAATACACAACTTAAATGCTTCATTCTAAAGTACCCTTATATTAAATAGGCTGCTTCATGCATTTTACTTAGTCTCGCTCTCACTATGTATCCTCTAGCCCATCTTTAAATAGTTTTTATTCTTTTTTCCATACGTATTTTTCTTCCAACTTCTTTTATTTATTCTACTTCTTTTTTATGGTTTTTTCTTATATAATAGCCTTTATAATATTTTTAGATTATTATTGCGGCTTTGTTTCTTATTTATTCCCAAGATTAATCAATAACAACATTCAAAATTCTTCTTATATTTAAATATTACATTATCCTTTTTTAAATTCTACTAATTCTAAAATTCTTCTATATTTTCTTAATACATTCTAATTTTTGTTGAAATTGATTTTAGAGAATTTGACATAAGATCGCATATTTTATATAATCTATTTGTTTTCTATATAACTTTTATTTTTTTCTAATTTAATACATAAAATAAAATTTCTGTATAAGAGTTGCTGCTTTCATTTTTTTTCTAAATTATATTTTTCTTAATTTTCTTTTTATGGTTTTCGCTACTCTTTTGATCATTCTCATAAATTATTTAAATTTATCCCTCAATTAATGTCTTCGAAATGCGGATTAAATACATTTAGCCTTCTCATTCTTCTCTTTCATTAATGAAGTGTAAATTTTGTCAATCAATGACATTCCCTATTCTTAAATAAAGATTTATGTATTTCCAAATAAATATAAATCTTTAGAAACTCCACTAAATTGTTCTTAAAACATTTTAAAATCCAAAGCTTTATAATCTTTATTTAACGGATCCTAGAATCCACCTTCTTAAATAAATCTATATTTTAAATAAAATCTCCAAAAATCTACTCTAATAGGGAATGATTCTTTTCTTACCTTTAATGAATCTAAAACACCTAAATATCTAATTTATTTCATTGCATATTTGTTATCTAATTTATTTGGAACAAGTTCATCATTTGGTTTGATGCAACGAATGAAATGGACACCACATGATTACAATTCTGTCATTAAGCTTTTCATCTCATTCTTAATCTTAATAACAATTGATTTTGGCTTTGGCTATAATTAGACCATCTAATTATTGCATTTTGCTTCTAATAATAATTAAGGAATTTCATCTTGATTTTTTTCAACAAAATTTTAGCATGTATATTCTACATCTTTTGCTGTATGTTTAATAGTGAATTTAGGTTTTGTAGAATTTGGAAACTTGAGTTCTTTTCTTAAAGATTGTAATAATTATTAATCAGTTTAATTTAATCTACAAGCCTAATCAATAAGATTAAATAAACAAACAGGAGGTTTATCAAACATATCTATTAATTAAGTGTTATCTTCAAATTTAATACTATCAACATATTTTTCTAAACCTTCTATCAAAAATATTTTCTTTTCCTCTTTGAAAACATATTCAATATATAATTAATGAAGCCTTTCATTTGAATAATTTATCATCATTTATTCAAATCCATTAAAATTATCGAATACTTCAAAACCATAAATATCCAATAATCCAATATATGTTGTTTTTTCTTGTTTAGTAATCAAAGTTTCATTAAGTTTTTCAATAATCCAATTAAATAATCTTTCATATATTTCTTTAGCCCAAGAATCTCTAATTCTGATACAATCAAGTAATTTAATAGGTGATAAAATCTTTTCTTTTCCATATATTGCCTACTTTAAGGTTAATGCTTTGATAATATCATTGAAATCATAATCTAATAATTAGCAAATTTATTTCAAAAGATCTTCATTTTTAACATTACAAGGAGTTGTGTTTCCATAATTAACATCATCAAATTATAATTCTCCTATTAATAAAACAGTATAAACAACTTAGAATATGGCATCAGCATCAATATTAACTGTTGTGAATGCTTATATCAATTCATCATAAAACTTCTAACTGAAATAATTATCTTTGCCCAAATAATTAAAGTTTTACCTTTAATATTTTGGATTACCAAATAATAAATAAAATATATGGAAATTCCTATCTGTTTCAGAATGTGAGACAACTCTACTCTTTTCTAATAGATAATTTACTATATCTCCACCAATAATTTATTATTTTTTATTAACAAAAAGCCTTGTATATTTTCCAAATCTACTTGAATTCTTATTTCTAATTGTTTTTGCATTACCAAATGCTTCTAAGATTGGATTGCATCCCATAATCTTATCAGATAATTCAGTCTCTTCAGAATTAACACTTGTTAATAGATTAAGACAATATCTTGCATTTTCTGTTTTACCTGCTCCACTCTCACCTGATATTACAATTGCTTAAATTTTCTCAGTTAATTTGGTAAAAGCATGAGCTGCAATTGCATATGTATGAGGTGTAATAGATTTATAGTTACGACTTTTTCTAATAATATAATCTACATATTCTTGAAGATCTACATTGAGACTCTTAAATGGATTAATAACAATCAGAGTTGGACCAACATATGTAAATATTTAATCTTTTTTATATCTCTCACTTAAGTTATATAAAAGTTATGGATCATTAATTATTGCCAGATTGACCATGTCTGCTTAAACATCCTCACATCTTTCCCATACTTGTCCATTCAATTTCTGACCATTTTCTTCACTTATATAGTTGTTTTCATCTGCAATTATACCTTTTATAAAATTATCACTCTCTAAAACCCAAACTTTATTACTAAACATTCTAGAATAATAGTGATGTGTTAATTATTTTAATGAACAAAGTTATCTGTCTTCTTTCACTATTGTTGGCTACTTCTTATGCACTTTATGATTCACGCTCTAAAGTACAACTCCTTACACCTTAAACCTTCAGAGAGAAAGTGTTAAATTCTAAATCTCTTTGGATAGTTGAATTCTTTGCTCCATGGTGTGGTCACTGTAAAGCACTTGCCCCAGAATATGAAAAGGCAGCAAAGGCTTTAGAAGGAATTGTGAATATTGCTGCTGTGGATGCAGATGCTCACAAAGACCTTGGAGGACAGTATGGTATTTAAGGATTCCCCACAATCAAATTTTTTGGAGAAAACAAAAATTCACCTTCTGATTATCAAGGAGAAAGATCAGCCTAAGGAATAATAAACTTTGCATTAGAATAAGTCAAATCGGTATTATTCTTTTTTAATTTTTAAAGACAGTAAATAGTAGATAAAAAGGTTCTTCATCTAATAGAAATTAATAAAAACAATCATCTGGTTCTGGATCAGGGTCAGGGTCAGGGTCAGCCGATGATGTTATAGTTCTTACTGATTCTACATTTGATGAAAATGTTCTAAAATCAAAGGATTCTTGGTTTGTTGAATTTTATGCCCCTTGGTGTGGTCACTGTAAGAAACTAGAACCAGAATGGAATAAAGTAGGATCAGAACTTAAGGGAAAAGTAAAAGTGGCTAAGATAGATGCAACTGCAAATACATAATTAGCAACTCGTTTTGGTGTATCAGGATATCCAACATTGAAATTCTTCCCTGCTGGTTTTTCTAATGATTCAGAAGCTATTGCTTATGATGGTGCCAGAGATTCATCTGCAATGATAGAGTTTGCTTTAGAATAATCTAATAAATCAAAGAAGGTCGAAGTAGTGGAGTTATTATCAAAAGATATCTTAAAAGAAAATTGTCTTGATTACAATGGTATTATTATAATTTTACATAGGTGTTTGCATAATTGCTTTTCTTCCTCATATTTACGATAGTAATAAATAAGAAAGAAATTAATATATCAATTAATTATTAGAAGTGGCTAAATCACTTAAAAATAAACCAGTTAATTTCTTATGGACTTAAGGAGGAGATAATTATGAATTTGAAGAGGCATTCTAAAGTGCTGCTGCTCATCCTTCAGTTATGGCTTTGAGTGGTAGAAAATCTGTTTATGCTAAACTTAAAGGTGCATTTAGTAAATAAAATATTGAATAGTAATAATAATATATATAAATTTAGATTTGTGAATAATGTATTAAATGGAAGAGAGCACTTCAATTAATATTCTCAACTTCCTAATTTTAAGAAAGTTGAAAAATGGGATGGATAAGACCATAAACCAGTTTATAATGATGAATTCTGAATATTGTGTAATTGAATAATTTTATGGTAATTGTTATCTTAATTAATTTAATGATTCGATTATGGAATTATTAATTTTTGCTATTATCCAATTTAAAAAATTTAAAATAATAATTATTGTATTTCTGATGTAGCAAGAAGAAGAATAATATTCATGTCTTGAGGAATTCTTTATTGACAGTTGCAGATTTGGGTAAGCATTAAGATCATTTTTAGAGATTATGAAGATGCAATTGGATGCTTTGAAGATAATGTTGATTTATTTTGGATTGACATTAATTAAAATAATTGCATTCGTATTTATGAATAATATAATTGTTAGATATGGTATCTGCTAATGGTCATATAACTATTCTTGAATAAATAATCTCGTACTCTCAAAAAAAAAATATTGATCTACATAAATTAATAAATCATCAAAATTAATATGGTTGTACTCCTTTACGTATATACATATGTATATTAAATTAGATTGGGCTGTTTTAAATAATTAATTAGCAATTATAACAGTATTATTATAAAATGGTGCAGATATTACCATAAAAAACTTAAATGGTTTGACATGCATAGATGAAGCTATCTCACTTGATAAAGCAGAAGTGATAGTAATACAATTTAATATTCTAAGGAATTATTATCAAAAAATATCTCTTTAACAGAAGATTAATAATTAACTTTTAATGAAGCATCAGAAATTATAGAAAAAGATGAAGAAGATTAAGTTGAATGATTTGTTTATATTTTTATCTAAAAACAAATAAATTGTCAATTTCTTTTTACTTTAAACTTTAATTTTGTATTATTAGATGACTTATAATTATTAAAGTAATCCAAATAAATTAATGATACTTATCTGAATTATTAAGTAATAAAATCATTTATCAAAATGTTCCTGTATAGATTCAATATTATTTTTATGACATTTATAAATTAATGAAATAATAACTATAATTTTAATAATTAAATAATCAAAATAATTAGAAATAATTAACAATGAGCGTTAAAAAACAATCATATGCAGGAAGCACAACAGATTATTCAGAAGCAATTTTTTAACCAAATTTTACATAGAGAAACCAAAATTATCAATTACCACCATAAAATCAATAATTTCTACCTTAGTAGCCATTTCAAAACTAAAGGATTTCATTTGGTTAAGGAGAAATTTGCTAACCATAACAAACAATTCCTAAGTAAAGATCTGATTACAACTTTCAACCTTAATATCCAGTAACTGATTTAAATAGTACATTTACTATGTTGCCTAAAGTATTTGAAATGGATTAAGACTTTTTACCATAAGAAATACTATTTTTGTTATCTGAAGAAAAAAATCATTTAGAAAGATTTAAAAAAAGAGTAGATAGAGAAAAGGATAAAATCAAAAAAGACATAAGTTTTATTAAGAGTGAGATTTCAAATATGATTGAAGATCTTGGAGTTTAGATGTAACAATTTGTAGATGAACATTATAAAAGATATTTAAGTGTTTATGCTGCTTTTAAGGATGAAGTTATTCAATTCAAAAAAACTAAATTGGAAGCACCTCTAAATTTAGTACCTCCTCCACCCTCAAATAATTTTGGAGATTGTTCTAATGCTAATCTAATTAGAGAATTGGAAGAAATGAAATATTAAAATTATGTTAGTAAAGTTAATGCTTACATAAGCAATTTGGCTAAATAAAGAGTTGAATAAATTTAAATAATATCAAAGGAATTATTATAATTGACAAGTCAAAATAGTGATTTTTATCATTCAGAAGCAACATTAAGATAACTTAATATTATAAAATAAGAAGTAGAAGAAAGATTAATAACAAAGTTTGGTGACATGACTGACTATATATTACCTTTAGATTTTATGGAATAAAGTTAATAGAAATAAATAAATCAAGAAATGAAAAGTAAACTTAATATAGAAACTTAATCACTTCCATAATCAGCCATAAAATCTAATCCTTATTTAAATATATAGGAACCAAAATTAACATTAAATTTTGAACACTAAATGAATTAATTTAATCTATCTTCATAGACAATATAGTAGTCTCCCATCATTTAATTACAAAATCATTTTATAAATTCTCATACAATATAAGGTAAAATCACTGAATTACAAGAAATTTAATCATAAGATATTAGACATAATGGAATGATACTATGTTTTACAAATATTAAAGATAACTTAATTGCTACTGGATCTAAAGATACAATTATTAATATTTGGGATAATTCTTCTCTGATATCTTAATTGAAAGGTCATTCTGATGGAGTTTGTACATTAACTGTAATTAAAGCTAATAATGTGCCTTTCTTTTTAGCATCTGGAAGTGATAATGGAGATAAATCAATTAAAATCTGGAATTTATCAACTTTGAAAGAACATAATACTTTAATTGCACATTAAGCAGCTGTAGTTGCATTATTATCATTAGATGATGGATAAACTCTTGTTAGTGGATCATATGATTAATCATTATTGATTTGGAATATAGATAATTAGAAACCAATTTAAAGATTGGATGATCATAAAAATGCTGTAACTTGTTTAACTTTAGCAAAAGGAAGATTTATTTCTGGAGGATTGGATTAAACTATTAATGTTTGGAAAATAATAAAAAATGCTTAAGGATAATTTTAATCAGCATAATTAGAAAGATCTATTAAAAATCATACACTTGTTTGTGCTTTGAATGTTGTTTAAATATAAAATAATGTATAATATTATTATATTATAATTTGTAGACTAAAATAATTACTGGAGGAAAAGATGGTAAGATTAGAGAGTTTGATATTAATACTGGTGAAAATTTGGCATCATGGTAAATAACTAATGGGCCTATTGTTGAAATGATTGTTGCATAAGATTATGTAAATTATTCTGTAATCTCTATGTCAAATAAAGTAATTATTTTTATATTATCAAATAGGATCGAAATTTAGTAATGACAACTCAAGGTGTAAACAAAGTTTTGGATACTAATGATCAAGTATTTGTAGAATTCGGATGTGGTGTTTATCCAAAAATGGAAGTTGTCGATAAAGCTGGACAATTATAGTTAAATATCATCTCATAGAAACAGGATGTTTAAAAAATTTTTAAGTATGCTATCTGATTGAAAAAGATTATAATTATAATAAAAGAATTCTTTATTTATTCCATTATTATATTTAACTTTTTATTTATTCTATTTATTATTATTTAATTCTTTAATTCATATAATTTATTGATTAAGTTTAAGTTTTTTATGAAACTGATATAATAATCTGATAATTTAATCAAATACTATATCAACTATATGTATGTGATTTATAGATTTATTGAAGGATTAAAAATGGAATAAATGAAAAGATAATATTAAAATCATGTTTTATAATTAAAAGAAATTATAAACATGTACATATTATTTATATTAGAAGAATAATTTATATGTATGAGAATAGAGGATATTCATGTTTATTGTTAGATTGGAATATTAAAAATTTATCATAGTTCTATACTTTGAGTATATATTAGAAAAAAGAATTTCAATAATATTTGAATTAGATAAGGTTTATTAATCAAAATTTGGAATTGTGATTTAATATGGAATAAAATTATATTAAACTAGTTATAGTTGGAGAAAGTGGGGTTGGAAAAACATAAATTCTAAATTCTTATTGTTTTGGATTGGCTCCCCAGGCAGCAGCAGATTTCACTATTGGTTGTGATTATGTTTTAAAGAGGGTTCTTTTGAATGGAAAATTCTTAAAATTGTAAATCTGGGATGTATCTGGGGCTGAAAGAGAATCTCCTTTAATGAAAATATATTTGAAAGGAGCATTAGGAATCATATTTGTATTTGATGCTACAAATGAAATGAGCAGATAACAATTGGTAAAATGGTAAAATATAGTTTATTAATACGTTGATGAATATAATGGAAGACATATTCCATTCTTGATTGTTTAAAATAAAATGGATTTGATATAACAATATGATGAATAAAATTCATAATAATTTCTGTAATAATTTTGTTAAACTTTTGGTTTCTTTGATGGGGTATAATGTTCAGCATATGATAATTAAGGTTTAAAGAATGTATTTGAAACAATAGTTGATGAAATAATTAGGAGAGATTTAGTAGAATTATAATTGAAAAAAAATGAGAGTAAAATAAGCAAATTGTAAATAGAAGATAAAGGATTGAAATTAAAATAGAAATCAAGATGTTCATGAATAATATATGAATATATATATATTCAAATTAATAATTTTGATTAAATCATTTACTTTCAAAAACACAGAATGCATTTGATCTAACTGTTTCTACTTTAACTTCTGGTCCTACCATAGTTCTTATATCTCTAATATCATAATAAATCATAGTTGGTCTTTCTAATCCCAAACCCCATGCAATAACATTTACATCTTCTGGAATACCTAATGGTGCTAACATTTCAGGTCTAAAAACACCAGAATTACCAATTTCAACTTTCTTTTTTAAAATAGGATGATATCCTATAATATTGATAATTAATTACCATAAATTTCCATACTTGGTTCAGTATATGGATTATAAGTTGGTTTAAACCACAACTTGTTAATACCTATTTATCTAAAGAATTCTCTGATGATTCCCATTAATTATCCTAATGAAGCATTTTTATCAATCACAACTCCTTCAATTTAATGAAATTCAGCTAAATGAGTTGCATCTAAAGTTTCATTTCTAAATACTTTATCTATACTAAAGTATTTCTTTGGGAAATAACCTTTCTCCTTATATTATTATGCAATTCTATATAACATTTTAGATGAGACAGCTGTTGTATGTGTTCTTAATATATTTTTTCTTGCTTCTTCATGTGACCATTCATATTGATATCCAATACTACCTACACCTCCTGTCTAATGCATAGATTTTACTTTATCTCTTAATTAAGTATCTACTTCTTCACTAAGTTCTGGATCACTACAAAAGAATGTATCATGTGCATCTCTTGCTGGATGTTTTTATGGTTAAAATAAAGCATCAAAATTCCAAAATGAAGATTCAACAAATTAATTTGTTGCCATTTCTTCAAATCCTAATCCAATTAAAATTTATGAAAATTATTTCCTAACTTTCAAAAGTGGATGTAAATTACCCATTGAAACTAATCATATAAATTTATTAATTACTTTTTTCACCTTCTGCATTTAGATTAATACTTTTATAATCACAATCTTTCCATTCTCCATTTAATAATTATTCTGTTGTTAATGCTGCAAATTATTCTCTAAATTTAGGACTGTATTTAACACCCTTCTTTACTTCAAAATATTTTATAGTAGATATGCTAGCTAATTTTCTTTCAATTAATAATTTTGCTTATGGTGATCCTAATTTAATTTCATTAAATTATTGTAATTCTTATTTTATTTTATCAGGCAAATCATTTGCTACTTTACTTATTATTCCTTTGTCCATTTTAATATATCCCATTTTTTTTGCATTTCCAAAACCTAAATCAAATAATTTTTTCTTAGGATCTTCTGCTTATTTTTCTTTTTTCTCTCCTTATTCTTATTTTTACTTTGGTGCTTGTTCAATACCAAATTATTTTTATAAATCTGCCATTGATATTCCACCTTCAGGTAGTTTTTAATAAATCTCATATTCCCCAGATTATGAATTTAATATAGTATTTCCTTCTTCTGTCAAAACTAATTAATCTTTTTTTAAACCCTATATATTATTATCATTATCTTACTTCAGTAATGATATAATTAGCAGCTTCTAATTATAATAGATATCCAACCAATTCTTGATGATTAACACCTGTTGTCTATGAAATTTATAAGGAATTAATAGATTCATTATTCTCTAATAAACTAAGAATTTGATTTGCATGATCGTGTTTTTAATCCATAATTATTTAATAATAAATATATATAATATTCTAATCAATCATCCATTATTGTGTTTCAGGGTAAATTCATTAAAAAATGGAATTTTATTTTTCATTTTCTGATATTTGAAATAATATGATATTCAATAAGTTTTGAAATACTTATATGTTAGATAAAGATTATTAGAATCATCTATTAATAATAATTTAATATTGGCTAAACAATAATAAATATAATGGAAGAATAATTGTCACAGTAATTTGATTGTATCAAATTTATTGAGTCCCATCTATAAGGTACATAAGATATTGATATGTAATTAACTGATTTATCATTTCAACTACAATTATTGAAATCAGATTCAGAAGAATAAATCATTCAAGAAACTAAATCAATTTACTAAAACCAAGACTAAATTATTCAAGATACTTAATAATTATTTAAAGAATTGATTGATTATAAAGAACTCCAAGATTTGTATATAAGTCAAACTTTGCCATTTTTATAGTAAGATAATAAATTGTATTAAAAAATGGATGAATGTTTGAGATACAAAAAAAATATTAGAGACAGTTTAGATATGTTTGAAATTGTAATGCAATTAGATTAGATATATGAATAATATTAAAAGATAATTGAGGATAATGATATTTAGTAATTGTTAGAGAATATCAAGAATAATATTCGAATTTTTAAAATCCTATTACAATTACCAAAAATGAGTCCTAGATATGGACAAATAGAAAAGATTGTAAATTTGATTGAATAATATTGTCATCAAGAATTATTCACATCTAAATAATCATAATAAAAATTAGAAATACTAGATTTACTTGATATTTCATCAAGGGCATCCAGTATTTATTTGTAGTAGAGATTAAAAGTGATTGATCTATCATAATTAACTTTAAATGATTTATTGAATACTTAAGATGCTTAAGAGTTAGTTCATCTTATGATTTCAATCACTGATAATGAATTACAATATTTGAGAAATATGAATAATTTTTAATCATTTTTCTTTGAATTTTTGAAGTATTTAATATCATATTTTAATAAAAATCTATTTAAGCAGTATTTCAACTTTGAAAATTAATATAATAGAAATTTAGAAGTATTTAATTTATTATTAATTATTAGTTCTTATATGGTTATTTAACCTATTATAATATTTTATAATCATATTCAGATAAAGGTTATTTATAACCAAAAAATTTTGATTAAATATTAAAACTTGCATTTGAACCTTATAGTACTATAATCAAGATTATAGTAAAAAATGAATGCCAATTTCTTTAAGGAAATATTAATTTTTAAATAGATTCTACAAAGTCAATTAATGAGAAATTGGCAAGTTTTGATTTTAATAAATAAGATATATTGGAATAATCATTTAAAAGATGTTATGATTTAAGTTTTTAGATAGCATTTGAAGATTGGGTATTTGAATGTATTAAGATTTTGGATAATTTATTAATAATATTGAATTAAATTATAGATGAAATACCTTTAGATTAATTTGGATAATACATTTAATCAATTATCAATTAATCTGAAAATTAACAATTCATTAAAGGAACCAATTCAAAATTTTAAATGAAACTTAATATTTCTTTATTTGAGTTACTTATAACTAAGCATTATGAATTACATAATTTTAGAATGAATTAGCTAGTTGAATTAGATACTTTTATTAGAAAAACAATTGAAAAAAATATGGAAGAAGAATTATTAAGATAAATATCTTAAATTATAAGAGAAAGTATAATATATTTATATATATAAAATAGAATTATAAATGAATAGAAATAAAGCTATTTTAAATCAATATATGGAAACATTATCTTTAACATCTGCACTTAGATAATTAATTGAAGAATGTGAAAATAAATTGTCTATTCATATACTTAGATTATTATTATAAGATAGTTTAAATTAGGATTAAGATTATATTCACTCATTTACAACAAATTTAGAATTAATTGAAAACATTTTTAAATCTATAAAGGCTAATAAAATCAATTTTAAAGCATGTGTGAATTTGAATTAAAATGTATCATATGAAGAATTAGAAGAAAAATCAAAAAATAATTATTTTAGTCAACCAACTTGTTTTTGGGCTACAATGCATATATTAGTAGAAACTAAGTTCATTTAAATCAAAGAATTAAAACCTTTTTATGAAAAATTTGTTATATATGATAATTTATATAAATGATTCTTAAACAATGCAGTTCCAAAGAAGGTTTCGATTCATCTAGTGATGATGAATATCTTGATTAGTTTAAAACTAAATGCAGAACCTTAGATTATTATGAAGGACGTAATAAAGAAGAGGAAAAAAAACAATACAATTCATAAACTGTATAATAATATCGAAACCTCACTTTAAATGTTTCTGAATTGAAATTTAACAATTCAACTATATTTTTAGGATAACCATTTTATAATACACAATAAATACACAATTTAATTGAAAACAAAGAAAATTCAAATGATTTTGAATTTTAACCTTAAATATTGAGACCATTTCTAGGAATGTTGAAATAAGGAATATAATTTAGTTCTAGCTTTGAATCTGGTAATTTAGATCGCGTAGATTATGTAATATTTCTAATTTTTAAAATAGATTTCAAATGAAGAATATAATTTATTCATGAGAATTGATACAAATTCTATCGGTCATAGTAATTGGTTTTATTTCAAAACTACAAATAACTAACTCAATAAAATTAAATTTAATATCTGCAATTTTACAAAACCTTAAAGTCTATATACAAAAGGAATGAAACCTTATATTTTATCAAAAAAAGGGTCTTAAAAGTATTTTACATAATAAGGAGAATTTATTAAATATTATCAAGTAGGTGAACTTTATGTATTATCTTTCATTTATTAATATGAATATGTTGATGATGAAGTTGAATTTGCCACTCTTCCACCATATAAATATACTGAATTAAGAAGAAAAATTAAAAAATGGCATAAAAAATATAAATAATATTTAACTAAATTAAAATTAACAACTACACTTTCTGGTCTTGTTTTACCTCTACTTGTTATAACTGATAAAAACATAAATAAAAATAAAAAAATCATTATTGTAACTGCTCGAATTCATCCTTCTGAAACTTGCAGTTCATTTATGATTCAAGGTTTTATATAATTTTTATTAAGTGAATCATTCATGGCATCATATTTAAAAAAAAAGTAAAGTTTTTTTAATTATACTTAAGTATCATTTTTAAAATTATTCCTATGTTAAATCCAGATGGTGTGATTGTTGGTAATTTTAGAAATGGATTAAGTGGAGTTGATCTGAATAGACAATTCTTAGAAACTGATTTAACTTTATTACCAGAAGTTAAAGCTTTAAAAAGTTTAATTGAAGACAATTCTTCTTAATTAATAGGCTATTTAGACTTTCATGGACATTAAGTAAGAAAAAATATATTTCTTTATGGACCATAATCCAATAATGTAAACTTAGATTCGAAAATATTTCCATTGATACTTCAATAAAGGCTGGAATCCTTTCGATATAAATCTTGTGAATTTGGAATTCCAAAATTCAAAATGGGAACAGCAAGAGCATTTGCTAATTGTTTTATTGATGCTTTATGTTATACAATAGAGGCTTCATTTTGTGGATATTAAAAGGGAAAATCCTTTAAATTTATTTCAAAAGATTGGATACAAGCTGGACAATGTATTGGAGAAACCTTATTTTTATATTTTAATTTTAAATAAGTAAATTCAAAACAATTAAGTAAACATAATCATTATTTTTAGAATAAAACTAACTTATGAAAATCATTAATGAAATGTCAAGTAAAGTTGAATAAACTGAAGCAAAACATGAATCTGATGATGAAAATGATAGTCAATCAGATGCAGAAATATTTGAAGATTATGATAAAGATAAATTGGCAAATTTATAAAGTTAAATGAAGGCAGAATTAAGTCAATAGAATTTAGTTGTTATTAATAATAAAGATTCTCAAAGAAAGCGTATGAAAGCTTAAACAGTATCAAGAAAAATTAAGATTTAACCTATTTTTATGATGAATAAAAGTAATTAAAATAAATTAGTTAGAGATCAAAGAAAACCTATAGTATATCCAGAATTAAATATTTAAAATTGGGAATTCTCTAATAAAACCAATTAATCTATAGATACTAAAACTAGCCTCTAATAAAAAGGAATTAAAAATAAAATTTCTTCATCTTTTAGATTTGTATCTAGCAAAAGGGCCAATTCTCTTCATGGAACTTCACCTATTAATTAAATGACACATGAAATAAATACAACTTAATAAATATAGCCAACACTCCCTATATAGATTCCATCAAAACTGAATTCTAATAACTTTCCTATACTTGAAAACAATAGTTAAACATCAACACCTTAATATTTGCCTTTCATTACAAAACTATTAAAGAGCAAAAGAATAGTCACATAGAGTTGATCAGAAGCTATTTGACTTTTATAAATCTTAACATTATATAATTAATAAAGTTTTGGTTTAATAATTAAATGGGAAAAATTAAAATCTTCTAATTAAATATATTTTTAATGATATTCTGAAAAAATTATTAAAAATAAAATATTGAATTATGTTTAATCAATTCCATTAATTTGTGTATGTATCTCTTAAGAGTAATAAACTAAAGAATGAGGAATAAAATTGAAGAATTCTTAGTCATAAAATTATATGTTCAAAAATTTGAATTGATTTCAGATAATTATTTTTCGAATTCTTTATAATAATAATGGATTATCATTATTATATTAATTTATAAATATTATTTAATATATAAGATTACTTGGTTTTAAAATAAATAATATCCATAAATCTGAAAATGTAGAGAATTAATATAATTAATATTTTTGTTGATTCTAAGAAAGTTAATTAAAAATAATTTAATAAACATATAGAGATTATAAGAGCAAAATTAAATTACTAACGATAAAGTTTTAGGTATAGATAATAAAATTTATGATTAATTTTAATAGTGTAAGGAATTATAGAATTTATTAATAAAGTAATTTAAATTTATATATATTTATTAATAACATATAATATGATTAATGATTTGGATATTAACATGTGTCCCCTATCTCCTTTGGAATTTCATACTAATCAATAATAGATCATTTCTGAATAATTCTTGGAATATGAAAATCGATCAAAAAAATGTAGAGTTAGTTCCTAATGTTTACTAATTAAAAAGTACTATTTTTAGATCATAATAGAAAAATTCGACAAAAGAAATCTCGACCATCTGTCCTTCATATAGAAGAAGTAGTTAGAAATGTGAAGTTATACAATACTTGTTCTAGCCAATAGAATTTAGAGAATCTAGAAATTATTTAAAATAAACCTCTTGTGAAATCTAGTTGAAAAGATTTTGCTAACTTGAATTATATTAATACATACTTGTAAAAGTTTGAATAATATTAAGTTTTAATCTTTACCAAATATTGCTTAGCCAAGTAATATAAAAATGATGGATTAGATTTTTAAACATACTTTTATTAAAATAAGTTTTACCTTCTTCTACATTCTCATTGTTTACTTTCAAGGTAAACATTCCATCTTATGAGTATTACCTTATACTCTATAAAACTATTATATGGCTCTTTATCAATAAATTAAATCTGATTATGGGAAAGCTTAAATTAAATGAAGTTTTTCTTTAATTTTTAAGGAGACTTTGAAGTCTATTGATTACATAACCCAAATAATTATATCATTTGATAATCAAGATGTATAAAACACTAAAGAAGATAAGAAATAATAAATTTGTTTCTATAATTTACTTATATCTTAGACTTAATTTATATTCTGTGATTTATATAAGTTGGATTTATTATTTAATATAGAAGAAAATCGAATAATATTTTTATAAAGATATGGATTAAATAACTTCAATGAGTATATATAAACGGAGAATTACTATATTTTACTGAATTTTGTAAAAGATAAACTTTTAAAATAGCAATTTTTATTATATAACATATTTATATATTTCAAAGAAAATAATCAGGTACTCTTCTGGTCGTATGAGGTTCATTTTCTCTTGGTGCTGGTTCAAATTATATTCTATAATAAATATTAGTTAATTATACTAATTCATTTTAAGTTATTCATCAACCTCAACGATACATGCTTAATTACCACATCTATAACAATAATTAGGAGCAGAGAATATAGTAATAGTCTTTTGATTATGAACTTTTTGTATTCCTTCCATAACTAATTAATGAGCTCTGGCAATTTATTTCAATTTATTAGAGTGTAAGAATTTCTCTGTAATATCACAACCCCAGGTCCAACCTGCACCTCTTGGAGATATTCCCCATCCTTAAATGTATAATTAATTTAAATACCATTTTTTGTTTCTTCAGGATCACTCCATAATAAATCACACATTAATCCTTCATGTGGAATATCTTAGACTCTATTAAGTTATTTAATTTGATCTACAGATTCCATTGCAGGTGATAAACCTCCATGAGCACAAAAAATCTTTGAGTTTAATTNATTTTGCTAACTTGAATTATATTAATACATACTTGTAAAAGTTTGAATAATATTAAGTTTTAATCTTTACCAAATATTGCTTAGCCAAGTAATATAAAAATGATGGATTAGATTTTTAAACATACTTTTATTAAAATAAGTTTTACCTTCTTCTACATTCTCATTGTTTACTTTCAAGGTAAACATTCCATCTTATGAGTATTACCTTATACTCTATAAAACTATTATATGGCTCTTTATCAATAAATTAAATCTGATTATGGGAAAGCTTAAATTAAATGAAGTTTTTCTTTAATTTTTAAGGAGACTTTGAAGTCTATTGATTACATAACCCAAATAATTATATCATTTGATAATCAAGATGTATAAAACACTAAAGAAGATAAGAAATAATAAATTTGTTTCTATAATTTACTTATATCTTAGACTTAATTTATATTCTGTGATTTATATAAGTTGGATTTATTATTTAATATAGAAGAAAATCGAATAATATTTTTATAAAGATATGGATTAAATAACTTCAATGAGTATATATAAACGGAGAATTACTATATTTTACTGAATTTTGTAAAAGATAAACTTTTAAAATAGCAATTTTTATTATATAACATATTTATATATTTCAAAGAAAATAATCAGGTACTCTTCTGGTCGTATGAGGTTCATTTTCTCTTGGTGCTGGTTCAAATTATATTCTATAATAAATATTAGTTAATTATACTAATTCATTTTAAGTTATTCATCAACCTCAACGATACATGCTTAATTACCACATCTATAACAATAATTAGGAGCAGAGAATATAGTAATAGTCTTTTGATTATGAACTTTTTGTATTCCTTCCATAACTAATTAATGAGCTCTGGCAATTTATTTCAATTTATTAGAGTGTAAGAATTTCTCTGTAATATCACAACCCCAGGTCCAACCTGCACCTCTTGGAGATATTCCCCATCCTTAAATGTATAATTAATTTAAATACCATTTTTTGTTTCTTCAGGATCACTCCATAATAAATCACACATTAATCCTTCATGTGGAATATCTTAGACTCTATTAAGTTATTTAATTTGATCTACAGATTCCATTGCAGGTGATAAACCTCCATGAGCACAAAAAATCTTTGAGTTTAATTTAATTTGCTGTTACTTATTATTCCACAATAGCAGAGATAGGTAGATAACCAAAAACCTCTGTAAATTATTTCCAAACGATTTCATTACCATATTTACGAAAACATTCATCATAAAATCCATAAATTTTATTAATTTCTCTATTTTCATGATTACCTTTAAGAATATTAATCAATATACCTCTCAATAATACAATGCGATCCTTATATCTGACTTTGAGTGATAACATCAATGAAAATGTTTCAACTGATTATGATCCTCTATCTACATAATCTCCAAGAAATAAGTAATTAGTATCCTAAAAGTGATTTGCAAATTAATATACTGGTAGGTTTCCTCCAATTTAAAATAGTTCAATGAGATCATGAAATTGACCATGAATATCTCCACAAATTGTAAGGGGAGCTCTAACTTAAATGATGTTTGGTTCATCTTATAATATTTCTTTTGCCTATATAAATTGCTATATATTAAAACTTTGATGCATAAACTCTTGACTTCTTGTTCTGTCAATATTTATCCTTGCTTTAATTTAGCAATTTATCTATCAATATTACCAATATCATTGCTACTTAATTTATTAAGTGATGCCATTTTAATATAATTATTTGAACAGATTATTAAAATAAGATATATATATATCCATAAATAATAATAAAAATCATATCAATGGGTGGAGCTAAAGTTGATTCCAAAGATCCAGTAAGAGGTATCATCTCAGGTAAATACTATTGTTATTCATTTTATTTTAGGTGGCATAACAGGTGGAATCGAAATATGTATTACGTATCCAACTGAGTATATTAAAACTATGATGCAACTCTATAAAGAATATTCATAAAAAGGAGTTAAATATTGCATTGGTGAAACATATAGAAATTTTGGAATTTAAGGATTTTATAGAGGTTTAACACCTTTGGTCACATTTTCTATTCCTAAAGTGGCTTGCAGATTTGGTGCCAATGAATGGCTTAAGAACAATGTATTCACTGACAGAAAAAGTAGATTCTAAACTTTCTGTGCAGGATTGGGTGCTGGTGTATTTGAAGCTATTGTTGTTGTAACACCTACTGAAACTTTAAAGGTATGAAAATTTGTTTTAAAGATTAGGTAAAATTGATCCATGATAAATTATCAAAAACTCCAAAATATAGAGGAATGATTCATGGAATAGGATCAATTGTAAATGAAATGGGTTTATCAGGTATTTATAAAGGATTAATTCCAACTATTGTAAAACAAGGCAGTAATTAAGGTATCAGATTCGTTGTGTTTGAGGATACTAAGAAATTTATATAAGTATTTTGTAAGTTTATTATTCTATAGAAAACTTTTACATTTTTACCTGAACCAGTTACCCTATTATTTTCAGGAGGTATTGCTGGTGCTGCATCTGTTATGTGTAATACTCCAGTTGATGTGATTAAAACATAAATGTAAGGTCTTAAGGCTCATTAATATAATGGTGTTTTAGATTGTTGCAAATAAACATATCAACATGAAGGAATTAGAGGATTTTACAAAGGTAAATTATTTATTTCTAGGATTTTAGGAACTGTACCAAGATTAGGAAGAGTTGTTTTAGATGTAGCTATTACATTTACACTTTATGATTATATTGGAAGAGTTCTTAATCTTGTTTGGCCACCAAAACATTGATAGTTCATAAAATTTTATTCAAGATAGTAATATAAATCTATAATAAATAAATAAAAATACTTTTACAATACAAATGACCTAAAAAAATATTGATCATTATTCATTTAATACAAAGGATGTATTAGGATCAGGATCCTTTGGAACAGTTTTCAAAGCAATGGACCTCAAAAATTGTAAATAAGTAGCGTTGAAAATGATATCGAAAGATAAATTATTGAGAGATCAAAATGCTAATAATGGAGTAATGAGTGAAATTAAGATAATGAAAAAATTGAACAATAAAAATGTTGTATAATTAATTGATGTCTTAGAAACATCAAATAATTATTACATAATTCAAGAAATTTGCGAATCTGGAGATTTAGCTAAGTCTTTATTATTATAAAATCATATAGATACTTAAAATAACATTCATTTGTAAATGAAAAATTGGCATTGAAAATAATGACTGAAATTCTATAAGGCTTTATAGAGTTGATAAAATTTGGAATCATTCATAGAGATTTAAAACCAGCTAATATATTAATTCATTAAAACACATATAAAATTGCTGGTCTTTTATTTTATATATTTTAGTAGATTTTGGATTTGCTAAAATTGTAGATAATTTTGCATAACAATTATTTTATTCTTAAGTAGGTACACCATTATATATGAGTCCATAAATTTTAAAGAATGAAAAATATTCGACAAAATGTGATGTTTGGTCATTTGGTTTCTTATTTTATGAAATCCTTTATGGAAGAAGTATTTGTCATATATAATAATTATAGCCCCATGGGTTGCATCTTCTATTCCTTAATTAGTAAAAAATATAAATACATAACCATTAAAATTTTATGATCAAATTAATTAAGTTTCAGATAATGTCAAAGATTTAATTTCTAAATGTTTAGTTATCTAAGAGAGTAAATATATAAGTATATTTAATATAATAGATGATCGATATAGTTGGTATGACATATTTGGTCATCCTTTATTTAGTGCTTAATTTTAATAAACCCCAAATTTATAATAAATTTGTGAAGTATATTCTCATTTCTATTAAATAATAGTAAAAGGAACTTTATATTGCAAATAGTTTAAGAGAAATGTTGGGTGCTAAATAAATTAGTATTAATTAAATTTTTGAAGAATTATCTTAAAATTAAGATGGCATAATTCTACAAGATATTTTGAAAGAATTATTAAAAGCAATTGATACTGAATTAGAAGACTTTGAAATTTAATTCATATTTAATAGCATTGATGAAGATTAAAACGGTTAGATTACATGTCAGGAATTCTATAATTGGATGATAAAACATGATGTTATGCATAAATTGAATTATTCTAGATTATAAATGATTTATAAGTCAGAAGAGCATCAAATACCATCAACGGTCCATAACAGATCCAATAATAACAATGTTAAAATAAGAAAGACATTAAAACTATTATTTATAATTTGATATCAGCCATACAATAAGAGAATGAAAATCTGGTAGAATTATTTTACAAATTTGTAAAGAGTTCAGAAAATATGAGTTAACATGATTTTGCAGAATTGTTACTGTATTTATCTTATATTATATAAATAAGTTATTATGATGACAGTTTATGTGAAGATGAAATACTTTCAACCTTTTCTGTGTTTGATCTTGATGAAAAAAATGAAATCACATTATAGTAATTCAAATATATTCTTGAATAAGATATAGATGATTATTGATTAATAATTAATATAATCTAAACTTATTATCATTTAGTAATCAATGATAAAATATATGTGTATTAATATATAATTATTAACATAAGAGTTTCTTTATTTAATTTAGATAATTACAATCAATTTTAATCATTATTTTTTATAAATAAATATCTTAACAGGTTACTGAAATTTAATAAATAGTTAAGTACTACCAATATTGATTATACGATCAAAAATAATATAATAAAATTACACAAAGTTAAAAATGTTAATAATAATAATTTTTATTAATGAATTTTGTTCTATGCAATATTAACTTTAATTATTAAAATTTAATAAATAACATAAATGAAATATTAATGTTATTTAATCATTTATTATTACTTGAAAGTGGGGATAGTAAATTTATACCCTTTTATGGCACTTTTTATGGTGTTTTACCAAATGGATTAGCAGATTGTGGCTAGTGATTTTAATGGATAGTCTATTACTATTATTATTATTGTTGTATAGAATGTTATTATTAAAATGAAGCATCTTATGGTTTTGAATAGTATGCAGATTCAGATTTTGGTAAAGTATTACCAAAGTTCTCTTAGTTATTGATATAAGGTTAAACAAAATGTTAGAGGGTTTAAGAAAATTTTTATTAAGGATTGACCTATTTCTAATTAACTTTATCTTGATAAAATGCTTATTGATATGGAGGTAAAAAGCCAGTATGTTATTATGGAGTAACAAGTTTTAAAGCAGGTTGGTGATTTGAAGAGATTTAAAATGATGTTTTTCTAGATTAATTTTATACTGGGCTTCTACTTATAATTAAAACATTTCTGGAATTTTCAGTAACAGTATTAAGCTTTCTTCCTCTGTCATTATTGATTGGAGTTTGACTTTACATCAATATTGTTTACTTGTTTGGAGTTTTATAAAAAGCACTTAATGCTGTTGTATTTCTACTTTAAGCAGGACTTAAATATTTTCCAGATCTATCTAATACTGGAGAAACACTTCTTTATAAAGGAGTTCTAAAATATGATTGAATTGAAAAGTCTCTTAAAGCAGGAGATTTACTACTAAATCCCATGTCAGGTTGAGGTGAATTAGTTCTTTCAGGTTATCTAGGAGGTGATGTATATCTTCTTATTTTAGATTAAGGTAGAAAAGTACTACCTTATTATTAGAAATTAGTATCAAAAAGGATATCAGAAAGTGTTGGTCTTAATTATTCATCAAATGTTATCAATCTTTATACTAAATTAATCAATTATTAAGAGTATCTCTTTCTTGCTGATGATAATAGATCCATAATAGATTTATAATATATGGTTTTTCTTTGATAATCTATACAATCTTCCAAAACTCATTATAAATAATTATAGAATACTTGATGTCATAGTCATTAATTCCAATAAAGTGAGTCCAAATTAAAATGAATCTGTTTTTAATGGATCATCTTAAGGTGTTACTGATTAGTTCACTAAGGCATCTAATTATTATGGTGATATGTAAACACTAGCATCAGAATATGCTAATAATTTAGAATAAGATGTAATTATTTCTGGATATGCATTATGATACTATTTTGTTATTTATTTCAAGTACCAATATTTTAACTTATTTAGCATTATCAATAAAGATTGTTTATGGATTCAAATCTCCATGAAATAAATCTAATTTTTATAAAAATGAACAAGCAGAAACTATTTGTAAAATTATCTATATGATTTCATAATATTAATTACTTTCCAAATTTCACATTCTTCTAAATAACTACAATTCTTTTTATGAAAATTTATAACATTTTCTAAAGTATTTGGAATATATTCAAAAAAGAATTTCGTTTATTATATATTTCCTTTAAATGTTAAATAATTTGATTAACATCCATAATATTACAAAATATTTGGATGATTTGCTTTTTTTCTATCATTATGTTCATTTATATTTACATCATGTCTTTAACCACTATGAGATAACTTATTAATATAAATATATATATATATACTTTTGAAAAGATTGACGGTTTACTTTTTGAATCTCTTCTCCATAATTATATTAATCCTAAATATTTGTGTTACTTTGATCCAATACATTCTAAATTATCTTCTAATTTGCCATCCATTGAAATCACTTGTTCATTTACATAAGAAGTTTAATTACCCATTTTTTTAATAATAAATTTTGCTGTTATATATAAATATTAAAAAATTAATATACAACCAGTGATATCAATCATATATTTCAGTTCAATATATATCAATATGGGTCTACCAAATATTATTATGTATCGTCAATTTAATAAGATTGTCCACTACTTCAATTATGTTTAAAAAAATAAATTATATCTTAAACTATTTAATTCATTAATTCTAAAATTAAAAAAATATCTAGAGTTTAATCAATATACTAAAAAAAAGGGTTTCCTTTGAATAAACAACTTTTATTAAGTTTTTTAAAAATAATAATCAAATAGGAATAATCAAATTAAATGATAATTCAAATAGATTTTAAATGATGGATGATTATCTTGAAACTTTAATTAAAAATAATTGGTTGAAAATTAATGTAAAAAAGTAATAATATTTATCATATATTGAATATAAGTATTTGACTTTCGTTTATAAATTGTAATGATATTGAATATATATTATTTTAAGAATGATATGTAATCTGATTAATGAGTTAAGTCAGAACATCAATAATTTAAAATCTGCTATATTAAATTATTGTTTAAGCAAAATTATTATTTATTTCTTAACCAATAATTTTAAATTATATTTAAAAAATCTGTTTTGATTGAAATGCAAAAATAAAGTTAAATACCACTAACTTACTTATAGAGTGATGGGGATACATTTCCAGTTCCAGATACTATAGATATTGAAATTGGAATATTATTAACATCACCATAAACAACAATAATATCAGAAAGAAAGAAATCATTTCAAAATCAATTTAGATTAAAAAGATGTCGCTAAATTTTAGAATTTACAGAATAACTTTATATCTGGAATTCGTATCTTTCCAGAAAATTTTCTAAATCCTCATTCCAACTTGAATGAATATTTTTAATGATATGTGTGTTAATTTTTATAGTGTGACTTTTATCTTCATTAAATCATATATATAACTATAAAAATACCCAATAATATTTCATTTTCTTTGCCATAATTAAATTGAAGACATTAGAATTAATATATATAGTCAATACAATTTCAATGAAATTTTGTTATGTTAATTAAACTCTTTTTTTGATAATGGAGTATTATATATATTTTACGTTTAAATAAAGTAGTAAGATGTTTTTTAACTTTAGAAAAATTATATTAATACATTATTGACATTATTTTTAAAAGCATTTAACCAATAATTTTTGATATTATATAAATTAGATTTAAGAGCATAGAAATGCCATATCAATTATTTCAACATTGAATGAAGGTTATCTGATTGAATTTTGAAGAATTATTATGTTTTTATATGAAAAATTAATATATTATTTAAAATTGTAGATTTAGATGGAAACTTTGATTAGAATATCAATATTTGAACAAAACTGTGTTAGAGATTGAATTACAATAAATTAAATTAAGATTTTAGAATTAGATCCACACATTATAAATATTTATCAAATTTTATTCATAAATTTATTTTTGATAATGATAACTCAAAAATAATTATTTTATTTAGGAATCTTAAATACTTAAAATATTTTATTATTATTAATATATATAATTTATCTTAGAGAGGACGATTTATTTAATAAATTTATTTAATATTTTAATTCATAAATAATTTAAATTTTGAATATCTCTATAAATATATATAAAATTTAATATATTTTTAATTACATATATAATATTGAATAATAATATAAAACATCAAGTTTAGTAATAATATATTGGTTAAATCCTAATAGTTTTAACATCTAATTTTATTGGTTATGTCATTTATGGTGATTCTTTAGTGAGAGTATTTTAATTAGGTATAATATCTGTTTGAGTCTGTTAATTTTAACTTAGAATTTCAATTTATTAAGATTAATCTAATTAGATGAGTTCTTATTATTATTCAGTTTAAATAAACGCTTCTTAATATTCAGGTAATTTAATTGGTTAATCATTTATTTAATATTATTTAAGAATTGCTTTTAATTTATTAATTTCATCAATCTATTCAATATTTTAAACTTCTTTCTATTTTTCTTATTATTATAATTTATTTAAAAGTGATTAAAGTTATTATTCTTATTTCATGATTGTTTGATTGTAAGATGAATTTTATAATTCAAGTTGATTAATCATTTATTATTATTTAGCAATAGTCTGTTATAATTTATCAATTTGAGAGTTTTCTTATTAAGTTTTTTGAATTAACTTTTATTATTCCTATTTGTTTTAACCTTCATGATAAAAGTAATTGTGATCTCCTTAACATTAATTCTTGGTTATATATGCTTTGTGTATATAAACAGACATTTAATTAATGTTTTATTTATTTATATTACCTATATTTGCAATAGATGATATATAAATAAGAAGAAGTATAATATGTGGATGTAAACATTTGAGTCCATCAGAATGTATTGAAGTAGAATGGTGTGAATTAGCATCTTAATTTGATAAATGTCCTATGGATGCTGATTGCATAACTTATCAAACTGAATTAGAATGTGAACAAGCAAATGCTAGTTAATGTGTATGGTTAGATAATTATTGTTTAAATAAATGTGAATTATTGGAATTCAATACTTGTTAAAGCAAAGAAATAGATTCTAATTGTTCATAATTTAATACTAGTACAACTTGTGAAACATATTCATGGTGTGAATTTAATACTACTACATCAGTTTGTTAATAAATATAATAAGTTTCTTGTAATGATATTTTGAATTCAATTGAATGTGAAGAATATGGTTGTTAATGGGATGATGTTGAATTTTGTTAAAATAAAGATAGTGATTGTAGTTAATTTGAGACTATAGAGGAGTGCATGAGTTAATTTTAAGAGAATAGATAATGTATATGGATAGAAGGGAAATAATAAGTAAGTAATATTAAATCATCTTGTTTTTAATCAAAAGAATGTGATAAATACACTTATGATAATAATGAACTTGATATTTGTGAATCAATATCTAATTGTAAAGTAGATGAAAATTAATGTCAGAGTTGTGTTTAAGATATGTTTACATTTGAATCAATTTTATAATTAATAAGTATATTTTATTTGTTTTGATTTTCATTGTTATTCCTCACCATCAAAATTTTGATCAAATGAGATTATACTATTTCTATGCAAATTATTAGTATTTTTATCTAAATAATCTGATTATTCTGTTACAAGAATTTAAATACCATCATATTCCTTTTATAATCTATCTATTTCTTCTTTTAGAATATTCTTCTTTTAATCTCCATCCTGACTATATTATTAATATATTTACTTTTAAAGATGCCATTTATTCCATTTTTTATTTAATTTCTCTAATTAAATGATCAGCTTTTTAATTTAATTCTGGTACTGTAATAATATCTTCACTTTATTTCTTTATTTTCATAAAATCTGTTTCTTTAAGTATCTAATAATCTATTTTTTGATGTTGATTAAATTGCTATGAATTAATTATATCTCTAAATTAAATAAAGATATTTTAAATTATAGGATCTTATGTTAAAGATAACAATTAATCAGATATTCCTTATAAAAATTGATCAATTATTTCTTTAATATTATCATGTTGACTAATCATTTGAAATTCTTATTCTGAATTCTTTTTACTAATTATTGATCTAGAAACAGATGAATAATTATCAACTCTAATTTATCATATTTATTATTACTATAATAAGAGTAATTTTAGCTGATTATTTTCTTCTCTTAAATCATCATTTTATTAAGTTAATTGCTCATATATTTTCTAAAATTTCTTCATTTACTAAGCTTAAATCTCTTATAATTTAGATTATGAAATATAAGATTACTAAATAGATTTCACTTCTTAATTTTTTTCATTTAATTATGTTTTTAATTGCTTATTTTATTTTTCAAGTTCTGTTATTTTTTAATCTTATTTATTTATCTTCACCTTAAACTCATCTATTTAAAGATTTAATTTAAGTTATTGATCTAATAAAATTTACTTTATTTTTTCAATATCACTTTGATTACTAGAAACCTTTTCTTCGAACTTAATATAAATAAATAAAAACTTTAAATTGTCTAAGATTTCTATCAGTAACTTAATGATTATTATCATAGAATGGTTATGATGAATCTCTTTTATTTTTCTCTCTTTCTATTCTATATTATTGTATATTTGGACTAATATTATTCATTTTCTATTAAAACCAATTAGAATCTTGAGTTATAGAATTCTCTGATCTTTTAATAGCTTAATCAAACTATTTGCTAGTATTATTTAATTCTTATTGAATAGAAATTTAACTAGATTAATATGTAGGAGGATATTGAGTTTATTATTATCTAAAAATTAATTCAGACATGTCATTATACTAAAATTAGATGATTAAAAATTACACTTTAATTTTAATTACGAAATGGTTACTTCATAGCCCTATCTGGAGTGTGATATATTGGACTTTGATTTTAATATATTTTAGTATATGATTGATTTTGATTTACAAACATTCTCTTTGGTGTAGTATCTTGATAATTCATCATCTTGGTTCTTAAAAAATGTTCCGACATTGAATAGAAATAATTATATTGTCAGTTAATATTTAATATAAAATAATGGAGATAGGTTAATTTGATAATTTATTTCAATATGCCTCCTAATTGGCTGATTTGGCATTAAATGTTGGTATTTGATCCTGTTTTGATAAATAAATAGGATTTGTGTTGGGTCCTCTAATTGGATACGTGGCTTAATATTAATTGATAAAGTCATAGAAGAGTGTAGGTTCATTTTCAACTGATGTATGTGCAATATTATTGTTTGCCAATTTGTTAAGAATTGTATTTTGGTATGAAAAACGTTTTGAAAGTGCATTATTGTATCAATCAGTTCTGATGATCATGATGTAAGTAATAAATCATACTATATTCTTAAGGTTGAATTATTAAGACTATGTCTGACAATAAAGAATAAGTCTGTTTATAAAAATAAACCAGTCTCGTTCTTTGATAGCCCATTTAATAAATTTTGGAGATGGACTTAATTAAATTCCTATATAGCATGTTTAATCACCTTCTTAATTTTTGTATTGATATCTAGTTATTTGAATCTTGGTAACCCTCAATATTGGGAAATTATAGGATTTCTAAGTTGTGCAATAGAAGTACATATAAATTTATATTAATAAGGCCACTTTGGGATTACCTTAAGCTATAAAAAATCATACATCAAAAAGCGTGAAAGGATTGTCATACACAATGATAGGATCATGGTTTTTAGGAGATGCATTTAAGACATTTTATTTCATTGTCAAAAATTAACCAGCTTAATTTGTGATGTGCGGAGTAATCCAATTAAGTGTTGATATTTGGATTATGCTATAAATAGCAGTTTTTAGTTCTAAGAAAGGAGACCTAGCAGAAATATGATTTATTATGGAATTAATATTTGCGATTATGATTAATATCATTTTGGTACAACTGAGTTATCCCAAACACTGCAAGTGTTACGTCCTCCTTAAAGATAGATGTATCCATCTACTCCCCATTTGGTAGACCATGAGTTTTTAACAATGAGAGCTTCAGAAGTGAAACCAACAGCCAAAACAGCGTGGTTGATATCTCCTGTGCATTAAGAATCTGGGAAGATGTAATTATCAGATGTGGGTTTATAGTTCTTCCAATCTGAGGCCTTGACAGCAACTGAAACTGGTCCTTATTAGAGAGCAGCTTAGTGAGCAGCTTCGTTAGCGGCGATGGCTGTTGATCCTTTGACTTTGTAGGGACCTCCCTTGATTCTGCAACTTCCAGTTTCCTTAGCGGTCTATTTAAGAATTAATATAAAATAATACATATGGATAAGCATCTTCGGTTGTAAGACCATTTCTCTTGACATAGTTCAAAGCTCTTGATGGCATACCTCCATTGCATCCTTAGTTGAAATCAATTAAAGTTGAGCAATCAACCAATTATTATTCTGAGAGATCTGGTAATTCACCAGTGGTGACCTTGAAGAATCCTTCCAAGACACCAGTTGTACTGAAAGCCCAGCATGAACCACATTATCCTTAGTCTTTGACATATTGGACTGCACCTCTTGTTCTCCAATCGATTGGTGTAGCATTAACATTATTGAATTCAGCCTTTGGTACTTCCAAATCATCAGGATTGATTTTGAGGGTCAAATAATTTGCAGCAAATTCTTCATCGGTAAGATCTGTGAATTAAGTTTCACCGAAGATTTCTCTTCCTACCTTTTCGTTTCTGGCTTTAATATCGGCAAGGTTAGCTTAATAAACTGATAATCTATAGAGGAGTTCAGATCCAGAATATTATTTGTTGAATGTGGCTTAATAATTTGTAAATTATGTAGCCAATTAAACTTCAGGAACGCTTTGAACATTGTAAAGTGTTCCGACTAACATCAATAAACCAATGGCAAGAAGTGTCTTTTCCATATTTAAATAATATTATTTTCAATGTCATAATCATTGATTTTTATAATACTAATGATGATGTCATCATAAACTTTGATTGACTAAGTCATTTTAATTTGTTCATAGCCCTTCCAGAACTATAATTATTATAAGAAATAGCCACTCCCATTATCGCCCATGTCATACTCAACAAGTAACCTCCAAAATTAAGTAGCATATTTTTGTTATCTAAAGATACATAATTATATTTAGACTACATTATTTAGAATGAAAATAAGCTAAGCACAAATAGATTGAATGTGCTATTATTAAACATACCCACACTAGTTTGGATATCATATCTTGTGTCACACCAAAAACATGCACTAAACAAATGCAAAAATTCAAACATTAGGCACTTGAAGTCCATCCCAATTAAAATGCTATTGCTCCTCTCATCAAATATATTGACAAATCATCATTATCCAAAACCAAAGTACTTTTCCAAAGTAAATAAATATTCTTGTTATGATTTGATTATAAATACAATTGTTAATAAAATTAGCACAATTTTACATAAAAGAATTGTTATTTTACTAACAACAGCCCATAATAATATCCAAACTGATATTGTAAAGCAATAAAGCCAAAAATATAAATGGGTTTCTAAACTCCAAGACACAGTATGAATACTCCATAACAATGCTATTAATGTAGTGGCTTTATTAATTAAATATCAATTAATACTAAATATGATTCCCCAAATAGAAAATGCCCAAGGAGGAGGTGTTACTACTAAATGATAACTGTCACTTGTAGATTTTCCTGTTTTTACTCCAATTGTCCCATTTATAATTAATGCTAAAATGTATGCACAAACAGAGATACTATTATAAATCTAATATATTACATTGAGACCATATTATAGTTTTTAAATTTGACACCTTATCTGAAAGGAATTGTCTAAGATTCATATATGAGATTGAACAAAAAATCCATTATTACTTTTATATAAGAAATTTATTATTCTTAAAGTTATGAATTAAAACTTCTTTAATAATTCTTGAAATATAAATAATAAATATCATTATTCTTGTTATGAAACCTTAATCTTGCACTTATCATAATATATTTCATTATATCTTCAACACTTAAGAAATAATTCAAAGAATATTTTCATCCAATTTTAAGCTAGTTCGTATTTAAAATTAAAGATTTCAAATTATAAATCTATCTCTTTATTGTTCCATTCACAGTATAATTAAATATTATTATTTTTAATTATGATATTTTCTCACTTATTTCTAAGTATTTAAGAAAAATAACTAATGGGATCAAATGAAGCTAATTATTTTATCTGCATTTGATAGTATCTTCATTTATTAATAAAGTTATAGAAATCTTCACAAAGATCAAATAAGATGTAAAAAATTTTTATTAAAAGCTTTACTTTCATTGAAAGTCAACCCATCAAATATTATGATTTTCTTTAAATCTTTCCAATTACAAAAATTATTCATAATGATATAATACACAATTTACCTATCCTAAGTGGAGAATAATCATTTTATTAAGATTACTTTAGAATCATTAATTTGTTTATACTTCTTAAAATTACTAATTCAAATTATTATGAATTAATTACATCTAAACAAGTTTTATATTTTTTTTATGAATCGCTTATATGCTATCTTAATGAATTTATTATAATTGTTTTTATTATCATAATTCTCTTTATACAATGATATTAATAGAGAGTACTGATTTATCTATTATTATAATAATTGAGGATTATTCACTCGATTTATGAACTTATAATTTAATCCTAATATCTCACTTAACTTAGAGTATTAAATATATATTCATTTTCTTTTAGCTCATCTTAATATTCAGACATTGCTATTCAAAACTAATAAATAAATTAATTTAATATAAAATGGCCGATGAAAATCCAGATGATAATAATTTTGAATTCATCAAATTCCTTCCTGAAGGTGATCAAAAGACCAAGTCTTCTAGAGATTATACTGGTAAAGGATAAGCCAAGTATGCCAATAATGAAATCTATGAAGGTGATTATGTTGATGGAGTAACTGTTTCAAATCTAATTCTTAGAAAAGAAATGGTAAAGGCAAATATAATTATGCCAATGGTGATGTATATTTTGGAGATTTCATCAATAATGCTAAACATGGAATTGGTAAATTAACATACAAAGAAAAGGGAGACTATTTCGGTTTCACTCTCATTTATTATTTTAGGTTAATGGGAAAATGGTAAGAGACATGGAGAAGGAATTTTCACTTATCCAAACAAAGACTAATATAGTGGATGGTGGGCATTTGGTAAAAAAGAGGGCAATGGAACATATATTTATAATGATACCGGAATGAGAGTAATTTCTTAATATCTATAATTACATAGTTAGTTGGTTAATGGAAAGAAAACAAATTTGTATCTGGAAGATGGATTCTACCTAATGGTACATATTACGATGGAGAATTTGATAATAATAAACCTAACAAGACTGGAATCTGGTACTTTAAGAATGGTAATAAAATATAAGGAATATACAATCAAAAAATAATTCCAAATGATGATCCTGATGATAAGAAACTTAATATAGAAATGAAATGGGCATCTAATGGATATTTATATTAAAATGCAGATTTAGTGAATGCACATGAAAAATTCTGAATTATCATATTAATATAGGAGATTCTTAAAATCATTCATTATATAATTTTAATTATTCCTAAATTATATAAAAGGAATTACATTCTTTTTATTTATTCTAATATTTTCAGTATCTAAAACATGTTTTTCAATATTTTCATCTTTATCAAATCCAAAATTCAATATAAAATTATTTGATTTTGAAGGACTCTCTCGACCTTTAAGTGTAGGAGATGCTATAGTTTCAGGTATTCTCCTATCAAATAAACATAATTGTAAAATCTCTAATAACATGGCAACAAATGTAAGCACTAATTCAGGTATACAGAGAGGCATTAATTCTGCATCAATTATATCTCTCATATAAACAAGATTCAATATGTTTGACCAATCAGTACATTGCTAAAAAATTATTAAATAATTATTAATACATTTTCAATATATGTATGCATAGTAGTTCTAAAATGAGCTAGAAATCCCAATTTAGTACCAACAATAGCTAAATGTGCCATGTGAAGAAGTATGAGGAATGTTGTAGGACAATAGAATTTCCAAGTCACTTTATAAATTTTATGTTTAAATATTCCTTTTCTAGTTAAATTTTAAACTATTGCAGAATGAAATATGGCTCCAAAACCCATCAAACAACCTAAATTGATATGATCAATAATTACCTGCCATAATTAGAGCAATTAAAAATACAAGTTAAATATAATTGTCTCTATAATTAGAAACATCGATTTATTTAATAGTACAATTATATTCAGTAAATTTTTAACCAAATAGACCAAATTTTGGTGTTTCATCAAAATACTCTAATCCAGGTAAACTATCATAAGGATATTCATTTTCTTCAAATAATATATATTGATCAAATTCATCTATATAAGCATATTCTGATGATTAAATAACACATTTATATGCTGATTCTAATAATGGATATTGATTAATTGACTCTCCATTCTCATAGCAAACATCGATTCCATAACTTAAAGTAAAATTGTAATAAGATTGAGTAATATTTTCTTTGGAGATTAGATCTTCATAATTTCCACAATCATTTTGATTATTTTTAGTTTAACAAACCCCATTACAAATAGCTGTGCAGTTTCTTTCATAAAATAATTCTTTATAAGTATATTAAGATCTTTTTCCACATATGGAATATCCCTTCCAGATTACAAAATCTTAAGATTAAATAGAAGCAATTTCATCACAACCCTCATCAATTTCAGATTCTTAACAATGTTCATTTTTCAATTTATCATAATCAATTTCAACATTCTCATCTTCTTCTCCAAATCCACAATCACATCCTTATTATTGGCTTTATATAAATACCACTTGATGTTTCTGGGTACTTATATGCAAAGAAGGTTTCAAGATCAGATGGACATTTTGAACCATAAACTTTTTGAATTTCAATAATGGGTTTGAATTCCCAATTATCATATAGATTTCTATCCATTTTGTAATGATTTATGTATAGAATCAAAGCTAATGGAAATATGATACACTCTATAAGGAAATTAAGATATTGAACAGAAGCAGCAAAGTGAGTAGATTTCCAATAACTAGGTTTTTGCTTCATTAAATAAAATATTAGAATTATATATCATGTACTTACATTTACTAATTTCTCCATTGCGAATAATATTTTCTTAGATGATTTGTAATGTTTCTAGGGATCAATTAACAATTCACATATTCGTTACAAAGTAAAAGGTGGCCTAGTATAATAGATGAAAAATAATATACTTTTATTCAAAAACACAAAGGAATTGAAGTACTATATCTAATTCATCTTCGAAGCCTTCAGTTTGAGCAGTCTTTTCATAAGGGAAAAGCTTTTGCATATTTAATAACATATTTCTTGTTGTAATGACAATAAGAGATCTCAAATGGAGCCAGTTATATTTTTGAATTTCACCATTCTAAGAGATAGATTCCAAAATAGGTTTTAATTGTGTCATTAAATTATTGATTTGATTGGGTATCTCCTTTGAGTATGAAATAAAATCTTTTACTTTCTTAATTCGAATTCCTTATTAGATTTAACTGACAATCTCTTGGGTTTGTTCATAGAAATCTTTGAGTTGTGTCTAATAGTCATGTTGAATCATTTCTTTATTTTCATTCATTTTTATTTAATTAATTAATATATAAGGCTTTGCTGAAGTATAAAGTATGAGTGTTGATTGTAGTTAAAATGAATGTAATTATTATTCATTCAATCCCCTATAATATCTATATGAGAAAAGAAATCTAATAATATTAATTAAATTAAGATGAATCCTATTTAATAAGCATGGTTAAAAATCCTGAATCCAGTATCTGCTGTAATCAATGAGAAATTAGCCAAACGATCAGGATTATTGGGTAAGATTGGAAGATTCTTTCTTATTGGCCCAAGAGAATTTGGATATCATCCAACAAACTAAATGTTCATTTATTTCAACAGAAGAGTGCTCTTTGCAACAGCTTTCATGGGTCATAAATACTCAGTGTTAAAGTAATTAACATCAATATATTTACAATAGAGGATTAACACATTAAGGATATCATATGTTAAGACCAATGAGAGCAGCAGTATTCTTGGGACCAATAGCTGTATTGGCAGGTCTATTTAGATTAGTCTACTATTCTTCTGAAAATAGATCATATTAGTATGCAATTTTATTTGGATAGTTAGTCCTGATAATTTGGATTACGTGATGAAGAAAGCAACTAATTCATTACATTTTCCATTAAATACATTGAATCAAAGATTATCAGCGCATTACACAGAAATTAGTTCTATTTATACAGCTGAAATGATGAAGAGAGTAATAATACATTTATATTCAAATCTTAGTATCATAAATAACATGCCAAAATAATCAAGGAGAGATCAACATAATCAGAACAAGTTAAGAAAACTAAATATGCTGATCCATCATATAAATATGTCCCAATGACTCCAGTCCACATAGATGATGTAAAACTCGCTTGAGATAAATAATATAAATATAATGTTAACAATCTTCGATGAGTTTTATAATAATAAAAATATCCCAGACTTCCTTGATGATGATGGCATACTATTGAATAAGGAGAACAATATTCAATTGAAAGAATTGTAAGGATATTTATAACTTATAATTCATTAGTTTAGTCAATAATGAAGAATTAGTAACATAGATGCTCTCCTTTTTTGAATATGATGAATTAGAAACTGATCACAAACGTGTCATCAAATATCCTTTTGTCGTAAGCGAATTATTGGGTTCACTTTATGCTTTAAATGAAAAACATCTAAATATCCTTATCCGATTGTTGAATTCCTAAAATACTCTACCTTCTATCACTATTGGATATATAAGTAAAGTGATTATGAATGTTCTTAAACACAATCCTTGTATTGTAATCATCAATCTTAATAATTTAGTTTTGGTAAAATGTCTAATTGTAATAATTGGGTATTTTACTACAAGATATCAATAATTATTCCATAGCTGAACTAATCTATTCTATGATTATATATTAAACATAAGAGAATTAATTGGAGTATTTGGAATAAAGAATAGAATTAGTCAATCATTTATTGAATGAGATCAATACTGATAAAAGTGAAGGAATTTCAAATGTAATATGTATGTTATTAAATCAAATTACTGAAACACTTCAAGAATAGAAATCTCTAATTATTAAACATTTATTTACAAAATTAGACATTTTTCTATCTGCCTTGCCTTAAAGACCATAACCAATATTAAGTGTCCTCATAAATTTAATTAAACATCAATAATACTATGAATCTGAAGTCAATTAAATTTATAATCATTTTCTTGAAAGATCATAAGAATTATTTTAAGATTTGCTGAAAAATGAAAGTTCTTTTGGTTAAAATAATCTATCATACATTTAATTTTATGATATACTTACCAATTAACCTTATATATTACAGAATATCAATGCCTAATATTTAATATTCGCATTGTTTGTATAATATTATATTATAAATAGCAACTAATACAAAAGTATTAATATCATAATCAATTACATAAATATGCTACAAATATCATCCTTAAATTAATTCCTTAAACTGACAATCAATAATTACTATAGATAGCTCTTTCTGAATTTAAGTATTTATATTTAATAATATAGGATTAAACCAATAAAAGAAAATAGAGGATATGTGATTTAAATAATTAACAAAATATATGAAGTGAATTCTAATCTATAAATTTAAGAGGAAGAATTATCAAATGTCAATTAAATTCAGAATAATTATTTTTTTGGATAGATACCTGATTAGAAACCTATATTCAATTTACAAGAAGAATTTGAAGCAGCAATGAATAAATTATAGATATGAAATCATTAAATTTGTTCCTCATCTTCATCAGAACTACTTGGCATATCATAATTTCTTTATCCTGTATTCTCTTTCTTTTAAGCCATTTCTAAATACTTTTATTCTGCAATTCTTAATTCTTTATCATTCTAACAGTCAGCATATAAATCAAAAGCATCTTTATTTATCTTAAAGAAGTTCTCTCCCCATGTAAATTTACTTAGAATATAATCTGCTTATTCTCTTCTTCCACATAGAGCTAATGTAGCTGCAATAGCTTCTACACATGATAATTTAAATTATTTTCCAAAATTAACAGGATTGACAGCAACCATATGAGGTAATAATCTTTCATTTGGAGATACATATGTAATTTCTTCTATTTTTGCCCATGAACAATCAATTACACATATCCCTTTTTATAATAATTCTTCATCATCTTTTGATACATATTTCTTCCCATTTGCACTTACTATTATTCCTTAAAATTTCACTTTTGGTTTTATTGCTGTCAATAATTTAAATCTTTCCATTTTTCTACCAGTACATTTCTTTACATCACATTAACCATAATCAATCATAAATAATTTAACATCATTCAATCTTTCATCTATCTTATTTATTTATTATTCATCATCATCTTCACTTTAATCTTAACTATTACTCTATTAATTATTTATTTATTATAATTAATGTAATGTTATTTATTATTGATGACCTTATTATTATTTTTAATCTCTTTTATCTGATCTTGCTTTTTTCCAATTTTAATACCTCTATTTATTGTTCATTAATTTTATTTTTAATATATACAATTATATATATATGAAGGCTAATCGATTTATTATCCATAATCCTACTATTGAATCTTATTAATTAGAAGAGTATTACAATCATTTCAAAAGAATGGAAGATATTGATAAAGAAAAAATGAATATTTATAAAAATATAGAGTCCAATAAGTCAGCATCTAATTACAGATTTCTGATGTTACAATAAACATCCAAATTTAATAAACAACAATAATAAAATGCTCAAGATCATCTACAAAAAGTATTGTTAACAATATTTTACATAAGTTATTGGATAATAAAATAGAAAGAATCAAAGTGAGGGATAATCCATATGTAAATTAAACTAGATTAAGAGGTATATCTTAAGTTGATCTAAAAAGTCCAAATATTAGTTTTAATAGTTCTTTAGAGAATCTCAACTTAATGAAAAAGCTTTAATCTCTTAAACCCAACATATCTAAGAAAGATTTGGATTCCCATTATGAAAAATAAAGGGAATATGGAAATAGATTAAGAAAACTACCAAAACTTCCAGATTCAGATAAAAAATATCACTATTTTTTTTGATTTGTATAATTTAAATCAGTCAAACTAATTTTAAAACTCTTCCAAAGAATCTTATTCTGAGACATTATCATCTTATTATAATGATTTAATCTAAATATTGAATCTTTCATTCAATATCAAAATCTTCTTGTATAACTCTTCATTTTCTTATTATACATTTGTTTAAAATTATTGACTTAATGTTGGATTTTCTTTATTAAAAGCAATCCAAAATTTTTCAAAGTTTTAATCACTTACATAATTCTAAGTCACAGCCACACAATCTTCAATATTCAACACAGCATGCCACCATCCATTTGGAACATAAACAGTCTCATGTTCACTCTAGATAAAATCATAATATTGAATATTTTATTAATCACAATATTCCTTTATTAAAGGAACTATGATACTAAAATAATCAATAGGATTATTAATATTTGATAACACCTCCTAACTAATTAAGGATTTTCCTATTATTATAATAATAATCATCATACCTTTAACAATATTCTTATCTATAGATGGAGGAAACATAACCCATCTTTTTTTACCTAAAACAACACAATTCCAAGCAGATGTTTCATAAGGATCTATATGAATCATTGATCCCGATTGCTTAGGTCTAATATATCAATAGATTTACCCACATAAAATCCATCTATATTATGGTCTTTTCTACTTCAAATAAGCTAGGTAGTCCTATGGAAATAAGTATGGTATCTTGTATTAATTAAGCATATTTTTAGGGATATCTCCATCAAATATATATAAGGGATTGTAATCACTATTGTCTTAAAAATATTGAATGTATTAATCAAATCTTAATTTTAAATAGTTGCCATCATCATCTATGGCACACCTAAATTAGCAATCTTTATAATTTTGGATTAAATAATCCCAATTCCAATTTTCCCAATCTTCATCCAATCCATTGATAATTACTGGAACCTTAGCATCATATTAGGTTTAAAATTCTTTAATAGATAAATTAGAATCAAATTTGATTGGAGATTGTCCAACTTTTTAAAGCAATAAATCTTTGAATCTTTATTGATATTGAAGTGATGCTCTTTGTTAGTATTTAAGAAAGATTTTTAATTCATCAACATTCTTGAATTCAAATTATTTTTATGATTGGTTCATAAATAAAAAAATAATGAATGAACCTGTATTGGATCTGATGATTATATTTATATTTTAATAAAAAAACAATTAAGTTCGTTAAATGAATTAAGCCTCAAGTTCTCTCTCCAGAAACTTTTATAATTATAATGGAACTGCATATTCAACAGATAGCATGAGAGTGTATAGTAAATCTCCTAAAAATGCATAATAATACATTAATCGATATTAACCCTGTATTTATTCCACAATGAGCAATATCTAAAATTTACAATCTCTTAAAAACTAAATATCTTAATTACAATCTGTTTTAACTCAATAACATCGAAAAAGTAGTTTTACTAGATCTAAAGCAGATTCTTCAGCAAATATTTCAAATGATAGATCTTTCTATACAATGATTAAAGAATAGTTGAAATAGGTTAGTAATTTATAAACAATAGAAAAAGATTCTAGTATTTTAAATATTAATCAAACTACTTAACAATTCAAAAAGGATTATATAAATAATAAGAAGTTAGAATAAGATTCAGAAAAACAATCTAATATTATGACACCTTAAGGTAGTGCTGTGAAGAATTAAAGTATCTTAAAAGAAACAACAAATAATGTCATAAAAAGTGAAAAATAATAAGTTTTAAAGCATTTATTATATCCAGTAAGTGAAACTAAAGTAGATAAAAATATAAAGTAAAATAATAAATTAGAAGAATAACTTCGAATTGGACTTCAAGATAAGTTAAGTTATTTAGAATAGAATAAATAAGAAAAATTGTCTAAATTAATATAAGGTATAATCTATTGTAGAATTTTATAGAATTTAAAAATTCAAAAAAATTATTAGAAGAAGACTATCAGAATTAGGTTTAGAATGAGATTTAAATATTTGAAAGGAAACTTAGAAAATTAATGATGTCATAAAATAAGGATAAGAAACTAAAAAGACTTAAAAAAAGTAGTTTATTATTGAATACTAAATTAAATCAAGAGTCACCTTGTATGGTATTGTTTGCAATAATTTGAATAGCTTAGAGTTCATCATAATCATTAGAAAATCAAATTAAAACTTCTTACAATTTAATGAACACTTTTAAAAGATCAGATAGAACCTAATTAATTAGTAGTTTTAAAAAAGATTGTAATATGTTGAATTACTCTATTGATAGCTTCTATAAATAAGGATAAAAAGCAGAAGGTTCGATTCGAAAATGAACAGGGTACACGTTTCAAAACAGAAACAGAAAATAATTGAATTTATTAGAAGTTAGAAAAATAACTATATATTTTTTTATAATTTATTTAAAAAACCTAATGGGATAGTTATACAGCTTTGTTTAAGATAATAAAAAAATGGTTGGCATAACAGCAGTTGCAGCCTTAGGGTATGAATAGAATAATTATAAGAGCAACAGCAACAGTGGTTTATAATAAAAGGAAATAATATTTGAGTTAGAGCGATATTTTTAAAACACCAAAACAACTTGATGATGAATATTTTCCTTCAAAAAGACCAACATATTATTTTGATGACAGAGAAGATACGTTAAATACAAAAAAAACGAGAACAGGAAAAATAGATCAAATTATTGATTCTATTAATGTTAACTATATTCCCAATTCTGAGTGCTTAGAACCTTAAACTATTGTCGATATACTCTAAAATACTATAGAACTAGCAGGAGATGAGTTTATTCGAATGACATTAAGAAATAGAGCTTAAAGAAGATAATTTAAGGAAAATTAGAAATTAAATTAATACAGATATTAAATTATTAAGTATAATGAAGATTTAGAAGAGTTGTTAGAAAAGGCATAAGCAGAATTATTAGCTAGATTGGATATTAATAAGAATATTTTCGAAGAAAGTATGCTTGTTTTAATGGAAAGAGGATTTTTTCAATAATTGTATATGTTGTAAGCAAGTGTCAAATAAAAAATAAAAGAAAAGATTCCTTCAAAGAAAGATTTATCATTAAAATAAATTAAAGAAGTTATAAAGTTCAATATTAGAATATTGAAAGAATAACCAGATCCTTTTAAAAATATTATTAATTATATGATTGTAATTAATTCAAATTATTTAATAGAATAAGTAAGATTAAAAAGATTATATTCCTAATGTAATTAGTTTATTGGTTCAAGATTTTATCTATTAGAAATATAAGATTGAAGAAGAAGATCAAATAAGAAATATTTCTAAACCAGGTATAATATTTAAATATATATATATATAGAATGTATGGGTGATCCTGAAATTCTGCATTTAATGGGTGAGATAGAAATGACTATGTAAGAATTGATGCAAAATTTGGGATTAGGAGGCATAGAAAATATTCCAGATAATTTTGAAAATTTTGCATGAATATTTTATATTTATAATATTTAGAGAATAACAAGAAACAAATATTTTTATAAATTTGTAACAGTTCAAATAAAAAGATGTTTTCTTAAAATTCAAAAGCTTTTGAAAGTTCTTCAAGATCATATCTATATTAATATGAGTAAACTATAACATAATATAATTAAACACTTTCATATAATATTCGTTAAAGAAATAAAGAAATTAACTAAATCTCAGATCAATTTAAATTAATTGGAGTACCTCATAATATCAAAACATTGTGCAAAAAGGGCAACAGTTTTCTTTTTCTTCCTCTTAAATATCATTCGAATTATATTCTTTCCAGCTTTCTACATAATATGTTTGGCATAATTAATTGCAAAATGTAATTTGATGTGCTTTGGACTTTTTAAGTATTGGTTAACCTGTAGAATCATAACGAATTTTCTTTTATGAATTAGATTTTTGATCCGAAGATAATAAGCCTTTAGATTTGAATTAGGATGATAATTAATCTTTTTAAGTTGTTTCAATGCTTTCTGATTAGTATTTATTTTATTGATTTTGATCTTTAATATTAAATGGGATTTCTATAAATTTTCTATCTGTTTCATCCTAAGGTTGTGGATAAATTTACATAAAAAATATGATGATTATTAATAAAAAATATATTATACTAAAAATAAAATATTATTAATCATCACATTGAAAAATAATAATAATAATGTCCAGTTCTTAAATTTATTAGAAATGAAAGAATATTTAATAATAAGAGTGAAAGTATGTAAATTATGAAGGAAATGAGAGTCAAAATAGTTAGTTTTTAAATGATAAATTTTTAAATATAAATATAAATCTTGAGTTGATTCAATATTATTTAAAAGTTAAATAATTGTATAATAAAATATTAAATAATCTGAATGACGTGATCAACACATGATTGCCTATATTTACTATATTTTACAAGCTAAAAATCATAGAAGATTTATTATTGAATACATTAATCAATAGATCTTAATGATTATATGTTATTGGCATTAAGACAGAATCTCCGATATTATGATAGTTATAAAAAAGAGGTCGGAAAAATTAAAGTAAATTAAAAAATAAATCGCAAATAATGTCATGAATATTTAGGTTTAAATGATATGATAATGTAGTATTATTAAATACATCAACATTCGACATTGAATTGAAGCTATATTTATTCAATTCGATAATTTTTTAATAATAAATATGATATTTAGCAGAGGTCTAGTGCAAAATTAAGAGTTTTGGAATAAATCTGACATTCCAATATTTGATAAGGAAGACTTTCAAAATGTATAAGTGTTAATGGGGAATTTCACAAAAGTTGGAAGGACCTTCAAATAGAGATGCCTCAGAACTTACTTTTTGGTCAAATAATTTTTATTATACTCTGATGTAGGAAGTGGAAACAATATAAAAGGATTTGTATAATTGGATACTGTATATTGTTAATTTAATTAATTGGAAACAGGATTTTAAATAGCATTAATAAATAATGGTTACTAAATTCACTTGAATACAGAGGACAAGTAGTAATTCAAAATCTGGGTAGATGCTTTGTCAAATTGTTGCATCTTAAGTGATTTTGATTAAGTATACAAACTAGGAATACAAATAGGTTAAGGAAGTTTTTCAACAGTAAACCAAAATATATATTTTAAGGTTCATTAATGTTTCAATAGGGAAGGTGAGATATTTGCTGTAAAAATAATAAAAAAACAAACAATAAAATAATTTAATAAAAATAAGTGTTACGAAGAATAATTATTAAATGAAATCTAAACTCTTAGAATGTTTAATCATGCTAATATATTAAAACTATATAGAGTTTATGAAAATCAATAGAAAATATGTTTATTAACTGAATATATAGATGGTCCAGAGTTGGTTTCATAATAATCATCTAAAAAAATATATTCATCTGATGATTTAAGAATAATGATAATTCGTTTATTTAGTGCAGTTGAATAGATTCATTAATAAAAAGTAATGCATAGAGATATTAAACCATAAAACATAATATTAAACAATAATGATATTTAGAATCCTGTTTTAATTGATTTTGGATTAGCAGCATTTACTTATTAAAAAAATGTACCATTTCCATAATGTGGAAGTCCAGGGTATAATATTTTACTATTTAATTTTAGTTATTCTGCTCCAGAAGTATTAAAATATGATGAATCAAAAAAAATATATAATCAATAATGTGATATATTTAGTTTAGGAATAACATTATTTGTTGTTTTATATGGTTATAATCCATTTAAACAAAATGATTTAAAATAAACCATTAAAAAAAATACTGATGGATATTTTGAAATACCCTCATCCAAATATCCAAAATCATGTAAAGTGCTCTTTATTAATATTCGTTAGTGGAGAATCTTATATGTTAAATGACAAAAAAGTATCCTAAAGATAGGATTACCATAAGTGATGCATTAAACCATTCCTTTTTTAAGACTCCATTTTTTTGTTAAATTCAATTACCTAAATAAATTGTATCTAAATAATATCGTGATATTATTGCCAAAGGAGAGAATAATACACATATGCATGCTAGCATGGAAATGGATTAAGGTGTCAATTATGTAAGTTAAGCTAATACATAAACTACTCCACAAAATAATGGATATAAAAATAGAACCATTTCTATAATGAGTGTACCTATTAGTAGAAAGAGTTAAGAATATTAAAAATAACAAGAGATTAGTTCATAATCTAGAACTTCAAATGATAAAGATTGTAATCCAAATGATAAAATTCGTATACCGTCTAAAACATTATCTTATCAAAAAAACATTAAATTAGATTATGAAGATGAATATGAACTTGATAGTTTGGAACATGATAATAATTATGTAGATCAAGAACATTTATATAAACTTAACTTCTATATTAACTAAAAGTTATTTTAAACCTCTAGACTTAGTGTAAATAAACATAATAATTGACTATTATATATTTATATTTTTATTATTTCTTAAATATACTTTATTTATTTATTTATCATTTGTATTTTTGTAAAATTCCACCAGCTGAAGCAACTAAACAACCTATATCTTGAATCCAAAGAAGTGGTTCAGGGAAATTCTTTTTAGGTCCATTAATAACTTTGATTTCTCCATCAGCAACAGAAATAAATTTATGAGTACCATCCCAAGATGAAGTAACAAATAATCTAATTAATTATAAATTAATTATTTACTTTTAGTCTATTCTACTAAGAAATCTAACTACAGAGTCATGAGCCTTAATAACTTATTAAATTTCTATTGATTAAACAAATGTATAAATTCTTATTTCTCCAGAACTATTTCCAGTAACAAATCTAATTCCATCTAAAGCAATCACTGATTTAATTTCATTATCTTATGGAACTATTCCAACTAAATCTCCATTTAAAAAATTGGATGCTACAAGTGTACCATCATCTGAAACTGAAGCAATAATTTCTGGAGTTATTAAAGCTATATCATTAACACTTGCTTAATGAACAGCAATCTTTTATACTTATTATTATGTTAAAGCATTAAATATTTTAATAGTCTTATATAAATATAGATATTTACTCCATCTTCTGAACATGATGCTATTAGATTTTTAGGTAAATTAATGATTTACCAAATATATTTATCATGAGCATTAATGACTTTCCATTTATCAAAGTTTTCCCAATCCCAAAATTACAATTAAAATGACTCTTCATTTTCTTCAACACTTATTATTATTCCTTATTATACCTTGCAATTATATATGTTTTTTTATCTAATGTCACTGTACACAAAGCAGAAATATCATTTTCGCAATCTACTTATGAAATAAATGAAAAGTTTTTGGTTTTATCAAAAATAAAAATTCTAGTACCAGAACTATATGCAAGTAGTTTTTAATCAATTGAAATTATTGATTTTACTTAAGGATTTTCTTACCTCTCAATTTGACTTGGCTCAATTATTATGTCTTTCACTCCTTAAATCTTTTATTTAACTATCATTTATTACTGTTTTTATTTATTCAACTATAAAATCTTGTTCTTATTTATTTTTTTCAATTAAAAACTATAAAGTAGGTTCCTATAAATCTACTTTTGGAGCATCAATTACACTCTAAAATCAAATAGGATTTATGATCATACTTATTTACTAATCTATTAAATCTTTTTAGAAATTTCATCTTTTAATTAAGTAAATTCATTATTAATCTTTTCCAATTTCTTTTTAACTCCTTAAGCATCTTTTAAAGCATCTATAAATTGTCTTGATTCCTATTCATGAAATAGTATTTTAGTCAATAGACTTGAACTTGTATCATCACCTTTTTAAAATTATATCTGTTAATCCATTATACTACTAAAAGCTTCCATTGTTTTAGTGGTCACTAACTAAAGCATAATTATAAATTTTATATACATCAAATATGTCTTCAATTGTAAAAAGATTATTGGGCAACTTCTTAAATAAACTATTAACAAATAATTCATGAATGCCATTTACTAAAATTTCATGAATAGAATCAGCTGTTTATATTAATTTTGTTCTGAATTATTCTGTCTCATTAAATAATTGAGTCATTTTTAATTTGAATTCTCCAACTAAATCATTTGATATTTAAGTTTAGAGTTTATTTTATATCTCTTTAAAAGTAACAAATTATTCCTTTGTTCTTTATTATTTGCATAGAGGACATGCTTTAAATGTTTGACTTTTATCTGTATAATTTAAACTTACACAATCAAAAGCATTATTATGAATTTTACATTTATCCTCTAATACAATTGTATTTTATTGATTAGCCTTTTTACTTTTGCCACCACAAGCAAACATACTTATTTTTGAATTTTAATTTATCTAATTATTTACAATACTATCAATTTTTGTGATATATAAATTAAATATTGTATAATAATATTGATCAATAAAAATATATAAGGAAAGCTATCTTATTATTAAGAATAAATGATTATTTTATTTTGCATTGATTAATAATTTATTCAAAATATATTAGATGAAATTAATTCCTTAATATCTTACATTTTTGTAATTACTTCTTATTACACCATTAGATTAATGATTTATTAGATGATCAATAAGAAATTTAATTATATTTATTTAATCAATAGGATTGTTGATTGACTAAATATTTTATAGTGATTATATAAAAATTATAATAGTATCCTATTGTAACTGAAGTTATTTTATTGAAAATATAGCAATCATATTTATTATTGTAATATTACTAATTTCATAATTGATTTATGGCACCTAATTCATATGTTTGGACTTGATAAAGTTGAATTATTTTCTTGAGCTAAATAATATATATATTATTATACATAAAATTAGCATTTATTTCAAGGATGTTGATGAAAGCTCAAATATATGATCTATTCTAACTTTAGTTTGTTTTCGTTTCTTAAAATAGAGAAATATATATCCAATAGTTATGATTATCCAAATACCAAACCAAATCCATAAAATCTTCAAGCAATAACCTATATCTTCGCAATTGTAATTTTGATCAACTTTAACACAACACTAACATTCTGATGAACAGTATCCTTTTATCATTTCAATATATGAAATGAACAATAAAATTTGCAAGAACATTAATTTTAGAATTTTTTGTAAAAGTATTGTTTTATCAAAATATGGACAATATATATATTATTATGATATGATATTTAATTAGATGATAAATTTATTATGTAATGAACATTTCAACTAAACTAAGAATATCATTTTAATATAGAAATTTAAACTAAAAACCAAAAAATATACTACTAAATAATTTAATATTTCCATAAAGTATTAATATAGAAGATTAAAAATGTAATTAGTAAAATTCATTTATATTCTAAATTTTTATGTGAATAGTAGGATTAAATAAGTTAAATAAATATCTAAAATAGATTTTAATTGATATTATCAATTGTTAAAAAAATTAATGAATTCCTATTCTTCTATTGAACCACTATCATTTTGATCCATAATTCTATAAACTCTATTGATTGCAGCCTTATTCCAATCTAATTCAAGCTAAAAGTATATTTATATACTTTACTTTTTTGAGTAAAAAAATAAATTCACTAATTGATAAATCTTTAGATTTATTTGTGTCAAATTCTTTAAAAACATTCATAACATAAATTTTACCACCTGCTCTTTCTATAACTCGTTCTTTTATTTATTTTAAACTATTCTATAATTATTCTTAAAATGCTGTGTCTTCTTACTTTTCATCAATATTCCATGCTTTAGATAAAATAGATGTAAATGTTTCATCAGATGCTATATTTAATGATAGTTCTTCATGAAATTCCAAAAATTATTCATAAGTTAATTCATCACCTACACAAATATTATTAATAAATGTTTTCATTCCATCTGTTAAATTGTTAATCTTATAAATTTATCCTAGATATATATATATATGTTTTATTTTACTTAAATAATCTGATGTAATTTTAGTATTTTGTTAACTATCATATACTTTAAGTACCATAGCTTTTCTTCTTTCATTCATTTCTTCTCTAATAAAAGTTAAAAATTCTTGAAAACTTAAAAACCCATCTCTGTCTTTATCAAAATATTTAATTAATGCTTGCAATTCAATTATTTTTAAGAACATTCCAACACTCTTCAATAGATTATCTAATTCTTCTAGATTTAATTTTCCGTTACCATTTTTATCATATTATTAAAATATTGCTCTAATATTTAATTACTTTCTTATTACTTTAATCTTGATAATGTACAGTATGGATTAGCTTTACAAATATGATTTCTAAATCTAAAAACCAATTCTTATATAGCAGTTGGTAAACCAACTCCGTAATATGCCATAGTTTTTATTTATAATATTAAATTTAATTAAAAAATGAATAGAAATATACATTATATTTAATAATTTATCATATATATTTAATAAATCATAACTTTTATCAGCATATAAGAGTTTATATATAAATAAATAATAATATTTTCATTAAATGAATTGAGAAGAGACTGAATAAGAATTATATTATGGAAATTCAAATTTAGGTTTATTTTGAGATTTTTCACAAGTTTTATCTAATTCTAGATAACTCTCCAGATTCTCTAATTATAATTTAAGTTATTCATTTTAAGGTTATGTACTACTTTAAGTTTTTAATAATTTATTTGTTCTATTTTTGATTTACAAATCCTAAAAATTAAATTCATTTATTTTACAGATCTTCCAGAAAACTATCGAGCTATCTAAGACCATTTAGATCCAAATTATTTATATAACTACATTAATTTTTGATCCTCTAAATTAGACCATGGCTATTATTTGATATCAATAATATCTGATCTTAACTTATTTATATATCTCTCCCTTATTTGTTTCCCTGTTTTAGTTTTTAATACTGTCAAACATATAATATTATATATACTTCCAGCTATTGTTGCCCAATTGTTTTCTTCCTTATTAACATTATTCCTTATTATTTAATCTTCTTCAGCAGTCCATTTACTTTTCTTAGGTTATTCAGATTTATGTTTTCTCTACCAATACTATTTACATTATGTCAAAGTTCTTCCTGGCATTCTCTCAATAATCCTCTGCCAATCTCCATTAAATTAATAATACAAATTTGCTATTAAATCATTTTCTTATTGAGTCCATTTTTTCATTTTTCCAGTCTAAATTCTATTCTAACTAATAGTTTACATTTTTTTCAATCTCCCTACTTCTACTTCTACTTCTAGATTCAAAAGTACAATCATCCACTTTATATTAATTATTGAAACACTAATTTTTGTGAAATAAACCTGAGTTGTTTTCAATATCAAAATTATGAGTTGATGACATTTTCTAAATTACATCTAAATTTTCAGAAATTTGATTTATTTCGTTTAAACAACTAAAATATATTTCCTCTAATTACTCTATATCTCTAAGTTAATCACATTCAAACTATAATTAATTGTTTTAATCTAATATGTCATTCTCAAACTAATCTTCTTAAACAAAACAAAACTAATCATTATTCAAATCATCAAAGTTGAAGTCTTCATCATAGCTCATTTTAAATAAATATAAGTAATTATCGAAAAAAAACACATCAAAATTCATATTCTATCATGCTCCAATCTTCAATATCTTATATTTCTAAATTTAAGACTAAACCAATTATTGAATTGTTAAAAATATACATTTTAATTTACAATTGCTAATCTATCTGGTTAGAAATATTATATAAATAATTATATAATTGCGTTTTTCAACATAATTAATATTAAAATACCTTATATAAATTCTTATCAATTACTTAATGTATGTTATTATCATAAAAATTAAATAATACTAAATAAATCAATCTAAATAGGTTTCAAGAATTTGATTTTGAATAATTTCTTGACTTTTAGTAAATTTTTATATAGAAATATAATTAACTATAATTTAATTAAGTTTTATAAATCAAAATTGTTAAAGTTCAATTGTTTTCAAATTTTTTTTTTTTCCAAAGATCGATGAGAGATTTAATATTTTTATTTTACAAATTTTATACAATTTCTTTTTCTTAATTTAAATTATCTCGACAAACCATTAAAAACATACCCATATGAATTGATGTCAAAGTATTATGAAGAGTTTCTCCATTACTGTCTGATTATTTGAATATAGGATCCAAAACACCACTTAAAAGGATTTCAAATATACATTTTGATATCATAAACAAGTTTGCTATAACTTTATCTTTGTCATTATTTGTAAGCAATAATAAATCATCCTTAAATAAAGTTATACAAGATAACATATAAATTAATTAAAAGACTGTTGTTTATTTAGATTCAATTTCCTTTGACTTTTTTTTAGTTAATTTCTCTAATTAATACATTTAATATAGGATTGAATATAGAAGATTACAATGATTGATATCATTCTCATTATAAGGCATCTTTCCTTCATTTATTATGATTTATTTCTAAATTTAATAGAATGATTATTTAGTTGTTATTGTAAAACAGCAACACTTTGCTAATGTTTTTCTTTTTAAATATGGCTGATTTAACTCTTATATATGATATTTTACTAAAATTTCACTTAGAGCCTACATCTAACTAAAATTCAAATATATTGTACCAATTGACATAAAGATGTTCTCCTTTTCCCTTTTTTTATTTTGGAATAGGGGATTCTAAATTTTCATTATCAAACACACTGTTATATTCCTCTTACCTATCTTCAATTAAATATTGAGATTCATTTTATTGTTTTATTTATATTTATTTCTGTTTTGATTAAGAATTCTGTTGTTGATTTATGTATTATTATTAGTTATGTTATGTTTATTATTATTAATCACATTAATCTTTAGATTCATTAGTAGGTTGTGGACGAGAATAACGATTATTCTACTTTTGATTTAAATCACTTTTAATATTTTTGGAGAAAAGATTTACTTAAATGAAATTGACTCGTTTTTAGTATTCTTATTAGAATTAAGATTATTAAAATGTTTAATCCATTGTACTTGCTGTTCCTAATCTTTCTATTTATTTCTTATCTTCATTATTATTCATTTAAGAAAAAGTATTTATTAATATTTATAAACATTAATGAAAATAATAATCAAAAAAATTTTTGACCATACATATTAATTTAAATCAATTGAACAATTCAAATCCTACTTTTGATTACTTTTTCTCTTTAACAGAACAATAATTTCTTTAATTAAATTTCAGTTATTTTTTTATATATATAAAACTACTCTTAATTTTAATAGATATGACTTATAAAATTGAATTTTTTATCCTTTTTTTTATATATATTCAATTAAAAACTAATCTATAAAGAATTAATAAATGTTTTCTATAAACTTCCTTTGATGATCTAATTCTTAATACTTCAATTTGTTTGAATTTCATCAAAACATTTTTATTTATTCCTCCTCATCTTTTGAATTATTTTTAGATTAAAAAAATTGATTTATCAATCTCTATTTAAAATAACTTGATAATATGAGAAAGATAATGTAATTATTTTACCTAATATTTAGAGAAACTATAATGTATTCTTATAATTATGAATAGTTTATTTAGTAAGGAAAGTTTTTTAGTAAATTTGAATTTATTGCTATTATAAATAATATATACAATCCAATAAGTTCAAACAATATAAATAATTTGTTATATTTATAGAAATTACATCAAATATTTTCATAATAACATTCTTAATAATATAAATGTATTAATTAAGGCATTAGAATTAAATAACCTATTTAATTGGAAAGTAAATATATTTTAAAGTTAATTGAATAAAGAAATAGAATTATATAAATATCAAAATTAAGAATAATGGTTTCAATTTATGTAATTAATTAGAATCAAAATTTACTTATGATTAAGGAATCTTTTAAATAATATTGTATGATTGTTATGATTATTCATTGTCATTAATTTATATATAATCATGTGATTCCAAAAAGGGATTTCACAAATTACATAAAACAGCAATCTCTAGATTTTCTTCTCCTCTGTTGCATTAAAAATATTATTATAAAAATATATATGTTAAATTCCAAGAAGCTAATTAAATCAAATCAGTTAACTGAATTAAATAATTATCTTCTCTAAGTAAAGCAAGCATTTATTACAGATGTACATCATAAATAGTTTAAATAAAGGATTTCTAATTTACAAATGAACCTGATAATATAAATGATAACAAATTTCCATTATAAGAAATTATTGAAAATACTATTCCATAAATTAAATAGGATTAAATAAAATAACATATATCTTAACCTTCAGATGATATTTAGAATTTGCTCCAAGGTTTGACAACTCTATTGGAAAAAAATTTATAAGAATCTCATAATTTATATCAAATTTTTTAATCTAATAAGTAGTTTAATAGTAAAGATTAAGATTCTAATTCTTCTTTTTAATATTAAAAGGAAGAGAATATTGAAGGATTACAAGAAGATATTAAATAAAATGAAATAAAATTATTGTAAATGTAAAATTCCAGATTACTAAATAAAATTGAATCACTTAATGAATAAATTGCACAATTCGAATCAGAACTACATGAAAATTCATAGGATTATCGATAATTGGTTAGTCTAATTAATTCTACTTATTGTATTTAAAGAATTCAATATATTGTTTAATAAAATGAAATTGTAGGGAAAGGAAATGATGAAGAAATAGAGTAGGGAGTTTTTGTTATTGTTGATGATTAGATAATTTTATCTCCTTCTTATTTAGATGAAAATAAAATGATTTTAGATATTTCTTAAATATTAGATGTCACATATAAAAATGATTTTTAAATTATTATACATTATAAGGAAGGTAAATTAATATTAATAATGGAAAATCAATAAGACTTTAGTAAAATAGATTTATCTTTATGGTCAATTATGAGAAAAAATGTTTGTCTAAATTCTGAGTAATTAATATATTTATTAGATTAGTAAATTATTTGAGAATAGTTTATTTGAAAGACCTTTAAGATAAGAAATTAATATAGATTATAAAAAATTAAAAGAGCAATTGTCTAATATAATTCCATAAATGGAATAAGATTCAAAATAATAATTTACTTTAAATATTAAAAATTCTGATCATTTTACTGAAGCTCATTAAAATAGTAATATTCTAATTTAATCTTAATAATCACCAGAATTAAAAGGAACATAACCAAAATAGATGATTTAAATAAATTAATAAACAAAATTATAACATGCTCTACTTTAACTAAAATAAGGATTTTGCATGATTAAATATTCAGAAGGATAAAGAAAGCCAAATATTAAAATTATATATTTAACTGAAAATGAACAATATATAAAATGGAAAGATGAATTATAACCTTTTGATTAAAAAAATACTTCAGAATAAAAATCTATCTAAATTTCATAAATAAAAGAAATCAAAGATAAAGCTTAAGGATCAGGTTTTGACAAATTTAAGAAATATCGTTAGGGGAAAGAATCTCTTGGAATAACAATTATTGCAAAGAGAAATTTGGAATTAGATGCACCTAAATAAGAAATTAAAGATTTATTTTTGGAATGTTTAAAAATTTTACAAGAAAATAAATAAAATAACAAATTTGAGTTGAAAAATAAAAAATGAAATAGTAAATAAATTTATTATTATTTCCACTAATTTAATATCTTTATGATCAAATATATCTATTTTATAGCTTTTTTTAATTTATTTCAAGTTTGATATTGTTATTATAACTTCATACAAAGGTTTAAAAATAGAATATTACAAATCTAAATCTGGCTCATATAAACAAATTAATTCCTTAACATATCATATGAAGAAATATTTAGAAGAAGAAATATGTTTAATTAAATAAATATGAAAATTAATACATCCTTTTTCTTGTTCCATAAAATACTTTGGATAAAATAAAAAATTGAATTTCATTATCATTATCATCTACTTAAAATTTAAGATTGAGATGTAATTTAAATCAAAAGATAATATTAAACTATGTATTTTAGATAGAGATTAAATCTCTCATATTGAAAAGCCATCCAATCAACTCTTCTCATTTATCATCGAAAATTTAAATATAAATTGCTTTATGGTTAATAATAAAAAATTGTTTGTATTGTATAAATTAAATAAGAGTTCCTAAATTTTAGTATATCCTATGAGCTGAAAAACTAATAAATTTTTTTATAAATATTATTACATGATATAAATTAAATATGCAAAATATACTAATAAATCATGGATAAGATTCAATAATAAAATCTATTTCAAAGATTTTCTATATAAATTCGATTGAAATATTTAGTTATATAATCAAATTAAAGATATTAAAATTCATGATTATTTAAATCTGATATATCTTTTAATATATCAGTTATTTATACAAATCAAGGGTGATGTATTTAAGTTTGTTAATGGGAGGGTTTTATTGTTCAATATTAGTAAAAAGTGAAAATAATTGTTTTATAATTTGTTTAGTATTTTAGAATATATTAAAATCTTTAATTTTCATTTTTCAAATTATGGCAGAATAAACATAAGACAAACAATTCAAGGGAGTTAAGAAGTTCACTTACAGAGGACTCTAACTTGAAGAGTTGGTTAAACTACCTATGGATAAATTAGTGGAATAATTCAGAGCCAGATAAAGAAGAAGAATCTCAAATCAAGGAGAAAAAGTACATGCTTTCTAAAATTTAATGAAAAAGGTAAAGATGTGATTGTAAAAATTAGATTAGAAAAAGCAAGAAAGAAACATTACCTGGTGAAAAACCAAAACCTGTCAAGACTCATTAAAGAAATACTATTGTTGTTCCAGAAATGGTTGGTTCAATTGTTGGAGTTTATAATGGAAGACAATTTAGCAATGTTGAAATCAAGTTTGATATGATTGGCAGGTATAAATGATTTTATAATATTTTAGATATTTGGGTGAATTTTCTTTAACTTATAAACCAACTAGACATGGAAAGCCAGGTGTTGGTGCAACTAAAGGATCTTAACACACAGATTGATATTATGGATTTAAAAGTACATTAAATTAATTTATATATATTTTTATTTTCTTCTTATCATGCTTAAAGTTTGCTATCACTATGTTTTGAAATAGTGTCTTAAGATAAAGTCAAAGGTTTATTCTTTTCTAAGAATCTTTTATATCTTAACTACTCAATAATCTATTCTCTTTATTTTAAGAGATTCATATTTTATTTAAATTTCTTTTATTCTCTATCCATTTACTTATCACATTTATTGTTATATTATTATTTGATATTTATGAATCTTCTTCCATTATCAGCACTTATTTCTCTAATTTTATCAAATTTCTCTTCTAATTCTTCTCTTTTTTTTTATTAATGTTCAATTAAATATTGATCCTTTTTAGTAAATTTCTCTTCTATTTTCTATCTTTTATTCCTTATTTCATAATTATAATATATTACTCAAATTATTTTAGTTTATCTAAATATCTTTTTTTAAATTATTCTTCTTTTTATTTAATCTCTTCAATATGATCTTTTTCTAATACTTAAGATTTATGTTATTTAAGTTTCTTTTTTTCTTCCCTCTAAAATTTTTCAATTACTGTAGCTAAATTTGAGTTATATACATTCTAAAATTAGGCTTCACTTCTACTAATCAATAAAGGTAATTTTGTAGACCATTCATCAGATTTTCTAATTTTTTTAGTTGATTTACGAGTTCTTTCTGTTTATATTTCTTTTAATCTATTTTGCATCAATTATTAATCTTATTCATCTTTCTTTCTTAAGACTTATTATAATTTTTCTTCATATATCTTTTATTTTTCCTCTAAGACATCTACATATGATTATTTAATTTGGTCAACCCTTTTTTATCTATTAATGGTGTATATATATTAATTACGCTTTTTCTATATTCTATTCTGTTTATAATTTCTTTATCTAAGCATTTTTATATTTCTCTTCTTGAATAACAGTCTTCATTTTAGTTGATATCTCTAAACTCTTTGATACATCCTTTTTTGCAATTAATGATTTCTACATTAATTTATTTAATCTATTTTTTTCCTTCTTTTCTAATATTATCTAAAGTTTCTCTTTATACTTTTCTTATTCTTCTTACGATTATTCATCTTATTCTTTTCTTTTCTATTTAATTTTATTTAAGATATTTACTTATTATAGTTTGTTGAATTTTTATAATTGTCGATCATTCTATTAAACTTGACTATCTATCCAACTTTCAATCATTTCAGTTGGACTTTTATAAGGAGCATATTCACTTATATTGATACTACTATTCATGCTTTGATCTAGAGTTTAGATCGATTTGGGACGTTACTATTTTTCAATCCATTCTTCTCTTTTATACTTATTCCTTTATAAAATAACAGATTTTTTTATTTAAGCTACTTAAAAATAATGTAACCAGTATCTCTTCTCTTTTAATTCTTCAGATTCTCCATTTTTTTTAAACTCTGATTTATCCCTAAATGTAAAAAGGATTAATTTTACAGCAATTCTAATTAATTGATATATATATTTAAATCCTATAAAGCCTTGTTAGTTTTTGGAGATTAGGGATCTAATTTTGTATTATTTAAAGTGACAAGTGTTTCATTTGGTTTGATTTTGAAGTCTTTTAGGTATTTCTTATCTAAAGTCCTGTCATAGATTTCTTAAACTCTCTTACTTAGGATTGCATGTTTTCATTAATTTAGTGGTCAATTTATAGACAGGTTCTTCGAATCTTATTGATTGAGCCTATTCATTTTATTATTATTCCATTATTAAATAAATAATGGATAAATTAGAAAAATTATATGACTACATCAGAGAAAAAGGAAGCAAACAATTATTCATTTTAATATCAATACAAATGTCTTTCTTAATAATATCATGCATCGCTTTAATAATACTAGAGAATGAATAGAATGATGCAGAATATAAAAGAGAAAATTTATATAAATGGTTGATTTTATTATTGTTTAGTTTATCCTAACTTTATTATGCATGGCATTCTGTAATTATTGATGATATTAAATAAGATGATCAAGAAAAATATGTTAGAATTACTAGCTTATCTAATAATATCTATATGTACAACAATAGCAAGTACATTACGATATTTCTATATTAGTATGAATGAAGAATTAGATCACAAATTAGTAAACAATTATATTATACTTAGTTGGTTTAAACTGTATGTTATATTTATATTGTATTTTCAATATTTGTACAAATTATAGGATTAATATCTTATAAATACTTTTTAGAAGCATTTAGAGATGAAATATTTACAAAAATAGGAGCATCTGTTAATGAGTAAAATAAATTTAAATGGTTTACATCATTTGAATGTCTTCTATAAGTATATGCTTAGTTAACATTTTTGATTTTTGTCACTTTTTTTTTTTTCTTTGATACTTCAATAGATGATTAGAAATAGATTCACCTTATTGCAGATATCTGTGCAATAGTAATAATTATTATTGGATTTATAATTGGCTATATTGGAGTAAATTATAGAATTATATATATAATAGGTGAAAAAAAGACAACTTAAATTACTTTATTTATATTTTGTAATTTCATTTTTGATTTGCATAGCAGAGAATGTCAAACTATTTTTATTTTTACAATATTATGATTATTAATTTGAAAAAATTCATTTAGATTGGGCAACATTTTCAATAATTACAATAATTTTCTCTAGTAGCATAATTGTATTGGTATTAATATATATTAAATATTAAAGGGATTTAATTTTTTTTATGGATATAAATGTGTTAAATTAAAATTGATGGATATAAAAACTTTTGATGAGGATAAAAATTAAAAAGATCATTTTTTATCATAATATGATTACTGAATTAAAAATAATTGTTTAATTTTAGTAAATATTTGCTAATCTTCTTTATCAACATATAATTAATATACTCTCACTTATCAATATATAAAATTTCATTATATTTACATAATATCTAAAATTATATCAATTTAAAATTATCATAAATTAATTTATATAATTTTAACCTAATTATTAAATAATATAATTATTAAATTGTATAAAAAAATATTCAAACTAATTCAAAAAGCTTAAATGTTTCTCAAAGATTCCAATTGAGAGGCTTAAGGCTATTGTTGTAGTGTCTCATTTATTAATGGTCTCAGGTTTACTTTTATCTCATCAGTCCTACTACTCCATTAAAGCATATCAGAATTTTTCTTGATGGAATTCTAGTATTTAATCATGGATTCTTAGTCAAATGAACTTCTACAATTAGGGCAACTCTGGTGATAAGTAGTATCACATTACTTTATGTACATTCATCCATTTATCAAAGCAAGATGTATGGAAGATATGATTGCAATAGGTGACTCTTACATGTGAATCTTCATAAAAAGGATCAAGACATATCAGGCATTGATTTAGTGTTATGAATCTTTCACATTTATTTCTAAGCACTGCATATTATTAAGATGGAAAGAGCTTTTCTATTAAGGATGGAAAATGCTTCATATCATATTTAAAATCAACATTCTTTTATGTTTTTTATTTAGCATAACATTTCGATTTAATAAGACAAATTAAAAAACATATTGCTATTGAAGACATTGTAGTAGAAAGAATTATAATTAGAAAGTAATTTTATGGGTCTTAAATTGAAGTCTTAAGATAAGTAAGATAATTTGAATCAAAGTATACTAGAAAATAAAAGTTTATGGTGGAATTGTATTATTCTTTTAATTCTATGATATTCTTATAGCATTCCTTGATGTGATTTAATGAAATATATAATGTATTGTTAGTTTATAACTAGATTTAGTTTAGATTGAAATTTTAAGTTATGCAAAATCCATAGAATGAAGTTGAATTTTAAAATTATATTAAAACTTCTTCGTTTTGATTTAGAATTTTTTAAATATCAACATAATAAATCTTTCCACCCTAAAATATCTATTATTATGTTAGATCATCAATGATTATACTACAATCTTAACCAATTTATGCAAGATTACAATTACAAAATTATGATTTACATTCTGTTTCATTTTTACAATCCCTTTTATATTGTTAATAATTACAAAATGCATTAATTGGAATTTAATTATTATATTCTTACAATGATATTAGTTTCATAAGTTGATTGAAAACCGATATATAAAGATTCATTATATTAATAGATTTGATAATACTTTGATATTATTATATTGATTGATTATTTCTGTAGGACAAAATATTATGATTGTTTCATTTGATATGAAAACCAATTCACAATGCATCTAATTAAAATATCAATACTCACTTTTCTTCAGAGAGTAATTACATAAATGTAGACTATGTTGGCTATGTGATGCAAATAAATAAAAAAGGTTGTGATTTTTTATCATCTATATATTAGGTATCCAATGTTATTTTAATTTGATTAGTGTTTAAATTAAAAGGCATTGAGATAAAATGAATCCCTTTGAATTAATTTTGTTAAATAATGGGCCATGTAAAGACCCAACCTAATAAGAGATAAAAGCATAATTTCATAATTATAAAATATATAAACAGTTAGGTATTTTGTAAAGTTATGAAAAAGGACTGTTTGGAATTAGTAAAGTATTTGAATAATGAAAATTGATTATGTAAAAATACAAATATATATATATATATTTAATTAATATGAATACATCCTCAAAACCATTTATAATAAGACACATACAAGAGAATTATTTAGTGTCATCTGATTCAACTTCTTTCAATGCAATTATTGAGAAAAGAATATAATTTGTATAAGGAGCTAATACTTTTATAGCAGTATTAATTAATTTGAATATTAGGTGATGTTGAGTTATGATAGTATATAACATGGATTCCAATTTTTCCAATATTATGATAAGTGTTTGTCTTATGCTTATATGATTGGGGCATTATTAATTGGGAATATATTTTGGATTTTGTGTTCAATTTTTGGATTTTATTCAATCGATGCTAAGAATTCTCAGAAAATTCATAGGTATAGAGTATGTAAGACTAGGGGTATTTTTGGACATTATTGTGGGTTTTATTTACAAGAATTCTTGTCTATGGATATATGGCATATCAAATGAATTAGTTTAACTTCTATCCTGAATCTGAAAAAGTGATTAGTGATATAGTCTGTGAGTCACTAAATTAAACAGGATTAATTATAATACAAATCACAATAGAATCAGTAGTTTTGTTGATCATGATCTACTTCTCGCATTCTATAAGACATTACATAAGATGTAAAAATTTGAATTATAAAATTAGTATGGGAATTCAATGAAAACTCAAAAAATTGGGGAGGAGTATGAATTAATATAAATTTATATAAATCACAATGTCTTCAATTATTTTATATATAATATAATATGGATAAAATAATTTATTATTATTGTTTTGAAGTTATTAATCACTTCTAATTTTTTTTTGTCTTTGAATTGATTGATTATATGTATTTAATTAAATTATAATAATAATTAAGAAATTAATTGTTATTAAACTAATTGAATATTTAATTAAAATACTCATTCTTGTCTATATTTATGATAAATAATAAAAATATGAATCTATATTTATGATGTGGCTAATAATAGTAGCTATTAATTCAATTATTTTTTATGAAATTAGTTTAATGTATTCATTTATTGTTTTGAATTCAATTTAATCTATAAAATAATTAATATATAACTGTTCTAGATGATAGTCAGAAGAGATCGTATTCATCATCAAGGCAAAACTAATAGAGACTTTAAGTAAACTGTTTTATTTCATTCAAGGATGTAGGATTCATTAAAATATACTTCTAATAATCAAAATAGTTCTCTAGATGGAGATAGAATAGCTACATTATCTATTCCAAAAAATAAGAAATTTTCAGAAATCTTAGACTAAAAATCTAAAAGAATTGTATAATGCAAAGATCCAGTTGAAGAAACTAAATAATCTGCTAAGAAATTTTACTAACATCATTTAATTGGTTATCCAAGGTATTCTTCTTTTTGCAAATTAGATTTTCTCAATTAGAAGAAAAAGAATTAAAGAAAAGAGTGTTTTGTGGTGATTCTAATACACTTTTCTTTGATGATGAACATAGAAAAAGTTAAGAAAGTCCAACTCATACTAAATGTATTATTCAATACTAATTTATTAGAAGAAATAAAGGAGAAATTAGCATAATAAAAAAGAGAAGAGAATACTACAGGAATTTAAGAGACTTAATTAGTTGGTTTAGAAAATAAGAATACACTTGAAGGCAAAGTAGACTTAGAAAAAGTTAGAGATATTAGAAGAGCTATAAGAAGAAGATATGCAAATAGAAAGAATTTTTAAAAGATCTTCAATTTGTGGGATGAAGATTCTAATGGTGCTGTTAGTGTTAAAAATCTATACAATATGATATAAAGATTAGGAATAAATATTAATATTGATGAAGCAAGAGTTTTGTTAGCTAGTGCAGATATGGATGGATCAAATGATTTAGGATTAGATGAATTTTTAGATCTTATTTTTAATGATAAAGATGCTCTTAATGTAAATTTAAAGGCATTACCAGCATTAACAGAAGATGAAAAGGATTCATTAATTAAAAATTAGGAAACCATTGATTTTCTTAGAAAAGATGCTATGTAAGCTAGAGATAGAAGACATTAGAATTAAGTCAATCTTATTCTTAAAAATAGAGTATTTTAAGTCACTATTATTTAAGTTATAATAATTGGGACAATAACTTACAATATAGGATGAATTATAAAAAGGATATATAAGTTATGGAAGATTTGAAAGAGTTATTAAGAAATTAGAAATAGATCCTAGTATATTATCTGAATAGGATGTTAAAATCTTATATGAGAATTTTAAGAATTAAGATGATACATTTGATTATAAAAAGTTCTTAAATCATTTAAAATCATTCTAATTGAAAGAAGAAGTTTATGATGATCCATATTCAAACAAAAACTAAGAACCAGTTGATAAAAAATAATTATTATTAAAAAGTATGAAATATTAAGAAGATCAACTTATTACTTTGTTTGATATTACAAGAGTAGATGCTTATTCCTTAGAGAAAATGAAAAGAAAGACTAAAAATCTTATGAATAAAATTTAAAGATATATACCATCACATACTAAATTTGAAGAATTTCTTAAAAATAAAATATAAGGCAATAATGTTAATGTTAAAGAGTTTTCTCATGTGATTATATAATTTTTAGAAAGTGTGAATGAAAGATATTAAAAATTTGATCTTGAAAGTATGCTTAGTGTATTACAATTTGGTTAATATGAAACATAAAAATCTGATGAAATTGTTAGGATATTATTTAAGTATATTTATTATCCATTTAATTTAGTGAAACTGATTAAGAATTTTATGATAGAGCTTAATTAAGATAGAAAGGACCTGCTCCTCCTGAAAAAGTATCCAAAGTTGATTAACCTCTTTAAGCAATTGAAAATAAGGAATAAGATATTGAAAAATAAATCTGTATGATTTTTTCAATATTTTTATAGAATTTTATAATTAGGATGCAGGAATGACATGGTATATACCAAATCAATCTAAAGAATTGTCAGATGTATTAATGAAAGTTGAGAATTAACTTTTTAACAAAACTGAAAGAGCATATAAATTATTTAAAGATTTTGATAAAGATAAGGATGGATATATATCTCAATAAGATTTGAAATAAAAATTAGAAGAAATGAATATACTTAATGGATAAGAAATTGGAATACTAATAAATTATGTTGATCCAACTAATAAAGGATATGCTACATTTAATGAATTTCATGATAAACTTAGAGCTGGAATGACAATATTTGATAATGCTGGAAATCAATTAATTTCTATTAATAGTTAACCTGGAAAGACATTTTAAAGTGCAGCTAAAGCATTTTTACCTGAATTATCAAGATTAACTGAAGAATTCAAAAAACCTTTCCGACCTTAAACTAATCATACTGATGTAAGACCTTCAACAAGATTTGGAGCTACACCTGCTTTCAAAAACACATTCGAAAACTTTGTTCCTCCTAAAACATCTCCTATGTTTATGACTTAAGGTGAACGGTTTTCAAAAAATAGGGAATAATTTATTTAGGATGAGAAAGCTTAAAATAATTAAAAATATGAAAGTAAACTTAATAGAATACGATAATATCATTAATCTATAGATTAAAGAATACAATCTGCTTAGGAGTAAAGAGATTAGAAAGATGCAAGCAATTTAAAATCAAAATAAATGGCATAATGGACATATGAACATAAAGCCCATCTTAAAAATGATTATTTATGATTAAAAATATATTTATAAATGGGATCATCTTGTGCTAAATATGTATGTTAAGAAACTATGGATTCTGATCTTATTAGTTTAGAATCAAAAATGAGAACTTTAAATGAAATGAGTAAAAGCACAAAATTTTCATCTCTTAAATTGAGTATTACTTACACAAACCCTATAAATTAAAAAATCTCAGAAACTAATATTCAAGATTAAGATCATCCTATACATAAAATAAATAAAAGTAAAGGAAGAATGAAAAACTTTAATTTTCAAGAAGATCATTAACAATAATTTTATCTTACTAAGGTTTCTCATATTACTGAAAGTCCAGTTAGTGTTAAGAGTGAAACTAGAAGAATCAAAAAGAAAAATATAACTAAAAGAGATCTTATTTAGATTTAAAATCTAGATTTATCATTTTATATTCAGAGAATAAGTTACTAATTAGAAAATAATGAAGTCTAATCTTAAAGAAGTATTCTTAAGTCTCCGTTAAATAAAAGTTTCAATTCTCTTTCTGAACATAAGAAAGTACATTTTGCTTAAGGTACAAAGTTTAGATCCAATAAATCTTCACCTTCTAAAAGAACATCACTTAATTGTTTGAGAAGAAGTTTAATTTGATTATCTTTTAAGTTTGTATTAGCATTATTTTATATTATTTTTTACTAATATTCTTATATGGGATCATGCTAAATCTAAAGAGTAGAATCCGAATCAAATTCATTTAAAGAATCTTCATCAAAATGCAATTATTCCAAATCATCCATTATTATTAATCAAATTGTCTAACCTTTAAATACTGAAAATAAACTTGAATTAGACCAAATAATAGAAGATGAAGAAAACCTCTTAACTGTATAAACTAGAATAAAAAAAAACAAGAGATTATATAATTTTTAAGAAGAAGAATCTCATAGAAAAATATCCAATAGAGATAATGTTGAATCACTCAAATTAGGAGCAAAATAAAAACGATACTTATATAAGACTAGTGTAACACATAGTCATTTTGATGAAATTAAATAAAATTCACCTGCACTTAATCAATCTTTATAAGCAGAAAAAGATGATGATGCAAAATCTGTGAAAAGTATATTAAAAAAAAATAGCAAATTAAAAGATAGTGTAAGTGGTTCTCCAGAAACAAGATCAGTACGTTTTGCAAGAGGTACCATTTTTAGAACTAAAAGCTAACATTCTCTTCGTCAATCTAAAAATAAAAAGCATAATCGACGTGATACAAGATAAAATGAATCTATGAATTCTTTTGAAATTAAAAGTCCTAATTGGAAAAGACACAGAGAATAAGAAAAAGTATAAATTACTACTATTCCTGTTCTATTTTCTATGAATCAAAATATAGGAGTTAAAACTAAACTTTTCTCCTATTATTGAAAAATCTTCATCTTTTCTCAATATTGATAACAATTAATGAATATTATATTGTATTAATTTGATTAAATACATTCATTAAATGATTTGGACTATATTTAATAGAATTCAAATTTTAACTTAATTTCTTTAAATTTTATTTGATTATTGTAATATTATTGTATGTAGATTACTTTTATCTATTTTTACCTAAGTAACTATTATCAATGACTTAAGATTAAATTTATCAAATAACTTAACAAATTAACTTTTAATTAATTTTCTAAATAAAGGATTTTATTAATTTTGTTATTATTATATTATTTAGAAAATTAACTTCATATTTTTAAATAAACTTATACTTTTATTTATCTAACTAACTCATTTAATGCAGTAATATATAAATTTCTCATTAGAATCATTAAATATATCAAAGATAAAGTTATAAAACAACAATATGTTAATTAAATTATATATCTAAAATTGAAGAATTAGTGATATATTTATAATAAAAGTAATCAGAGTAAGATAATTAATTTATATTAGTAATAAATATTCCGTATAATAAATTAAACTAGGTAGTAATTTAGGGATACTTTATATAATGAAAGTCAATAATGAATTTATTATAATCAATATCATAGGAAAGGTTATTATAAATAATATCTAATATCTATATAATTATATATGATAATTATATTTATAGTGATAATGATTCATTTATTAATAAAAATGATAATAATTATATTCACTATTATCTAAATAATATTGTGTGATTTTGATGAAAGTATGAGATGGGGAACTTATAAACCTCAATTACTTCATGCAGTAACACAACGAAATATGAAAACATTTAATCCAATAACAGGAGCTCTTATGTATGCAGATCATATTGGGACAGATGATCGATCATTAGTTTATAAGATTCCAGATTTAAACACTGAGCAAGTGAAAATTAATCCAGTTCATCATAATGGAAAAGATTTTAATGTTTAATTGATAAGTGATCCTAACACAAAGTCTATAATTTAAACAACTTTTATAAAATTTCCAATGGAATCAAAAGTAAATTTTGTAGATGAAATTAAAACCTTAGTTATTGAAAAACCATTATAATTGTTCTATGTTTTAACTATTGAACAATTTAATCAATTTAATTTAGAAACAAGAACTTTTTAAGTAAATGTGACTAATGATGGTATCAGAGTTAGTACTTATAATGAGGATGAAACAAGAATGGAACATTTCTTTATAACTATAACTGTAAATGATAGAGATTATTAATATAATTGTACCGATGAGAAAATATCAAATCTTACAATAAGAACTTTGTTTAATGATTATATTTTTAATTATGATCCAAGACCAACTTTAATGTAGGCTATATTCTCAAATAGTACAAATACTAATAATTCTAATTTGGTTGCCATAGAATTTAGAGCATAACCAGGAGATAATGTAATTATTTAAGTCACATAAACTGATAAATATATACCTGATTATGGATTTGATAATCTATAATAATTAAGTGATAGTTTAGCAGCAATAAATAAATTCAATTTTAAAAAAGTATTTGGAACTGATAATAAATGTGCATATTCTAGTTTTAATAATTTGATGGCAGGTTTATTATTTACTTATGGTAATCTAAGTTGTGTGATAAATAAAGATACTTGCACAGCTTTTAAACCTATGTTAAGTCATACACCTTCAAGATTTGGATTCCCTAGACCATTTTTATGGGATGAAGGTTTTCATAATATGATTGCATGTAAAATGAATCCAGATATTTGTTTATAAAGTTTAGAAGATTGGATTAATACTATGTCAATTGATGGTTGGATACCAAGAGAATAACCAAGAAGTGAAGAATTAAGATCATATATTCCTTGGTTAAAAGAAGATCCTAGAGAATCAAATCCACCTACATTTTTCTTTAATTTTGAATATCTAATTGATAATCATCCATAATATAAAGAAAGAATTGGAAGAATCTATTTAAAACTCTTTTCTTGGTACAATAATTGGTTCAGAACATAAGCTATTTTTGATGAGAAAGGTAAATTTTCTGGATATTTAAAATGGTGGGGACCTGATGAGGATAGTAATTTAGGTTCAGGTCTTGATGATTGGCCAAGAACAGATGGAAGCAAAGTATCAAAATATAATATTGATGCTTAAAGTTGGGGTTACTTTTTCACTTATCATATGGTTAAACTTGCAAGAATTTATGATATTGGGGTTGTTAATAATCTTGAAGAGAGAATGCAATTAATTTTGAATAAAATGAATGTATTTATACAATTATTAATTATAGTCAGACATGCTGGATCCAAATGATTTAATTTATAAGGATATATTATATTATCCTAATACAGATGATTAAGTATTTTATTCTCCTCATAGAGGTTATGTCAATCTATTCCCTCTAGGATTAGGATTAATTGATAAATAGAGAGTTGATATTATTCAATAATATATAAACTTTATGAGAGGTAATACTATGTGGACACAATTTGGTATAAGATCATTAGAAACTAACAGTACAGAATTTAGAAAGAAATCTAATTATTGGACTGGACCTATTTGGGTTAATATATAATTTTTGGTTTTGAGAGCATTAAGATTAAATTATTGGGAAATTGATGGAGTATAATAATTCTATCAAGATTTAAGACACAATATGATTGAAACGATATGCTCATAATATGAAACTAGAGGATATTTCTATGAACACTATAATTAGAATTTAGATGGATTAGGATAAGGTAATAGACCATTTAATGGATGGACTAGTTTAATAACTTTAATAATAGCAGAAAAATATTGAAATATAATCAAAATATCTTAATTTATTTGATCTTATTAGAAAACTAAAGTTTAACATTATAAATATATAGATTATTATCATTATAAAATAGTAATAAAACTTAGATTTAAATATTTTAATAGTTATAAATATATATTATTATGTTTAAGAAACTTGTTAAGTATTTTTAATATATATCTATATAAAGACTGAAAGGTAATAAAATTAAATGAATTTTTTTATAGTAATTCCATTTTCTTTTAAATTTTGTTATTAATTGATAATATATTATTATAAATATATAATGTTATATGAAAATTTATATGAGTAATTACAAGAATGCCTTCCGGAATTTTAAAGATAGTTTGTTATACAAAACTACTAAAATTTCTTAGATGCTTCAAAAGAAAAAGATCCTGTTTATTAATAGTTTGTATCATTAATTGATAAATTCTAATCAGCATCAAGTTAAATAGAAGTAAAAATTTGATTGAATGAAAGATTATTTCAAAGGATATTGAAAACCTAAAAAATGCTAAGACTAGATGTAAGTAATTGCTTGAAGAATAAGTGACAAAAGAACAAGATATTGTTGAAGATGTCTAGGCTGAAGATCAATTGACAGAAATGCTAGATAATTTATCTATGTTTACATTTGAAAAAAATTATGAATAGGCTATAGAAAGTTATAAATTACTAATTGAAACCCATTAATCAAAGAAGTTTATGAAATTAATTAAGAAACCAGAAATAAAGAGATAATTAGATGAAGCTTTCAAAAGTCTTTGTTAATCTATATTTAATGATTATATAAGTTAGAATGCTTAATTTGATTCATCTTAATTAATGCAATATTTGATGATTTTAAATTAGATTGAAATGCTAATTAAAGGTTATCTATAAATACAATAAGATAAATTTGTTAATTGGATTGAATAATAAAATTAATTTAATGAGAGATAAGTTTAATAATTTATAGGGAATATATTAAAGATAAATTAGTAATATGAATAAATATTTGGAGAGTATTTAAAGAAAAATCAATTATTATTTTCATTTATTTCTATATGGAATTAATAGATTATCTAAAGTTATTTTGATAAAATTTAAGAATACTTTTTTTAAGATATTGTATCATTTGATGATATTTTTACTAAATCAAAAACATTATTAAATACATTTTCTTAATATTAATCTAAAGGAATATCAATAGATTTTGAAATTCAAAAAGAATTAGCTATATATATAGAGAATAAAGTAAATGAATTATTTGGAGTATTTGGTTAGAAGATTAATTAATATATGCATTTTAATGAAAATAAATTAGTAAAGATGGAATATTTACCTAATTTACTTGAAAGTGATAAATTATTAGAATCAAAGGAGATTGATATATCTAATAAACCTTAAGAAATTAAATTAAAGGCTTCTGCTACTATAAAAAGTACATTTGATTCACTTAGTCAAGGATTATCAATTAGTTCTTGTTTCTTTTGGAATATTGTATTTAAATTAGGTGATTCTGCATTGAATTTTTTTAATCCAGAATAATATTCTTTATTATCTACTATGTTGAATGAATCAATATCTAAATTATTGATTTTATTCATAAAAGATTATTTAAGTGCAATAAAAACAAATAGGAAGGAAAATTATCCTTTATTTGAAATAGGAAATTTATTTGGAAATTATAATTTAAATAGTACTTTAATTAATTATTTATCAACAAGAGCATCTAGTTTACCTTTTTAAATTAATAGTGAATGGAAAAGAGTTATTTAAGATTGGGTAGATGAATTAAAATAATTAATATAATAATATTATAAAAATACATATTTATAGATGTTACCATTTTGGATTTGTGAACATGGAAAGATTTATATATAAAAATAACTTATTGTACAAAAACCATCACCATTATTTTTAATGATTGGTTATTCTATAATGGAAATGAATAATCAATTTAAATCAAAGATACCTTAAGCACCTACACTTTATTATTTAGGATTATTATGGGATTATACAAAATATTTATTAGAATATTCATTATTTTGGTCATATCATAATTAAGGGAAAACAAATGAAGTATTTTTATTAGATGTTAAATCAAGAAATGAACTCAAATTAGATATGAATTAAATAAACTTATAATTTCAATAGAATTCTATAAAAATATAATAGATATCATAAGATGGATTGAAATAATTGATATTAGATACTTAATTTGTTTTTGATCTTTTTAATCGTTTTATAGGTTAATTGCAACAAAATGATTAATTTTTACCAAAATTGGTGTCATTTTATTGTAAAGAAAAGAAATGTTAATAACCTTCGATGAGTAATTAATCTTTTGATTAATATTTTACCTAAAATTTTTAATAAGATATGATACAAGCAAAAAATTATATAGAATAACAAAGAAAGAGTATAGTGACATGATATTATTTGATTTAAATTTATAATTAATTTAATGGGTTTATGTGGTAGTAAAGTGCGAGCTAAACATGCAAAGTTGTCTGAAATTAGAAAATTTTCAAAATTAAACATTCATTAATTCTATCGTTTCTCATAAATATTGGGTAGTGGTAGTTTTGGAACAGTTAAATTAGCATTTAGTTTAGAATAAGAAATGAACGGTCAAGAATCAAAAAGCTATGCTGTTAAATCTATAGATAAAGTATTTTAATATATATAAAAATTAGCATCGTATAGGAAATAGATTACATTTGATTAATAGAGAACTAGAAATTTTAGTTTAACTGGATCATCCTAACATAATTAGAGTGTATGAGACTTTTGAAGATTTGAGATATTATCATTTTGTAATGGAGTATTGTAGAGGAGGTGAATTATTTGAAAGAATAGTTAGAAAAGGTGTTTTTTCAGAAAGAAGATGTTGCATTATAATGAAATAATTATTTTCTGCAGTTCATTATATGCATTAATTAGGAGTAACACATAGAGATCTTAAACCTGAAAATTTAATGTTAGTTTCACCAGATGATGATTTTGATATAAGAATTATAGATTTTGGATTAAGTAAGAAATATCCACCACCATAATCTACAAATTAAGGAAGATCATAAGTTAGATAATAAACTAAAGTAGGAACACCCATATATGTTGCTCCTGAAGTCTTATTAGGTAATTATTCTTAGACTTGTGATGAATGGTCATTAGGATGTATAATGTATGTTTTACTATGTGGAGAACCTCCTTTTTTTAGTAATAATATCAAATTATTGGAAGATAAGATATAAAGTAAAGAAGTCTAATTTAGTGAAAAAATATGGGGAGAAATATCAAGTGAAGCTAAATCATTATTAGTTAAATTACTTGATAAAAATCCAAAAAAACGTATCACTTGTGCTTAAGCTTTATAAAGTTAATGGGTATTGAATTTTACAATGACAGCACCTCTTCGTATGGAATCTATACCTAATAATGAACATGAAAATGAAAAAACTATTCGTTTATTAAAGACTTATGGAAATATTTCAAAATTAAAAAAAGGTACTTTAAATATACTTTTAAATTAATTAAATGAGTCGCAAATTTAATCATTAAGATTGAAATTTGAAGAATTTGATAGAGATAATAGTGGAACAATATCTGTAAAAGAAATGACATAAATTATCAAATAATTAGGTTTAACTGATACTGAAAAAGAAATATAGGAATTGATTTAAAGATTTCATATATTAAAAAAATCTGATTCATCAGTTGATGATCTAGCTATTCATTATTCTGAATTTATGATGGCATTACTTAATCAATAATAATATTTAAATGAAGAAAGAATATGGGGATTATTTAAATAATTTGATATTGATAATAAAAATTATATAACTACAATGGATGTTAGAAGAGCATTTGAAAGAAGAGGGAAATCATTGTCAACTATTAAAATAGATATGATGTTTAAAGAAATAAGTTTAGATAGTTAAGATAGAATAGATTTCTAAAGATTCAAAGATATTATGTTAGTTGATTCTCTTAAATCTTAAGATATAGATGTTGAAATGTATAATATTAGTAAAATGCCTACTAATAATCCACAAAATATCCCTTATTTAAATTAACCTTAGGGAGATTTTAATATTGGTTTTTGAATATAATATAGTTAAATTCTAGTTTTCTAATATTCATAATTATAAAAATATAATATAATAATGAATTAATAATTTACTTATTATCTTGAATGGGAAGAAACTAAAGTATTATATTTATTAAATCTATAGTTGGCTATGAATGCTAACAATAAATTGGAATTAGTAACAGAACCACTCATTATTTAAAAATAAGTCTTAACAGATGATGATCAAATAATTGAAGGATCACTTACTATTGATAATAAGAAAGATCATGATTTCTAAAATGAATTCAAAAAAATGATTAATAATAATTATCCTTCAAATAAAAAATCAATAAAATATCATTCTAATCAAAAAGATAGGATTGAAAAGAGTATCACATAAATCTCTTCCTCTATTATATCCTAAGATATATTACCTAATGAAATCAAATAAAACAAATAAGATATCTAAAATTTTGGTGATAAAAAATTATTTTTGATTATTAAAGGAGAAGGCTTCTTAGAATTTAGAATTCGTTCAATTAGCTTTAAATTATAATGTCCATAATGTAAAGAATATTTTACTAGTTTTATAAATAAAATACAATTAAATATTATATAATTTCAATCAGATTGTAAAAAATGCTAATAATAAATGAACATAGTCTATTAAAAATAAATTTAATAATAATAATCTATAAATCTATCATAATGGTTAATTGGCTCTATTAAAATTTATGGAAATATTCAATGGTAATTAAATGCTATAAAAGTATCAGTAATTTGTAAATGTTTGTCAAATAATTCTCGATTACCTTATTTAGTATTTTCTTTTGAAAAAACAAAAAAAATAATTTCATAAACTGAACGATAAAAATGTTAAATAATAGATTAAACTAGATAATTATGTCATGGATGTGTTTAAGAATTGAAATTCTAACCTGAATGGTTAATAATTAAATAATGAAATATATATATGTTAATTACAAATTCTAATATCATTTTTTTTCAAATTGGAGATATTCCTTCTAGTTTTTATATGTTTTTTAAAATAATATCACTAATTTTAATAATAGATATACTTTTTTAATTGTTAATTTTTTTAAATTGCTCTTATTGTTTTACTAAAACCATCTGTATATTACTTTTCCAATAGTTTTTCTTACAATTTCTTACTTTATTAATATAGATTATCAACATTAAATTCATACATAGAATTTAATGATTCATCATCAGTTCTAGAATCATAAGATGCATTTAAATCTTAGTTTCTCAAATTATGTTATTTGAATGATTATGCTGTTTTTCTTTATGGAAGTTTAATATTTCTATTTGATGATAATCCTCCAGCATCTAGAATATCTATTTACATTTATTGTTAGACATCTTTATCTTTATATGGATCATATTTAGGATAGTTAGTAATATATTATATTAATTCTAAATCATTATTGATCAATTAATTCTTAACAACTTAATTTCCTTTAACACCCTTTTATATAAATGGATAAATATGTTTAATATTATTTTATTCACTATGATCAAATGTTTATGTTGTATCAGATTTAGTAGATTTTTGCATAATATTTTTTTTGAATTAATAATTTACATAAATTTACTTTTTAGCTTTCTCACTTTCAATATAATCTTTAATTAATAAATCTTCCATATATTATTTAGCCTTCTTATTAACAAGATGACGAATAACATATTTTTCTTATGGTGCTTCATATTTAACTTTATTTGGATTTTAATGATTTCTTGAATTCAATAATTAATATGGATTTTAATGTTTAATAATATTTACTGAATTACCTTTAAATATTAATCTTTTATTTGTATTTAAATCTTTTTCCTCTTATTTCTTTTATAAATTTTGAATATATTGATCACTAATATCATACATTTATTTGATCATTCCAACATTCTTCAATTCTCTACTTCTCTTTACAAGATCTTCTTTTTCTCTCATCTCTATCTTTTCTTCTATAAGATCTCTAATCATATCAAATCTATCTAATGCTTATTATTTTTTGAGCATTTCTTCATTTTTTTAATCTAATAATTTTAAAAAAGCAACATCATGATTACCTTCATCTGTAACTGCTGATCTTCTATATGTTCTAATAATTTTACAATATATTAATACACATTGATTTTTGGTCTTTTTTATTTCTTAATAACTGCTGGAATTAATTTATCAAGTTTTTGAGATTAGTTTTTTCTAATCACAAATTCTTCAGCAGATATTTCTCCCATAATATATTTAGTAAAATTGCTTCTTATAGATGGACTTATAGTCATAGCATTATAGATTTATAATGGAACTTCATGTAAATATGCTCGATCAATTGCTGTTTCTGTATTTCTTTTCAATTAAGTTTATTTTCTTCTCAACAAGGCTTCAGATAAAAAATCACCAAAAACATCATTCCAATTTTTTAATCTGGTATCTTTTGGAATCTAAACACCTTCACTCTCTTCTGTTTTAATAAATATCTTAGGCACATCGTGATTGGTTGACTGAGCATTGAAGAAATATTATTTACAGCAACTGATCGAGTTGTTTATAATTATGATTCAACAGTGGTCTCATTACATTATAGAATCTTCCGTCGTTTTGGTAAAAATATTTTATTCATTTAATTATTATAATTCAAATTCATACATTACTTAATCACATATTCTATATATATATATATATATATAGATCTTAATTTATATATATTTATTTATATGACCATCATTATTATTATTAAAATTCTAAATTAGCTATTAAAATCAAAAGATGATTATAATTAATTCTTATTAAATATAATAAAATGTTTAGAAGAGGAAGGAATGATCCTTTAGAATTATTAAGAGATCATGTGATTCATCATAAATAAATTAAATTAAGAAGCAAAAATACAGAACATAGATTACTATTTGATAATAGTATTGAATTTAAATGTTCGACTGTAAATAGATTTTTAATTATTTAATAGGAAACAGCATGGAAGTCTAAATCAGGATAAGAATACACACTTGGAGCCTTATGGTGTTTTTTAGATTGTCATTTATAGGGTTTGGAATAAAAAAATTATAGAAAGAAAGCATTGGATCTAAATTTTGAATAGGTTTTTAAGGCTGATAATTAAGACATAATTGAATATTTCACTGGTAAAGTAGATTATACAGATTGTATTAATGCTGACAAGAAGCCACTTCCATAAAATAAGAAATCCCTCCAAAAAGATGATGATATTGAATTTGCAAGTTAAAAAAAAGTTAAGCCTGATTAAGAGAAAGAAGTAATCTATTTTTTTTAATGAAATTAGCCACTTACTGAAAAAGAATTCAATTTAAAAGTTTTTGATGAGATTTTGAGATTTGAAAAACCTATTACAACCAGAAATAGATTATTTAGAGTTTAAGATAGAACATTTGATGATATTCTAAAAACAGCTTAAAAAGTAATTATATTTTAACTATAAAGATTTTTTAAGGTTAATATGTAGGAGTAGGAGGAGATGAAGAAGAATTATAATAAATTCTTGGAACCAGAATTTAAGATGTTAATAAAGCTAAATAATTATCAAGTGCAAAATTATCATATTCAGTATTGAATGAATTCATTAAATCAAAAGAAAAACCTATTATTATAGTCCCTCAAATAGCTGAATTAGGAAATGTTTGTTTAAGGAATGTGTAATAATTCTTAGAATAAGGTTAATATATAGATCCTAATGGACTTAAATTTACTAATGAATCTAGATCTGTTTAAATTAAAGTCAAATTAAGATTAACTGATATGTAAAGAATATTTTCTTATTTTCAGTGAATAATAATTTATAGTATTAGATACTCCTAATACAATTACTAATTGGAAAAGAGTAGTTGCTGTATTTTTGAGAGGATCTACTTATGAATTGAAACAATTTCCTGATCAAAATCCTAATCAATTATTTAAAAAGTAATTATTATATATCTATTACTTTTTTAGCATTAGAGGATATCATATGAAATTTGAAGAAGAAAAAATAAAAGATTTAATTAAACAATGGAATGTAAAGGTTTTAGATTTACACAGAAGCAAAAGGTATCAAGATATTGATGTGGTAAATACATTTTGGGAAGACCTAGAAGCATTTCTCTTGAGACCTGCTAAGTTATCATAATAATGAGTATTTTGGATATTTAATATTTCTGTGTATTTGTAATATTTTCAATGTTTTTATTAAAACACCTCTGTTGCATTTTAATATTTTGATACAAATCTATCATTTTCGACATCATAAGTTGGTAATACTAATATTCTATTCTTGTGTAATTCTTATTAGATTTTATAATTAAGTGCATACTAAAATAATTCAATTTTACATTACTTATTTTCTTCGATTTACACATTCCAAGAAGTCTAGTCCTTCGATTGCACACATTTTATTTGGCAAATTTTCTTTGTTGATACAAGCTTGCATTCTCTCATAAAAAGTGATACAAGGGTTTATCCCACCAGATGTATTGATTCCAATGTATGACATTAAATTTATTATTATTATTATTATTATTATTATTATTATTATTATTATTATTATTATTATTATTATTATTATTATTATTATTATTAAAACATTTGATAAAATACAATCATTAGACAAAGACTACTTTCATATATAAATACTATTTAAAATATTAATTCACTCAAACAGAAGATAATTAGTATTTCCACCTTATTAATGTATTTAATCATTTTTAGGTATGTAAATAAAATGATTAATTATCCATTAAGTAAAAGAAATAGTATTTATCATTATTTATTTTTTCTCTATTTTTCTATCAATGTATCAATAACAATTCATCAATTTAAGAATGCAATAAATCTTAATTTGTTTTAAAGATTTATGAATTTCTATTTATTATTTAAATATTTATTCAATTATCAAATGAGTATATGATCCCACTTATTTAGTCTCATATTATAGAGGGATTAAATAGATAATACAATATTATAAGTTATTGATTATAACCTTATAATCCAAATCATTACAAAAAAATCTAAAGAATTCATGAATAAATTATAAACTTTTAGGATATTAATTATTTAATAACAATATTCTTTATCATGAACTTGAAGTATAAAACTCTATTAAATTCTATTTATTTAATTTGAAAATAAATAACAAATTATATATGAAACATAAATTTGATCATAAATAATATAAATATTTATTAATGAAAATATATATTGTTTACAGAAATAAGAATTCTTTCTTTTTATAAAGATGATCATTATTTTATAATAGAAAATATGTGTAAATATATAAAATGAGTATTGATTTAATAGGATTATAAAGAATAATTTGAATAAATTAATTATCTTTAAATAAGAATTGAAGTATTATAAATATAATGTAATTTTTGTAAAGGTCTAATAACTCTGTTAAGTAAAATTTGTAATATAGTTAAGATCCATTGAGTCTTAAATTTTTGGAAGAAGAATACAAGAGCCAAATGTAGCTGTTATGCTTTGCAAACATTAACCTAATCAAAAGCATCATTCTCCAGAATCCTTTTTGGATTAATTTGTCAATTTGAAATTAATGGAACCTTAAAAAATATTATAAAAGCAGAAACCTCTTTAAGGATTATAGGGGGGTAAAGGAATAGCAAATACAGTTCAACTTTAAAAACCTGCCTAAAGTTCAATTTCAGTAAAAAAATAAACAAAGCGAACAATTTCCCCAAAAAAAACGAAAGCATAAACAGTTGATTGTATTCAAATGAATAAACCTAAATCATAATAAAAGAGAAGAGAATAAATGGGATTGGGAGAATTAAATGAAAAATAAATTAAGCAACGAATGAGTAATTTCAAATTTAATTTTAGAAAAAATAAAATAAAAAGAAAAGATAATAGAACAACCACTTAAGAAGAAGCCATATGAACCTAATATAAAACTATAATCTTACATAATTTAAAAGAAAGCATTAATTAACAATAATTACATGTAATAGTAATTAATGGTTGAAATTGAAAAATAAAGAAAGTAACGAAATGCAATTAACAAGATTGGAGAACTTAGCCTAGTTAAATTAATCCGTTAAAGATATATTTAAAAAGTGCAAGACTTAAGAGAACTCTAATTTGTAACCATCTAAAGGGATAATAAAGAGAAGGAAAGTCGAAGCCTAAAAAGAGAATGCCTAGTAAAATTTAAGACAAGTCAAAAATAAAACTAAGTAGTTGCAATAAAAATTTGATGATATTTCTCATAGATATTAATAAATCCAAAATGTTAGATAGAATGATATGGATAATATAGAATAATGTATTTTCGAAATGGACGAAGAAGATGATCAATATTCTGCTGTCAGTGATAATTAAATGATTTAATTAGCACTTCATGAACTTTAAAAAATTAAACCTACTTAATATCTAATAGATAAGGTTAAATATATAATTGAACATCAAAACAATATTGATTTAGATTTTATCACAGAATAAGATTATTAAGTAATTTAGTATCATCTTATGAATCAAGCTGCAATTAAATTATAAAGTTTATGGAGAGGTGTATATATTAGAAAATAAATACTTAATGAATTATAAAATATGATGGATGAAGAATATGAAAATAGATCATATGAAGATCCCTCTAATATTTATTAAAGAAATCAGTTTTAATAAGAATTTGTTGGAAACATATCTAATTCTAAAGGAGATTAAATATCAAATGATTCATTCTCAAATAAAATTGGAAATAATTCTTTATAAGATTTGAATATAAATCAAGAAGAATAGATTAATATATATGAATAATCTAAATAACATTTTTATTCTGATGAGGATCAATAATTAGATATTAAATTATCAGATTAAATCTCTGAATTAATTATGATTTAATAACCTAATAGTCCTATTGAATAAAATGAAAACTTTTCATTATAGTTTGGATAAATGGATAAGAGAAATTGTTCAGAATAGATTGAATCTTTAGTTAGAATTGAAGATGAAAAAACAAATTCATTATCCTAATCTGTAATTTAATAAATTTAATAAGAATTGGAATCATGGAATTCTTAAATAGATACTATATTTTAATAAAGTAATGATGATGTTGATACTATATCAAAAGTCAAATAATAAATATCTTAAACAGTTATTAAGATTGTTAATTCTCATTTGAAAAAGTCTAGGGAAGTTAAATTATTAAATGAAAGTTTAAATGATGAGAAAATTAGAAATCAATATGAAGCCAATAATGAAAAACATTTTAATGATACTTTTAAGAGATTAAAGAAATCTAAAGAATTTAATGCTGAACAATTACTACATTCATCTAGAGAAATTTAATAAAATTCAAATATAATGAATTTAGAATCATAATTAAAAATGAAAGAAATTGAACTTTTAGATATGAGGGAACAGGCAATTAATTTAAGATATTTAAGTGAATTAAAAAAAATTAAGTAAGATTCCAATAAAAAATAAGAATTAGATTTATGGCTTGAAAAAGAAAAAGAAGATTTAAGAACAACTAAATAAGCAATTGAAATAAGTAGAATTAGAGAAGCATAAACTATATAGAAAATATAACGAGATCTACATATAGCATCTAAAATTGATGAAAATAATCCAAAAATATAAAATTTTAAAAAATTTGTAGATGAATAACTTTTAGAAACTAATTCTTTAGTTAATGATTCTAAAATTATTGAAAATTAGATTATAGAATAGGAAATTGAAAATTAACAGGAAAGTGAAAAAAATCTTATAAGTGAAAATACAACAAATATGAATGAAACTTATAACCATATCAATTATATTACCAACAGTATATTAGATCAAGTAGTTAATAATCTAAGTTAAGGTAATATATTAAAATAAATTATTTAGAACTTTTCAGTAATAAAACTGAATTCAACTTAATTATGTCAATTTTCATAAACTAATAGTCAAATTATTAATCTAAAACTTCAACTTAATATATTAAAGATTATATCAAAAGTCTATTTGATTTTATTTTATTAAATTATAGTGAAGATTTAATTAAGAATCTTAATATTCCTTATGGATTTAGACCATTAAAAAGAATACAATTAATGCATGGATATGATGCTGATGATGATATTCAAAATTAAGATGTAAAAAGTACTCAAATTGCTTTTCCTATTGATTAAGTTGTGTTTACTAAATTTGAATAATAGAGAATCGAATTAAATTAAAATAGAAATATTTATCAAATAGATAATGAATATTACTTTGAGAATATTCATAATAAAGCAATATTTGATGCATGCAATGAAGCATTAAATTACTAAAGATAATATTATTTAAGTAAATATATAAATGATTTATTAATAGATTAAGGATAACCATACCCTTGGGAATAATTAGAATATCAAGTAATTGTTTAAAAAGACAAGTTACCATCTATATTGAGAAATATGGAGGATAAAATAATCAATTGGTCTAAAACTTTAGGAGGGTTTTTACCAATTGAAAATACATATCAAATATCATAAGAAAAATAAGAAGTATTGGAAGAAAAGAATTCATAATTAACATTAAGTTAATTAAATCGTTTTGAAAAGAAAACATTTTTAGATTCTTAATAATAGGAATAGATTCACGAAAATATCTCAAGTATTAGGGATGAAAGGATTTATAAATTATTAATTTAAGATGTAAATGTAATATATTTATTAAATAGATTAAAGAAAATGAATTTAGATGGTATCTTGAAGAAGATGATAGAGCAGAGTTTCTAATGGAATTAAGTGATATAATTTTCGAGTAATTAGTAGAGGAAATAGTCTCGGAAGAACTCTAATAATGAATATATATTATTATAAATAATTAAAATAATTGTAAGAAGAAATGATAAGCGATACTGTATTACTTGTGGCAATTATAGGTGCAGCATCTATTTTAGTAGTGATTGGGATATTCTGTATATGGAGAAAATTAAAGATTAGAACCATTAATAATTTGAATAATAAACCAATGCCTAAAGCATATGTTGAAATTCCAGACAAAACTGATAGGTAAGCCAGACCCCCTACAAATCCATAATAATGTTCTCCAAAAGGTGATGAAGATAGTATAGCAATAAAACGAAAAGTAAAGAATTTTTCATCTGCAGTTGTAAACAAAAAGAAAAATCTCACAATTAAAATTCCAACAAAGGAAGAAAGTTGAATGAGCTTTAATTTATATCTATTAATTTTTTTGGGTTTAGTAATTTTTTATTTTAATAATCATCAAAATAATAAAAATTAGCCTATAATGATCTTATTACTATTATTTGATCTTGTTTAATGTGTGTAATTTGGTTATGAAATAGATAAAGGATAATAAATTTGTTTCCAAGATTATTTTTCATAAGATGATGTATTTGATTTAAGAATTAGAGCAAATTCTTCAAATTATGCTATAAAATTAGAAGAAGCAGTATCAAAAAGATATGCTATTCTATATGAAAGAAGTGGATCTTGGGAACACAATTATTAACATTAATCAAATCACAAAGTTTCTCATATGAGATATTGCTTAACAAATTTAGAAGATGAAAATATTTTATTTAATATTACATACAAAACAGGATCTGAATTAGCAAACATGTAAAAAGTAGCAAAAATATCAGATTTAAATTAAATGGGTGATCATATGAAAAATTTAAATGGTTTATTTGATGATATAAAAAGAGAAAGATCATTCCTTATAACAAAATATGATTTTATGTATTAAATGTAAAGATCTATTTCTAAAAAACAAATTGTTTTTAGCCTTTTGTGTTTAGGATTGTCTTTTATAATAACTGCTATTACTCTTAATTATATAAAGAGAATTTTAAAATAAAAAAAGTCATAATGAATGTTGATTAGTTTAGTTTATCAATTATATAGATATTAATTATTTAAAATTATCAAGAATCATTCTATTTCTGATTACTGTTAATCTTAATCCTCTTATTATTCATCCTATTAGTCTTGTTCATCTTATTAATTCAGTTATTCATCACTTTCATTTATTTAGATTTCGATTTCAGTTTTACATAATGGACATTACTTATTATTCTATAGCCAATTTTTTATACAACTAGAATGATATATGTGTTTGCAAGGCAATTCTCTCACCTTCTCTTCTTCTTTAAATTCGAATAAACATACTGAACATCTATAAATAGTATTCTATTTCTTACTTGTCTTCTGGTATATTATCTTAATTCAATGTTCTTTTTGGTAATTACTTAATTTGTTATTTCGTTAGTCCCTTAGGCACATTACTAATTTAATCAGTAACTCTACCCAATTTATTCTTCTAATTCTAAGAGTTGTTCATAAGTCATGGCATCTGGATCAATCTCTTAATCTTAATATTCATGGAGGTGTTCTAACTATTACTAATCTCCTTAGTATAGATATTGCATTAACTAATATAATTGTTATCTTGAAAGAGGAATATGATTCTATTACTATTATTATTATTCATCCTTAACTAAAATAAATTAATACCTCTTAATTCATATCTTGATTAGAGTTATTTTGATATTTCTCTTACATCTCATCTAATTCTTATTATAGTTGATCAATCTATTCTTTCAATTACTTCTTTTTTGATTTCTATTTTTTTATTTTCTCTTCTAAATGATGAATTTATAATTCATAAGCCTAATTAGTTTCTTGCAATTTATTAATTTATTCCATAAAAGATTCATTAATCTTATTTCAATTATTTAAATACTTTATATTATTATTGAAGTCTATTGCTTAGAATTTTATTCTTCTTTATTAATTGCATATTCAATTAATTCAATTGATGCTCATTACTTAATTTCAATTAGAATATATTATCCTAAAAATCTATAAACTAAATATTACTTATTATTTTAGATCAAATTAGTTTTACTTTTGTATTCTTCTCTCGAATTGATTATGTATACCTCTAAACAAATAATTATTAATTATTACAGTTCCTGTTCTTCTTGTTGCTTTATTTTTAGGTGCTAAGGTTAATCACTTAATAAGCTTTAATTACGAATGTTTGCTATCCCATTTATCAACACTTTACCTGCTATCTAAACTTAGTTACCTTTTAACAAAGGAGATCCCTTCGTTATTTAAGGTCTTCTAACTTAAAACTATTTCACTTATTGCAAATTCAGGATACTAGGATTTTACATTAAATTAATTAATAAAAAAAAAAACAAAAAGACCTTATTTTATAATTCTAATAACGCCATTATGTTGATTTATGAACAGAATACAGTTTTAATAAGATTTATTTGATACCATTTTCATCAAGATATTCAAGAAAAAATAATCAATATCAATAAATAATATTTGCATTAATTACTCCAAAAATATTATAGATTTTGATGATTTTATTACTTCTAAAACAAATTAATGACTCTATTCTTATTCGTAAATAAATTATTTCAGAAACTAAATCATTTATATAATAATTTATTACTTTTTTTATTAATTTTACCAATCATCAAACTTGTCTGGAATAATAGAAAAGGCAGCAAGCAAGGTTAATTAAAAGATTAACAATTTAAGTCTATTTGATGGAACATCTCCTATATTAATATATATTTGTAAAATTTTCAATTTCTTATTGATAAATTGTTTATGATAACTCTTTTTTTAGCAAAATGTTAGAATTTATTGTAAATCCTTTTAATTTATCCTTAAACTATAATATGTTTATCTTATACTTATTATAATATCAAATTAATTAAAGGAACATATTAAAATTTTCATATTTTTTATATATTTATGTATTGTACTTAGAAAAAAACAAAGAAATTATAATAAAAGCTCATTATTTTTTCACAAAATATTTTTTAAAAGGGATGTAATAAAAATCCTAAAACTTGATTGGATTAATGGACGATTTTAGAATAATTAAAACATTGAAATATTTATAACAATCTTAATGAAAGTAACCATAGATTTTAATAATAAACCACAAGAAAATAAAAGATTTTAAAAAGAATCTAAAAAGATTACAACAGAAACATAGAAACTCTTAGATATTTATAAGAAAAGAATCATTTTAATATTCTAAAAATGAGCTACAGGAATGATATATCAACAATATATATATGAATTGATTAAAAAATTGAATTGAATAATCTTAAAGACAATTATAGAATAAATTAAAAATAACCAATTAATATATAAACTGAATTTCTGTTGAACCTCAATGTTAAATTCAATCCTTATTAGTTTTTTAATCTACCATAACTATACAACATTATCAAATATTATCTATTTGAACTTAATGTTACTTATGAATATTTTCTTTTTTAAATTCTATTTTGGAGAAATATATTAATTACATCAAAAATTAAATTATCATAACAAAAGTTAGGTAAGATCATGCTATTTATCTTATCGGTTATAAAGATCTCATTTTTACAATAGCTAATGGTATAAAGGTTGAAAATTCATTTAGAAATTTCTTATTTTAATTACAACTACTCATTTATTTGTTAATCAAACAATGCCTTACACAAAAGATATTTTGATTATTTTGAAATTCCCTTAATAAAATCAAATTATTTTTTCCAAACTCCTAAATTTTAACTAAATAAACAAAGATTGAGTTAGTAGTTATATAATAGTTTAGATTGAACAATAAATAGATTAATTGGCATATAACCATTTTAGGATAATCGATATTGACTGTGTTAAGAAAGTAAATATAAATAATCTAATTCTTCTTTGAAGGCTCTTAATTATCTTTAGGATTAAATTTCAATTGCAATGTATCATGATGAAATAATTCTGACTTAAGGTTCACCATTAAACAATTAGTATTGATATCTTTTGAAAAAGGCAATATCTTCAATAGTTTTGAGAGAAACAGCATCAAAAAGAGAGTTAAAAAAGTAAAATAATTTTAGGTATAGATTATATGAATTATCCAAAAATTCGATTATTTATTTGTAATCTCTTGAACTTTGAAATCTCTTAAGTTTTGATGAATTGATAATGAAAGTTAATAATATTATTTTCATATTAGATTTTCAGTCTCTTCGTTTGGAGAGCTTCAAGGATGTTTTAATTGATAACAATTATTTTAAACTCATTTAATTTTAAATTATCAATATAACGCGCATTTTAATAGAGTATTTATTTCATGCATCACATAATGCAATGTCATTTATTGCAAATTTCCCAGAAGCCTCCTTAGAAACTCGAAGCAATTTTTGAATTTTCTTAATAAAAATTTATAAGATACCTTTCTACATAAATAACAATTTGGTGATTTCTTTAAACATTTTTCAAGACACTCATCACAAATTCCACCATGTTAACAAGGAAGCATTACAATTTGAGGTTCATTTTCAAAACAAATCTGACACTTTTCTTCACCTTTTACAAGTCCTGATTCTCTTTCTACTGGTGAATTAATTTATTCAGTCTTAGCCATAAATTCGAAAGCTTTGAGTCTGGCCTTTTAATTAATAACACTGAAATTGCTATTGGATATGTGCTATAATTATTTCTACTATTTATTTGACTCTTAAGCAAAATCAAAATAAGTAGAAGATATTTGAATTAATTTTTATGGTAAAGATATTTTAAGAAATTGATAAGGCAATTTTTCTTCTTATCCAACTGGCTCCTATTGTACATCAATATCAAATCCCATATCTTTTATGAATTATCTATAAATATAATAAAGTTTCTTACATAAGTTAGACCTTACATATAGCAGTAATCACATAAAGTGAAAGATTATAAGAAACTATTAAAATGCATAATAAAGTAGCTTAATCAGCTGTTTAGAAATTCTTTACTTCTTGATTTTGACATATTATATAACAAAACCACATTGGAATTCCACTAAATCCGCATAAATAAAATGTTAACCAAATTCCTCCAACTAATTATGTTTTAGTTGTCTTTTTTTTATAGTAATCAATTAAGGTTTCACCTATCGAGAGAAGAAAAACAAAATGCACAATAAAGCTTATAACTAATAAACCCCAAGCAATGCTAAATGTTGTATACCAACTCCAATAAATTGTGCACTTCCATCTCATGGTTATTAACATTAATTAGAGTACAAGCAATATTTTTACACCTTAAACAAGCTATAATTTAATGTATATTATACAAAGGAGTATTATGTGATTGTCTAATTTGTTGCTATTTTTCTAATATTAATGATGACCGATCTGATAAAGTAATATGCCATGATAACATAGCTAAAATATTGAATATCTAGTTCAGAGTAGGTGAAGTTAATTAGGATTGTAGTTTTGAAAATAGCTGCCAAAAATGTATCAATCAATAAATTCCCTACTGTAATTTTATATCTAAAATATAAAAGAATGATAACTTGATTTTCAAAATTGAGAGAGTTAAAATAACAATTATGTCAATAATCCAATAGAACACTATCAATATTATTAGCTAATAGTCCAACATTAAATAAGTAGTGTATATTAAAATATATGCATTTGTAAATGTTAAAAGTATTAAAAGTTATGATAATCTAGTGGCTGGATCAATTGATATTGTTGTCATTTCATTCTAAATTTATATATTAGGTTAAGGTCTAAATAGTTTATTAAATATAATATTATAAACCTCATTTAATTGCTGAAAATAAAATTATTCATTAATTATTTTAATCATCTGAAGTTAGTTTATATAGATCTTAATAAATATATTAAATATCTTTCAGTTAAAATATAATATAATAAATAATTTATATTAGTTAAAAATTATTAAATGATTGAGATATCAATATCATAAATAAGTCTAAAATAAGCATTGGGCAATTGCTAAATTAATATTGGGATCAAATGCGGTACAATTCTTAATTATAATTAGGTGAAAGGAAGGAAATATTGTATTAATAATTTTCATCAACTCAAAAAATAATTAAATATTCCTAGCCTCATCAATATGTATTTGATAACTAAAACACTAAATTTGTAAAATTAAAGTATAATTCATTGTTAGCTGTAATTTTATATTGAAATTCCTGATGAATAAGGATATATTAAACTTTTAGGCAGTTCAAAATTGCTTATTAATGAAGTTTAAGGAAGAGAAGTTTCTCATAAAATAGAACTTGAATATGGTAACATAATGAATATCGTATTACGATGCACAACAGAAGTACGTAATTCTGCAAAATAAATACCTCCAATGAACAATAGGATCGATAATTATCATATAATGTCCGTGAATAAATCAGAACCTATAATTAATAAGAAACGTTATGGAAGCCCTTAACCTAACAAAAATTAACCTTCTCGTTCCCCTTAACACAAAAAATTACCACCTTAACCTTAACCCTAACCTGTTATACTTCAACAATAACAACAACAATTCATTTAATAACAACCTTAATAATAGTTATTATAACCTACTAGCAGCAATCTAAGTAAAAGTAGTGCTTCAAGCATAAAGCAACAAAAAATATTGGAAGATTATAAATAAGTTATGTAAAACAGCGTTCTAGATGAAAGCGAAGAGTTTTAAAGTAGTCCAGATCACAGAATAGATCCTCCACAACCTATTATGGAATTTAAAAATAATAGTATTACTCCAAGATAAAGTTCTAAATAATTTGATGAAACTTAATTAGCATAATATAGATAAATGGTAAAAGAATTATCATTATTACTTGATGTCTAATAAGATTGTGATTCAATTGTTTATGCTGTTTAATAATTGCTATAAAAATATAGAGGATAAAATGAATAAATAATGAAAATTTAATGTGATAATCAAATTTTATTAAGTCAATATAGCAGCTTATAGCAACAAAAAAGTCTAATTGAATTCAAATCAGAAGAATTTAGAAATCAAATTAAATCCAAATTAAAAACTTACAAAAGCTTATTTGATGAAAATGTTTAACTCAAAAACCAATTAAAAGAGGACCTTTAAAAAATAGTTGATCTTAATATTTAAATTAGAGAATTAAAAGGAGATCAATAAGAAAAACAACAAATAGATTCAGAAATTCAACACTTAAAATAACAAATAGATAAAGTAGCAATGAATGTTGATCAAAAATCATATGATTATGCAATATTAACTGAAGAAATAAACTTAATTCAATTTAATGTATGATTTATTATATTTATTGTATATCTTATGGTATTAACTTGTAATTATTCTTACTTTAATATATATTTATAATTTAAATTAATTTATTTTATTATCTAATGATGTAAAAATTGTTCTAAAAGAAGAATTTAAATTAATACATTAACAATTTAACTTGATCCTAAAGATACTATTTAGCTAATAAATTTTTCTATATGAGAATAAATTTATAACATAAAGATAAACGCACAATCATTTAATTTAGGATCTTACTTTTCTAGGATTTTAAAATATTTTCTTTCTAAGATCATGTTTTTCCCTAATTATGTCACTGTGTGTTAAATGTTGTATTTTTACAAAAGGGAATTGTCCAATAGTAGGTTTTAATTTATTTTCTTCTATAACTGACTTTAGATATTCACTCATTTTAGATTATTTATTCAATTTGTTTTTAGATTTGTAATTATACATCCATTCTATATTTGTAGGTTATGCTAAACGTCGTTTGTTATATAAAACTTATTACATTTTGATGTCTGAACTTGTTTTTATTCTGAATTCCTAAGGTTTATCAATTATTAAATCATCTAGTCTTAATTAAGAATAATTTGAGTTGTTTGCCTATTTCTTATTTCTTATTTCTTCTGAATGTTCAGATTTTAAGATGCTCGTTTTTAAGGGCATAGATAGAGTGTGAAACTTTGTTCTCATAATAATTATTTGGTCAATTAATTATATAATACTCAATTAAGATCCAAATATTTATTGATATATGAATCACTGTAGATGCTATCTTCTTAATCAAATTCTTCCATTATATTACGAATTAGAGGTCTGTGTTAAAATATTTTCAATCCTGATCCATGATTATCTAACTATTGTTAATACTTAATATAACTATCTTGAGTATCAGATAATGTCTCAGTGCATTATTCTTATTATTGTTTGTATTCAGCTTTTATATTAATTATTATGATACCATATTTCAGGGTCAGTTGATCATACTAAATTTATTTTAATTCATTATGCAATTTAGGATTTACTTAATGTATTTCATTCATTAAATTCAATTTCTTTATCTTGTGTATATTCTAATATATTTTTTATTCCTAATCCAATCGTAGTTTATGTATTGATTTTACTATTGGAATCTTTTAGGTGATTGAATCTAAACAATGTTTAAATGATTTTTTATGACTGTAGTTCACGTGTTGCAAAGAAGGACAATTTTCCTTTATTTCAAGCAAACACTGTGATATTGCTCCTCCTAGGATCATTAATTTTAATTAATATTCGTTAAAAATACTTTAATTAATACACTTCAATTTTTTACTTTTTTATAATTGAATTACTCCCAATTTTTCTTTTATTTTATATGTGATCTTAAAAAGCAAAATCAAAAATCATTTACATTCATTTTCAATAATTATTTCATCTTTTTAACACTATCCCATTTTTTCAAAGTATATTATGAATGTATAAGAATGAATGTAAGGAAAGAATAGATTAATTAAAGAATAAAAAAATGAAAGATTAATAATTTTAACTTATTTAGGTGAGGCAAGTATAATATCAAATAAAGCTCCAAAGAATTACCAAAATTGGATAAATAATCTAAAAAGAAATTAAAAAAATTATAAAGTTTTATGTCTAATAATAATGGTATTAGTTGCGATGAAATATCAGACACATTCTTTAAGTTAGCAAAGAATAAACTTTAAATTCAAGATATAAGTCAGGATGACAAATTTAGAATTAAAAAAAATTGGAGAAGCAAGGCTACTATCACTAAATAAGGCATTTTTGTTAATACCTGCTAAATAAAGATTTAGATGAAGAATCGATTTCAAACCATTTATTCCAGTTAATAGAATTAAGATTCTAGGGAAAGATTGATGAATATATATAGAGAAAATGACAATCCAACGAAATTGATTTTTAAAAGGAGGAGGAAATTCAATTAGTATATTTTACTAGATATAGAATTACAACAAATTGGATAGAATTAGCTTGTTATTATCGACTTTATTTCTGCGGAAGTATAATCATAGATTAAAACTGAAAAAGACTAATAAAGTATAATAATAAAAAAATTAAGGATTAAATACTAATTTATCCTTGATATTTACATAATTTAAATGGTATAAAAGAAAACAACAAAAGGAATTTGTAGATAAATATATTTGTAGAAACTAAACCATAATTTGCTCTTTAAATTTGGTTTGAATCATTATTTATATACAAAACAAAAGAAAATTTAGCTTTTAATTAAACTAAAAAAAGTAAATCGAAATTGCTCATTTATTGTATATGTATAATAGTCATTCCAATTAAATATTGAATAAATTTTCAACTAAATTTTCTAATTTAGCTTGCAGATTCTTAACTTCTTTATCATTGTGATATTTTTCTACAAAATAATTAAAAATTTTACTCATGAAATTTATTTTATCCTCTTCCTCATATCCATATTTTTCATAAATTATATCATCAATCAATGTATTTAATAGAACAGGTTTAGCGTCTTAAACGTCTTCCATTTCCTAATAATTATTTATAAACTATTACATTAAAAAGATCTAAAATTTAACCAAAATATTCGTGTTTTGTATAGTATTCTATTACATCAATTTAATATTTCATAAGCTCGATTCCTTATTGTTTCCTTAAAGACACTTTGATTTGAGGAATGTCTTTCATATTTTATTATACAAATGTTAATTATTCAACAAATTCTTTTCCAAATTCTTCATGTTACGAGTAAAATAGAAAAGAATTTTAAAATGCTTCTTCATTAATATTCAAACTCTATGCAATACAATTAAAGCCTTCTTATATTATCCTAAACTATTCCTCAGCCATCTAAATAACAAATTTAATATAATCAGTAAATCTTTTTTAGTTTAATGCATTTCTTCTAATTTTTCTTACATTTTCTAAGTAATTTACATATTCATCTGCAATTATTTCTTTGCATCCATCCAAAATTAAGCTCATTGTTTCTAATTCTAAAATGTTTTCATTTCCAGGTTCTGTTCTGTAAATAACTGGGATACTTTTATTGATTAACTTCTTTCTACTATTAAAAGTTAAGTCTAAATATCCAGGCAAAACTCTTTATTTTTAATCCATCTCAGCTAGAAAAGAAGAATCCTCTTTCATATCTTAAGAAAATTCATTTTGCATAATATTCGACATGGATGTAACCTTTTATTCTCTATCAATTGGACTAGGAGCATCTAATCGTGAAAGAAGTTTTTAATTAAAATCTTGTTTTTATTATAGATTAGATGATTATTGGGCAGGTATGAATTCAGTACTATCATTTTAAGCTTGATTCAATTCTCCCTTCTATATGATTTCTACTTCATTATCAATATCCGACTATTATTATTATAAACTTGATTAAATTGGGAAAGAGGTTATAGATTCAGTTAAAATATTATTAGTTTAGATATTTTCAAAAGGTTTATCTTTACTGACAAACACTTCTTCTTCTTCCACAAATTATGGTTGATTAGAACCAGTTTATACTAATTATTCTACTTAATTTTATGATTATTATTAAACATCTTCTTGATTTTCAACAGGTTTATTATTACTGACAAATACCTCTTCTTCTTCGACAAATTATGGTTGATTAGATCCAGTTTAAACTAGTTATTCTACTTAATTTTATGATTATTATTAAACATCTTCTTGATTTTCAACAGGTTTATTATTACTGACAAATACCTCTTCTTCTTCGACAAATTATGGTTGATTAGAACCAGTTTAAACTAGTTATTCTACTTAATTTTATGATTATTATTAAACATCTTCTTGATTTTCAACAGGTTTATTATTACTGACAAATACCTCTTCTTCTTCGACAAATTATGGTTGATTAGAACCAGTTTAAACTAGTTATTCTACTTAATTTTATGATTATTATTAAACATCTTCTTGATTTTCAACAGGTTTATTATTACTGACAAATACCTCTTCTTCTTCGACAAATTATGGTTGATTAGAACCAGTTTAAACTAGTTATTCTACTTAATTTTATGATTATTATTAAACATCTTCTTGATTTTCAACAGGTTTATTATTACTGACAAATACCTCTTCTTCTTCGACAAATTATGGTTGATTAGAACCAGTTTAAACTAGTTATTCTACTTAATTTTATGATTATTATTAAACATCTTCTTGATTTTCAACAGGTTTATTATTACTGACAAATACCTCTTCTTCTTCGACAAATTATGGTTGATTAGAACCAGTTTAAACTAGTTATTCTACTTAATTTTATGATTATTATTAAACATCTTCTTGATTTTCAACAGGTTTATTATTACTGACAAATACCTCTTCTTCTTCGACAAATTATGGTTGATTAGAACCAGTTTAAACTAGTTATTCTACTTAATTTTATGATTATTATTAAACATCTTCTTGATTTTCAACAGGTTTATTATTACTGACAAATACCTCTTCTTCTTCGACAAATTATGGTTGATTAGAACCAGTTTAAACTAGTTATTCTACTTAATTTTATGATTATTATTAAACATCTTCTTGATTTTCAACAGGTTTATTATTACTGACAAATACCTCTTCTTCTTCGACAAATTATGGTTGATTAGAACCAGTTTAAACTAGTTATTCTACTTAATTTTATGATTATTATTAAACATCTTCTTGATTTTCAACAGGTTTATTATTACTGACAAATACCTCTTCTTCTTCGACAAATTATGGTTGATTAGAACCAGTTTAAACTAGTTATTCTACTTAATTTTATGATTATTATTAAACATCTTCTTGATTTTCAACAGGTTTATTATTACTGACAAATACCTCTTCTTCTTCGACAAATTATGGTTGATTAGAACCAGTTTAAACTAATTATTCTACTTGATTTTCTTAATTTTTATTTTAAATTACTATTTTTTCGTTATCATTTAAAAAAACTAAATCTTGGTTACCTTATTACAGTTCAAGTTATATATCTTGGTTTCCACTTTACAAATTCAATTCGCACTAAATATCTATCTCTTTTAACATATTTATTTCTTATTACTCCTATAATTATAGAGTTTCTTAGTCAATATGTTTATCATCAATTTAATTTTTAATACTTTGTTTTTAACTATCATCTTAACTTAATTAATTAGTTTAATTTTTTTATTAATTTTCCTCTATCTTTTATACTTTTGGTACATAGAGTTCATTTGAAGATTAATGAGCTACTTTTTTCTGAACTACTTTTTAAACTTGTTGAACTTACTTAACTTCATACAAATCTCTTTCTTATGGTTTTTAATTTTTTTAAGGTTGCTTTTATTTTTAATTTGACTTTTATTTTTAATCAGAGACTTTCTGATTTGAAGTGGTATGACTGAACTCCTATAAATCTTATTCTTATGGCTATTGTGTTTTTGGTTCTTAAATAGGTCTTTCTTCGAATCTAACTTATGGTTTTTTTGTATTAGAACTTTCTTGCTTTTGATCTTTTGTTTGAGCTTTATTTAACAATATGGAACTGGTATTTTTTTTTTCATTATCTTACAAATCTTGCTACTTTGAATTTTATACAATTGCTATTTCTGAGCTTTAATTTTCTATATTTTTTGAAACTTACTACATCTGCTTTAGATTTTACACTGATTATTCACTTACCTATTTATCATCTGATTTTTATTTCAATTCATTTTCTTTTGCTTGATAAATTTCTTTTTATTTTTGCTCTGGTTGTTTTTTTTCTTATATTGGCCTCCTATATCTCTTGACTCTTCCAAAAAGATCTTTTCCATTTGTATTAACAGTTAGAATAACCTATGTAGAGAAAAAAGGTTTTGAAGTGTCTTTGTTTGTTTCAAATGTAATCGGTAGGTCAGTATATAATTTCTCCTCCGTTTTTTCTTGTTAGATTGGTTTAAGGAAATTAATTTTTGATTTTAGTTGAACTTTTTTAACTTCTGCTTATCTAGCATTTTATTGTGGGAGTGGTTCTGATTTTTCTACAAAAACTTCATTAGAGCCTGTTAATCTTGTTTAGGGCATTTTTGATTAGACTAATTAATCAATCTCCTCTCTTGTCAACTTCTTTGGCTAAATTTCTGGCATTTTATATTCTATTTTTGGTGGTGCTGCAACGTATTAAGTTTTGATTAATTAATCAGCATTTTTTATTTCGTATTATGTATGTTTTGAGATGACTTTTGCTCTATGAATATCATCAATTTATTGAATTCTCAATTTATATGCTTCCTCAATTTTTTTAGCTTCTTCTTTTAATTATTATTTTTCTTCTTTGGTAAGTAAGCCTTCTTTTTTTATATATTTAACTTCTTCTGCTTCTTATTAAGTTGTTTCTTCTGCTTTGTTTCTTAAATATACAATATACTAATTACTTATTCTTAATTTGCTTCGGTTCCACAGATATCCACCCTTCCTCCTCATCATTTTAGTCATCAACTATTTTTTTTTATTGCTTTTTTTGTTATTTACTTTAATTTTTACCATTCTCATTCAGTTTTTACTACGTTGGATCTTATACTAAATTAAGGGTTTTTTATTGTTCTTATACGATTGGTATTTGTTATTATTTTTGTTACACTACCTTTTAGGAAGAGCTTAATATAGGTTACTATGGTTATTATAGTTGTTATTGTTATTATGGTTTTTAAGGTATGCTTTATTATTATAGCTATTATTAAGGCTGAATTGATGGTTAACTTTTTTTGATCACTTGCTACTTAGTATCCTCTTATTTTATGTCTAAGATTAAATAAAAAATTACCTTATGTTTATTTAACTCCTTATAATTATTGTTTCTCTTGTTAATTTTTTTGTTATTGTTGAGAAGCATGTTTATTTTTATTTCCAACTTCTACCCATTCTTCATCATTTTCATCCTCCTCAATCTCAACTCTAAATTTTTATTTTTCTTATTTTTATTTCTACTTTTTATCTTATAGAGTTTGATTTTCAGGATTCTTTATTATAAAATAATAAATACAATCTTTTCTTTTTAAGTTGGAGCCTTTTATTGTATTGATTATTATTGTGGTCTTTTAATTTATGTATCTTCTTTTTATGTTGTTTATTTTTATTTATCTATTTCTGATTTTTTTTGATGAGTTTATTTTACACTTTATTCAGCTTGTAGCAATTTTTACTTCTCTAATTCTGCTTATTTTTCTTATTCAATTAATTTTTACTCATCTTCTTAGGCTTCCCCTTCTGATGATTGATGAGAATCTTATTCAAACTATTATTGTTATTCAGATTATCTCAATTATTGCTTTTATTGGTGCTATTATTTCTACTATTAGTCACTTTTGTATTAGGATTTTTTTTTTTATTATTACTTTTAGCTCAGCTTCTTTGGCTACTGCAATTATATGTTAACTTCATCTTGAATAAATTTTTAATACTATTTGGATTATGAAACATTATACCATTGATAATAAAATTGCTTTTGAGCTATACATTAATATACTAAAACATATATTTTAAATAATTACCCTAATCCTATTAAAATGGCCGCATAACCTAGGAATTTTTGTAATGCATCAGACTTTCTTCTAGTCATAAGTGTTATAATTCCTATAACTCTAGAAATAATTATATAGAGTATACATGGCAAATGAAGGCAAAAGGATTTATATTCTTTTCATATTTAAATAAAATATTAATTTTTGGATTAACTCATCAAAGATTTAAATAAATGACTCATACTAATCAAATAAGAATAATCTAGAATAAAATTTAAAATTAGCGCAAAGCTAATCAAACGAATAGGTCTACTTCATATTATTTCTTAAGGTAGCTCAATAAAAAATTAAGGAAAATATGATTAAGATATTAAATCTACTCGGAATAATTATAAAAAAATTTAATAACCATTCAATATAGAATTAATATAATATAATTATATTTATGATCAAATTTAATCTTGATTTAAGCACATAAAACTAAATGATCTAATATTATTGATTTTCAAAAAAATTATCGATTTTATTAAAATATAAAATTATACATCTAACATAGAATTAATAAATGATTTTGATAAATGTGATAAGAATGTTTTTCATTAGCCTATTTAACAATTAGATAACAAAAATTTCAAATAATTCACATAAAGCAAATATTTAATAATTTTATTTTTGATGATTTAAAAACTTAACCTGAAATTCTTTTTTTAAGACTTCAATAAACTTAATACTTTTAAACAATCATATTTTTATTCTAAAAAAAATATATTTAATATATCAATAGATTAGGTATAGATAGACGAATAAAGGTAAGGTTTTTTTGAACTTTTTTATTAAGGGAATATTCTTATTTTACAGAACTAAAGCAACTATTTAACTCTATTAATATGAGGAATTACTTTTTCAAAATTTTTCTTGAGTTATTGTTGATGAGCATTTTTTTGAAATTATTAGTATTAATTAATGCTTAAGATGAGAAGTCAAGCATAAATTCTTCGAAATTGTGTTAATTGAAGAAAATTAACATTTTGATTCTTTGATTATATTATGGCTTTTAAATTAACAATTACTCATTTTGAATTAAACATTATTCTACTTAATATTAAATATGTTTATTTTGATTCCTTATTTGTTCTGATTATGTTAGAAAAATTTATCAATATTATTAACCTATTGGTTATATATTTATAAATTTTTCATATAAATTAATGAAATATTTTTATAAAGTAGTTTTTTTTAATATTATTTATCAACCATCTTAACTTTATTTGATATTAAAACTTTTAAAATCTGAATATCAAACTTTATCATAAAATCATAATTTAATTATTTCAAATGAAAATAACATTCATTCAAGAAGTAAATACTTAAGTTTTTAATATGATATATTTTTTAAATAATAATGATTATCGCATATCATCCGATTAGTAAAAAATAAAATATCTAAAAAAATACATTATCAACATAATCTTTTTTCTTATTAATTAGTATGAAAAAATATAGACATATCTAATATATAAAAGCCTACTGAATGTTGTATTAACAATTTTTAATAATTGATTTATTAATAATAACTTTATTGAATTTCTAATTATTTGATCAAAAGATTCGGTTAAACTTTTTCTTTGCATTTAATATTTAATAATATAAAAATTTTAATTATATGTTATTGTGCTCAAATTTAATAATTTAATTAATTATAATGCATCAATAATTGCCGCCAGAATAACTAGATAGACTTATTTGTTTAGAAGCTAGAATTCATAAGAAATCGAAAGAGGAAATCATATAAGAGCAATACTTATAGATGGAAAGTGAGAAGCAAACAGATGAAAATGATCGTAATAAGCTGAATGTAGATTCTAATAAAAAGTCTGATGACTTAAAATGTTCATTAAACAGCGAAAATTCTCCATAGAATTTATTTCCATCATAGAATTTGAGTCCTGTTTAAAAGAAAAGCATAATTACTAAGAAGCATTCATAGTCAAAAAAAAAGAAAAAAACTAAAGAAGGATAATAAAAAGATGTATTTTGATTGAAAAAAATTCATAGATCACTTAGTATTTGTAGTATTAAAAAAAGTAATAAAAAGCAAAGAAGTCTGAATAAAAATTAATCGAGTATTCAATCTAAGACTCTCCATTTAAAAATAAAAGTCCATTACCATACGATCCAAATATAGAAAAATAACTCAAAGAAAAATAAAACTAAATTGCAATTTCTGAGATAAAAATAAAAGAATTAGAAACTCATAACTCTGAACTTCGTGAAACTATATCGGTATGTATGAAAATAATTTTAGACTTTGACTGAGTAACAATTGAAAATGTAAGATGTAGTTAAATTATTAGCTATAGAGAATGAAAAACTTAAAAAACAATAATTATAAACCTAATTGCAAACAAATAGAGTTAGACTTGGTGAGTATGTGGTTTAGAGAGAGAAAACAGCTTTAGTTGATGTTTGGATTGATGGACAAGAATTAAGGGATGCCAAAGAATAGTCAAAAAAATTAGAGAATTTAAAAACAGATATTGAAAACAAAAAGAAAAACTCAAAAAATAAAGAAGAATAAGAAATGAGAACTCTAAATGTCAAGCTAAATTTTTTAATGAAAGAGGAATAATAATTATAAGAAGCAGTTGAGAGATTAGAAACAGAAAAGAATTTGCATATAAAACAATTAAAAAGAGTTTATGAAGAAGAACATGCAAGATTTACAAAAAATAATGATTATCCATTAATAGGTGAAAGATATTAGGTTCTAAGTCTATTAGGAAAAGGTGGATTCAGTGAGGTTTATAAAGTAAATAATCATTTAAATTAGGCCTATGATCTTTAAGAATTAAGAGAAGTAGCATGTAAAATTCATTAATTAAATTCTAATTGGTCTGATCATGCAAAACAAAATTACATAAGACATGCAATTCGTGAAAATAGAGTTCACAAAGAATTAAATCATCTTCATATAGTAAAGTTATATGATTCTGTTGAAATTGATAAATCTTCTTTTTGTACAGTTTTAGAATTGTGTGACGGTCCAGATCTCTCTTATTATATTAAAAAGTATAAATGCTTTCCAGAAAAGGAAGCAAAAATGTTGATTGGATAAATAATCTCTGCTATTAAATACTTGAATAATCATAAGAATAAAATAATTCATTATGATTTAAAACCATAGAATATTTTATTCCATCTAAATGAATTGAAAATTTCAGATTTTGGTCTATGTAAAGTTTTAGAAGATGACAATTCAAAATTATAACTTACTTCTCAAGGAGTTGGTACATATTGGTATTTACCTCCTGAATGTTTTCATATGGGTGACTAACCTCCAAATATTTCTAGCAAAGTGGATATTTGGAGTATTGGAGTAATATTTTTTGAGATGCTGTTCGGTTAAAAGCCATTTGGCTAAGGTATCAGCTAAGAAAAAATATTAAAAGAATAAGTATATTTTATTTAAATCATAGATAATTGTAAAATCTCAATCAGTAACTTTTCCTTAGAAACCTATAATTTCAAATGAATGCAAAGAATTCATTAGAGGTTGTCTTGCTTATAATCAAGTTGATCGTTTGGATGTGCATTAAGCTTCCAATCATTCATACTTTTAAAAAAAATAAAATTGATTATATTTCAATTATAAAACATTTCATTTAGCACACTTAATCTTTGCATTAACTAATCTTTAATTAAGGATATCTGTTAGAGTTTCTTTTGGCATTTTTCTCATCTAATTGATAAATGAAATTAAAATACTTATTCAAAATATCTCTAATCATTAAATCTAATATTGATATCACTTAAATTTTTATCGAAAAATTCATTTATTTAACTAGTCTCTAATAAATCAATAAGACCAATTAATAGTTTTTATTATAAGTCTTCAGTTAAATTTACTTATCTTTCTCTACTTTCTTCAATATAACTAATTAATAAAGAAGTATATAATTTCAAATTTGTAAATTATGGAGACATTAATTCATTTCTAATTTAAGTAGTTAAATCATTTTGTTGCATATGTCTAATGACTTTTTATGCTTCATTTTTAAATGATTCAATATTCATTAATAATTAATCACTTTCTCTTTGAAATGTAGAATTGAATTATTTATATTCATTGCTACCTTAAAATTCATCCCATCTGCTTTCTCTTCTGTGATCTTATTCTAATTGTTTTTTTATTACATCAGTTTGGTTTTATGCTAATTTCATAAGAAAGTAAGCAATAATAGCAGTTTTTTACGAAAAAGACAAGTTGCCATGAAGTTGAACAGCAGAAACTGTATTTTATTCTAATAGAAAAGATACCATTTAGGCTAAAAATATAATTTTACTTCTTTCCCTTAAGAGCACCCTTAAATTTTAAAAGTCTTATTATTATTATTATTACTAAGGCTAATTATTGGTTATGTTGGTTCTATCTTATAAAACTTAATTTGTAGAAGCCTATTTTTTAAGCATTTAAGGTAAGTTCTATATTGGATTAGTATTAGAACTACAAGTAATTTATTTGGCTACATTAGGTTCTTCATAAAATGTGATTTGCATTAATTATTGCCAGTCTACTCTTTTACGAGGATCAACTTATAACATAGAACGTATAAGTTCTTCACATTTTCTTGATAATTGATTTACATGTTTTGGGAATGAAATTTCTTTGTTATCAATTTGCATTATTAATCTAGCAATTGATTTATCTTCAAATGGGCAAAATCCAAATAAACATTCATAAAGTACAACTCCCAAAGACCAAACATCAGCTTTACAATTATAAGAACATCCTTTTAATACTTCTGGAGCCATATAGATTGGTGAACCTACCATAGTTTAGGTTAGATCATTATTATGAAGTAAACTTTTGCAAAAGCCAAAATCTGCTACTTTAACAATTTAATCATGGAAAAGAATGTTGGATGGCTTTAAATCTCTATGAAGTATATTTTCACGTACCAAAGATCTAATAATATATAATTTAACTAAATTACCTGAATGCATTTAGAATTTAAGCAAATATTTTCATAGTTTCTGGTTCTGTTAGAAATTTTCTCTTTTACAATAATGCTTCTAATGTATCACCATTACAAAAATCATAAATCAAATACATATTGTTTTATGTTTTAAGCATTTCTATAAATTTAACTATATTCTGATTATCTATTTTTGATAGAGTTTGTATCTCATTAATTGTAAATTCATGTAATTTAGGTACCTCTCTAAACTTTTCCAATTTGACTACTTTGATTGCAACAATTTGATCATTTTTCATATTTTTAGCCCTATAAACTTTACCATATTGACCACTTCCTATTACATCTTGAAGAACATAATTTTCAATCACTTTACTCATTTCAGTTAATTAATAATTTAAAATAAAAACCAACAACTAAATATTAATATATATTTAATTTATCAATATATGTATATTATTAATCTATTCTTTTTACTAAATTATATTAGATGTTGAGTATAACTTCTAAGAAAAACATTAATTTTTTTAAATGGAAATTTAATTAAATGAGGAATAATAAAAAATATACAATTTAGTATTAAACTCAAAGAAATCAGGTATAACTAAAGCAAATCTTGCTAAAAATGCTGGACTCAATACAAAGGAAGTTGAAAAGATTATTAAAACATTAGAAAATAGAGATAAGATTAAATCAGTCCGTCCTAATGGAAGAACAACAGGAGTTAAACTTTGGATAGATTTTAATTAAACACTTGATTCTAGTTTACCTACAAATGTTTTTAGAACAGCTGAATAGGGTGTAGATGATGATTTGATAGAAAGAATTAAATAAAAACTAATTTATTTTATGCAATAGTAATTTGATGGTAGAGCATCATTGGATGAAATACGTAGAGTTTATAAAGCTTAATAATCAGAACATTATGATGAAATGGATTTTGATCGAATAATCAAGCTTTTATAATATGATTCAATATTAATCGAAGAAGAAAATTCTTTCTTCAAATTAAATCCATTTAGGTAGCAAAAATTTTAATTTTATTTATCTTATTTACCTTGTTAAGTATCTAATAAATATAATTATTAAAGACATGTCCTGTATTTAATTAATGCAAACCAGGTAATACAATTAGTCCAGAAAAATGTATTTTTGAATGGTGATTCAACTAAATTATTATAGATAAATAAAAAGATAATATAATTATTTAATATCACTTAATCTCAAATATGTAATAAAAATAACAAATATAAATATCAAAAGAAATATTGTTATAATTTAATATTATCAATAAAACTATTCTTCAGACATATAAAATTATTAACTAGTGAATCTACTCTAAGCTAAATTTTGATGCGTATTAGTAATTTTAGATTATGTTGTCATATCTTCACTTGTATTAAAAGGTTTTATTACTGACGTACTAGTTTTTAATAACTATTATTTTATTTTAATTTATTACTTATCTTTTTGAAAATATTGAACATGTATATCCTAATCGCATAATAAATCTTTAGAGATGATTACACATCAAATCTTATCCACATATTTTATGTATAGCAGCTAATCTTTAATAGAAGGCTTTGAATTCATAATAAGTTATGTTTTCATGCTTTCCTTTTTTATAATACTTTCTTAATAATTCTTGTACATTTTCAACTCCTTTAGTTTTCTTGTTTTATATTTAATTAAATAAATTTCGTAAAAAGGTTTCTCCTTTTAATTCATTTGGTTTGATTTATTGTAATTATTTACCATCATTTTCTTAGTTTTAAATTTATTTTACCATCTCTTCATAAGGTAATTAATCTACTTAATCTATTTTTAAATCAGCAGCCATATCAAAAATTTATTATACTTCCTCTTAATCAAATTATTCTTAAGGATCTATAGGTTATCGAGAAGGTTATCTTTAAACATTTGATTCCTTCTTCTACTTATCTTAAAAGAATTTAGTAGATTTTTAATTTTAACTTCTTTAAGTATCCATTTGTTTCTAAGATCCTTATTTAGAACTCATCTATATTTATTCATCTTCTGATTCATGTTTTAGTAATGAGTCTTATGATTATTTTGCACTATGATTTTAAGTTTAATTTGAACTAACTCTTTCATTATCAAAACCATATTTTTAAACTACATTTTTAAAGGATTATTATTATTTTAACAAATTATTTTGATCTCCTCCTAATTAATTTAGATTTTTTAATGAAATTATTCCTGGCATTGCATCCATTAGTTTCTATTAAATATCATTAGGTAATCCCATATTCAAAATCAAATTTTCTAATATATTTGTTAACAATTCAATATCTGTTTATTATTCTTATTCTATTGTTCTTTATTTCCATTAAGCAATATATTCAGATGGATTTTCATCATTAACTTTTATTGCCATTTTTATAGGTTATTAAATAGTAGTGCTAGACCTTCTTATATGAGATTATGATGATTATTATGAAGACAGACGAGATTTAGATTTCCTACTAACTTCATCTTCTTCTATTATCAAAGGTATCTTTGACTTATTACCTTCTATTATCCTTGTTGAACCTCTATTTGAAATTGTTCCAGATTATTAATCATCTTGAATATCTCTCATTGCATCTGTTGATTTTCTTGCAAATTTATTTTTTGTTTTATTAGCCAAAAAAGTTTCAGATTTTTTATATCCTCTTACTTATTTATTTTATTAAGGAGTATTTGAAATTTGTTAATTTTATTGTATTTAACATTATTAAAATTAGGATTAATCAGTATATTCTGTTTAGATTCTTCTATCTGAAGGACTTGAATCATTTTTTCTTTCAGTTAAAGTAAGCACTCTTCCTGATGATGTTCTTTATGTATCTTAAATTGTTTAAGCTTAAGTTAAATCAATATCTGGGATAGTTGAGTCTCCAATTTTCATTTAATTAATAGTAGATTTTCTAGCTATAGATGAAGTTAAATTTTAATCAGATTTTGATATAGAACTCATTTTTCGTAATAATTATGGATTTTCATTATTAGGGGATAAACTTTTTCTGACTTATTATTTTTATTATTGTTACAAGAGCATACCACTTTTTTACATTTACTCTTCATCTAATTCTTATATTGATTTCTAATCAATAGTAGTTTATTTATTGGGTTGTTTGGGTGGATGAAATTCTGTATATGAATGTTAATAAACTCTCTTATTTTATGATGTATCTGATGTTTGACTATTATTTTTGTAAATCCTTTATTCTTTCTATGATTATATATGTTAAGTGAAACTCATTCTTTATCCTACATCAGTACTTTATCTTTTTGTGTAATCACTATACTAAATCTATCGATTTGATTCACCACGATATCCAATTGAAATATTATCTTCATCTGGAGCAAAATCAAATTATGATTTCATTTTACTTGTAGCTCTTGGAGAATCCTTGTTTGATTGATCTTAACTATTACCAAAATCCATTTGTAAACTTTTTTAATCTGCTGGTATTGATTTCTTCTTATTTAATTCTCCTGTTAATTGATACAGTTTTTATTATAATTCTTAATTCTCTTTTTATAATTTGGATATTTATTATTGTAATGTTTAATCTGAAACTTAAACTGCTTAATCTTAAAATGTTTTATTAGTTATAACTGACAATTATTTTTCTAATTTTTATTTTTCATATAATAATTGAGTTCGTTCTTACTCTATAGCTTTTTCAGCAATTTTAGTTGATTCAATTTCTATATTCTATTACATTATTTAATTTTCCATTTATCTTACTCTATTCCACAATTCTGCATTTTCCATAAACTTTTTATCCAATTCTACATTCTTATTTGATAACTCCTTCTACAATTATTCTGTATTATCTGCTCTTCTTAAAGGAGGTGCTTTACGATCTTTATTTGAACTAGACAATAATTATTAAGAATTTTATTAAGGTAACTTTTTCTCAGAATCTTATTTAAGTCTCCTTACTATAAATCCAGAAACAAATTTCATCAAAACTTTATATGTTTCATTTTAAACATTCTAATAGCTTTCATGTACATAATCTAAGAAATCATTTAAGATATTAGGTATCATGTCTTATTGTGTTTATTATTTTTAAGTATCCAATATTACAGTTTCAATATCCATTGTCTTTTAAATCATTTACTTATGCACTCCTTTTAATTTATCAGTAACTTATTAAGTTTATAAAGTATATCTATGATCAATTCTTTCATTTAAAAATTTCTATAGCTCCATAGAATGTTTATCACTATCTTATACAATCTCTTATAATTTACTTTCATGATATTCCTATATAAAATAATAATATTAATTTACCTTCTTAAAATTTCTCATCACTTCTAAGATATCTAAATTTGTATCTGTTCCTTATGATATACATAATTTGATCTTTGGATCATATCTCTTCATTACAATTTATACATTTAATTTATTTGTTTACTTCAAGACTTCATTTAATATGCATTTCTGATTATCATCTAATTCATATTACATCCTTGATGAATTGTTTAGAGTTCGATCATTTTATTATTCAAAAGAATTCAATCTAATTGATGGTAATATATTAGAGTTTTTGCTACTTAATTAACGATTCTTTATTCTTTCATTTTCAACCAATGGTGATTAAAAGCCTCCAACTCTAGCTCCACCCAACCTTCCTGTTTGTCCTCCTTCCATCATTCTCTTTTTCATTCGTTACATCAAATCTGCTCTAGATAAAGGCTCTAGTTCATGTTCCCCTTCTGTATGCATCTGATTGGCATTCTAAACTGATTTCAATACGTCTTTCCAAACTTAAGTATATTTATTGATAGCATGACTATAATCATTTTAATCTCTAGCTTAAAGCATGTAACATAGTTCATTTGAAGTATCCTCTAAATCTTACAGAAACTTTGGTAAACTTATAGAACTTCCTTGTTTAAGCACATTTTTGCTCAAACCCATAAGAAATTCTCCTATCTTCTCTAATGTTGCCTTCTCTTACTAAGAAGCTGGTGTAAAAATCATTAAGCAAATAATATATATATAATATAACTAAGTCACATCAATAATCAATAGGTTTCCTCAATAATGTTCAAATTATTACTCCCTATTCATTTTGCTTTTTAAATACACTACTTTAAATCACTTAAGATAGACCATTCTCTCTGATAGATTTCATTATTTTAGTAATCTTAATATAACTTGAATCTATATTACTTCAATTAATGGGTGATAAAATGAACTGTTATAAAAATTGCAAATATTTCAATATTAAGATAAACAGGAGTATTTTATTAAAATTACTCTATTTCTTCTCATCTAATTTATATTGATTTGATTAGTTTAATAATTATAGTCTTCAAAATTATATTGCATCAATTCTTAATTAACTCTGTTTCCTATCAAAAAAAATCAGATTGTGATTCTCTTCAAATTATAAATCTTTAATGATGATTCATTAAAGATTCAAATTTTTTTAATATTATTCCATTTCTATTTTATTATTTTTACTTTTTTGATCTATTCCTAATACAGTACTTTTTCTACTTTCAACATACCATCCTTAAATTTTATCATGGTTTAAGAAAGAACAAAACTTAATATTATGGCTATTTCATAATCTCTCAATAATTCCTAATCACTTATTATATATAAATAACTGATGTTAAATTTTCATTTATTTAATTATAAAAACAAAATATATTAAATTCTATTTATAAAGAATATGAGTAAAATTAGTGTTTCATGATGGATAAATACTCCTGTAAATGAAATATTTCTATAATATTAAATAATGGTAATTTTATAAAAAACATTAATGTTATTTTACTATATTTGAATATATTTTAATGTGGATGATTAATAATATTATTTTACTTTTGCTATGTAATAAGAAATTAATGAAATTAATGATTAGTCTTCTAAATTTAATATGATAGTATCATCACTTGGATATTCAAACAAATAGTTAGAATAGTTAAAGTTTTAATGTAATTTAAAGTTGTTATAGAGAAGAGTAATTATGTTGTTTGGCTTTCCTTCAATAAATATAGAAAGTGACAAAATTCATGCTTATTTATAAGGAATACACACTTAAAGTGAATTTGAATAACTTAAAAAACTTAGAATTTTAATAAGTTTCATAGGAGAAGTTTCATAAATAAATGATTGGAATGATAGATGTCAAATAATTAAATAGAGAGTGCTATAATTTTTTAATTTTCAAGGATTAGAAATTAGGTGGAATGATTAATAATGGTTAAATGAAATTGATTCCATTGTAACATTTAGGTTTAACAATCCCTATTATGATACAATTCCAAATAATAACTTTTCTTATGTATGTTTATTCAATCTTCTTGGTATAAAATTACCAAAAGAATTGAAATATCTTAAACATCAATCATTCAAATAAATACAGACTTCTAATCTAATAGATGATTTTCATTTGTTATGTAACATTGATGAATTTAATCTTGTTAGGAAAATAAGAATATTTATTCAAGATATTACAGATAGACTTAATGAATTTATGACACTAATAATTAATATTGAAACTATGCATAGTTTTGATATATAAAGTATAAAAAATCATTATTTAACATTATGTGATGAATTATAGAATATCCTAATCTCATTTACTCCTACAGTAATTAATTAAGATAAAACTAAAGATTTATAAAAATAACTATTAATTATAGATGAAAATCACTAAGAAAAAAAGCAATAAATAACATTTAAAAAAACTATACTTACTACTTCTTCAACCACAATCATTTAAAGAACTTTTGAATCAAAAACAAAGAAGTAAAAAAAAAAATTAAAATAAGAAGATTACTTAAATTGCAGATCTTCTCTTTTATATTTAATTGAAAATGTAGATAATAGTTTTAATTAAATTAAATAGAGTTAAAATTCATCCTAAATTTATGATAATGAGAATAGTAATGACTTAATATCATAAGTATAAAATTAATTATTAAATAATGCAGGCTTTTCATAATTTAAAATTATAGAATATTCTTTAGAAAATATAAAATCAAAAATATTAACCTATGAATATATTCAATATAAGCTTGAATAATTAGGATATCCATGTATTAATTTGAATGAAAAATATCTAATATCAGTTTTATAAGAATATAAACTTTACAATTAAAACAAGAAAACTTTAATTGAAAAATTATTTAACATAATATCAGAATCCTTTATTTTTAACAATAGTTGTTAAGATGTTAATAAATAAATAAGTGATTTAGCCATAAAATATCTATCATAAATATCAATCCATTATCCTATAAAAGAATTAAATAAAATTTTAAAAGCTTAATGCATTCTAAAATCAAAAATGTAAGACTATGATAATTTCAAAAATTAAAAATTCTCTTATGAAAAATTATCATAGATATTAAATCGCAAATTCCCTTAATAAGTATATTAAATAAAGTGTTCATCAACAAAAATAATATTTTAATAATGGGGTATTAACCAATTACTTGATATTTTTAATTTTTACGATCTTCAAAATATTAGAGTTACACGATCATATATTAATTAAGTTTGTACTTGTTTATAGGAACTGATTAATTTTAAAGAATTATTGTAATCCAATATTAATGTAATATAAGAGTTTATGTAAATAGAAAAATAATTCTTAGATGTAATAAATTAACCTTTAAATTTTCATATAGATTCCTAGTATGATTAGAATTCAAATTTACTGCATTTTCAATACTTTATAGATGATGACATATTTAGTGAACAAATAAAATAATAAATATTATAAATTTAAGATATTGATAAAATTAAGGAGATGCAAAAGCCTTAAAATTAAGAAAATGACAAAATTTATAAATTAAATTAAACTGATTTATATATGTTCAATCTAAATTACATAAACATACAAGATCAGTCTAATTTTTTATGCTCTCATAATTAATTAGACTCTCCCAGATTTAGTTTTATCAATAAATCACAATAATAGTCAGATGATCAATTATTAGATTCTTACGAAGAAGAAGAATTTTATTCTTGATATTTTATCAAGTGAAATGATTGATCTATAAATATTCATTAAGTTTTAATTTATATATTAAATCTTAGTAATAAATAATTTTAATAAGAAAATTCAATTTTATTGAAATTAACTTTTTTATTTTTTAGCAGAATCACTCCTTTTTAATTGAAAGGCTTTCTATTAATATAATATAATAAATATACAGTTGATTAGCGATTAAAACTAGCTAATTAAGCAGCAATTTGTTGTGCAAGTTATTTAGATGATTCATCTCCTGAACTCATTTAAGTACGATATCTCATTTAAGCAGTTTTAACACTATTAAATTAATTTTTAAAATTAGTTTAACTAGTTTTTCTTGAATTAGATAGAGATCGACTAACAGGAATGGTAGTTTTAAGTTATGAAGTCATCAAAGGATTAAAAGTATTTTGATTTTCCTGGATTTTGGATGTAACTTAATATTTTTGTTTTAAGATTGTAATAGGTGTATTTTTTTATTTAAGTTTTTCTTGAGTTAATCTAGCTTATTAATTAAGTATTTAATTCATAAGAATTTCTACTCTTTATTTTACATCAGTAGAATTTAATGAGTTATTATTTTTTTTTATAAATAATTATTATTGTAATTGTTATAATTAGGGAGACTTATCTTTTTCATCTTGCATAGTATCAAATTTCTTATCTGAATTAGGTTATGTAAATGTATGTTTTTGAGGAAGAAGGATTTACTTTTTAATAAATATTGATTATTAAATCTTTTGTTAATTAGTTTATGTATTTTGAGATTATTTAGTTTCTGTATCTTTCGATTATGATTATTTGTTTTAATTAGGTACTTTGATTATAATGACAATTTTATTAGAGAGAGTGGATTTATTATTAAAAGGATGTGGTTTCAATAATTTTGTATGATATTCTACTTCTTCATCTTCTGGCTAAATTATGTTTTGAATAGATTACTATAGATTATTTGTCTACTCCATATAATTTTTGATAAACCTGATAAATCTAATTAAAGATGGCACTCGAATGTGGTACATAAGTATAAAATATCTCTATAGCTTTACCAAGCCATATTTCTACAGTTAATTTACTGGATTGATTGTTGATGAATCTAAGTTCTGTTGAAATACTATAGAAACTTAATCCTGTCAACATAATCTAATGAATTAATTGATATGATTTTTACTAATTCTAAAATGACCTCTTCTGCCATTACCATCTCATAACTATTAATAGGGAATAATTCTTCTAAATCTACATAAGTTAATTACATCAATCCTAAAATTTACATTTACAACATAGGATGATTATCATCTATAATGGTGAATAGTTTATTTTATTAATTATTTTATGGTTGAAAAACATATTCTGATGCAAAAAGTGATTGACTTCTATTCTAATTGTTTCTTATCATGAAATTTTGAATAGTAATAACATCATTAGATTTTTCATCATTTGGTAACATACTTGTAATAGATATCAATATTTCTTTAAAAACATTCTCTACAATTTGTGGATATGATAAAATTTAAGATTATTAAAATGGTAAATTAATTGATTATGATGATTAAATTTTTTATAAAGGAGAACTGATTTCTGAATTAGCTCTTTATTTTTTATTAATTAATGACATTACAGTAATCTATTGACACAATTTTATAGTATTCTATATAATACTCTTTAAGATTCTTAATGCTTTTTTAGCCATATCTAATGCCTGTTTATTTCTTATTTAAAATATAGATTTTACTTTTTTGTTTCTGAAAATAGTAATGTAACTTGAAACATGAGTCTCAATCTTAAAAGTTTGTTTTAGATAATTTAAGCTAAGTTTAAACTTTCATTTGAATTCTTTTTAAGTACTTTGCCTTTAATTTTGAGAATTTCATCACAATCTAATAATATTTCTAAGGCTTCATTTTGGACTGCATATTTCTTAAGTATTATGGCATAATTTATTTTTGAGAATAAAACTGATGTGTATTAAACTTGAATTCTAAGTTAAGAATTTGAGTTACTAATTCTGTGTATAAAATTCTAACAACTTGGCTGCTCTATTATGATACTCTAAAGCTTAATATTCAGGTATATCTTCTTATATAGCCATATTAGTAAGATCTGTTATAATGAGATCTGGAACATCAGGTTTTAAATAAACAATTTCTTAATTTTCTTCAATCTAATAATACTAGAAATGAGGAGTTACTTGAACTAGGAAATTCTATTCTGTATTTAACAATTCTCTTTTGAAAATGATTTTTTTCTATCTAACTATATCTATAGGAGATTTATTTGATAATTAAGCTGGTGTCATAACATTTTTATTATGAAAGGTATGAGCTTCTAATTTAATCATTTATTTATATAATTTATATATATATATATCTGATGGTTATCAAAATGTTCTTTTAACCATGATATTATAGAAATCTTCTCTTGAGATTTCTCTTCCATTTGATGCTGCTCTTTCTAACATCTCTGCTAACTCTTCTGCTGTCATTGTCTCTCCCAATTCTTTAGAAACCTAATACAATTTCAATCTATAAATAATACTCTTTTCAAGTTATTTAAATTAATGGAATTACTACCATCATCATCAAATAAATCAAATATTTTATTTATTCCATCTTTACTTTCTCTATTTCCTAATTTTGATGTGATGGCATCCAAAAATTAGTCAAAATCAATATCAGTTCTATTTCTAAAATTATACTAAATACCCTTCATTCTCTAATTCAGCAATCATATTGAAAATAGTTGGGTTTTTTTAATCAAATCCTAAACTTTACATAGCTGCTTTTAATTCTCTAGGATCTACTCTTCCTGTGCCTTCTGTATCAAATAAATTAAATGCTTCTCTTATTTCATCAATCTCGTCATCAGTCAATCCAGGTCTTCACATTTCAAATATCATAAATTACCTTTCCTGTGGTTTACGTACATTTCCTTATTTTTAAGGTTATTATTTTTAACTTACAGGTGCTGGAGCCTATGGCTTGCTTCTCATATCTTAATTTTAAATATAAAAATATTTATAATTGTATGTACAATCTATTCAATGGATTTTCTAAATAAATAAGTTAATATAATAAAATGAATGATGAAACTTTATAACCAATATAAATTAAAAATTGGACATAAGGCTTTCAATCTCAATTAAGATCTTCGGCTAAAAGAACACTCAGTAGATTGAAATCAATTGAAACAAATACAATATCATAAGACCCTTCTTCTGAATAACCTTATAAATTTAAAACAAATCCAAAACCAATCAAATTATTTGATAGAGGTGTTATCAGTTAATATGGCAGTAGAAGAATATCATTTAAACAAAAATAATCAACTTAAATTACCTTTTAATAGTAATTATGCAAAGCACCATTATATATGCAATTGATTCCATTTTTTAAAGTCTCTGCATCAAGTTGGGCAATATTCAATGGTTAAAATGGAGAATATATCACTGGATTCAATTAGAATAAATGCAGATAAATAGCTTCAATAACCAAAATTGTTACATGTATTGTAAGTTTAAGGTTAGCAAAAGAATTAAATTTGAACATAGATAGAAAACGCTTTTTTGTTCCAGATTAAGTTAATTAATTAAACTAAATAGGCATAAAAAATTTCTGGAACTACTGCAGGGTTATTGAAAGGAGACTCTATCTTTTTAAGAGACCTCCTTTATGGATTGATGCTACCATCAGGTAATGATGCTGCTGTAACACTCTCATACAATTTTTAACTATACTCTTTAGAAAATGATCACTTCTTAAAAGAAATGAATCGATTTGTGAGCTCTTTAGGATTATCAAATACTTAATTTAGTAATGTTCATGGTAAGGAACAATTTATATTCAAATAGGACTTTGTAATGAAAACAATTTCTCCACTGCATATGATGTGGGTAAATTTACATATGAGAGTTTATAAAATGAATAATTCTAAAAAATTGTAAGAACTTAATCTTATTATTGTGAAACTCCAAATTAGTTGCAATACAACTCCAGAGAGTTATATTGGGAGAATACAAACAAATTATTACAATAAGGATTCAAAGGTGTAAAAACAGGTATCACTAAGGAAGCAGGACCATCAGTTGTTGAATATTTTTAGGATTAAACTAGTTCTTATATAATAGTTCTTTTAAATTGTAGTTCAAGCGAAAGTAGATGGACAGATGCATAAAAGCTTTTACAGTGGATTTAGAAATAGGATACTTTGATTAAATAATTTTTATGAATAAAACATTCTATCAAATGGATAAGTAATTAGAAAATGTTGCACTAGATTTAATTTAATTTTTTATACTTGGCAGGAACATAATAATCCAAAAGATTAGATAATATATCGTATGTCTTCATTCCTTTATATTCTTACTCTCGAATATCATCAAAGATTCCTAATTTATCAATTAAACCATATTTTAAAGCCTATTAACCAGTGAGCAAAGTTTAATTCCACATTTCTTAATCCACTTTCTAATTTCTATTTTACATAATCTCATCTTTTAATCTTTATTCTCTGTGTTTAAGTTAGCCTTCTATCCTATGATCTTCATTATAAATTCTACCATTTAACATCTTCTTCTTTTAAATCATCATAAGGACTTAATTTCACTTTTTTTTCACCACTATGAATGAATTTGTGTTGTCTAATTATAATCATATTATGATAATACATTCCTAAATTTTCCATTAATTATTTATATCCTAATCTTCTTTATACATATCCAAAATCTCCAATTACAGAATATTCACTAGCAAAATTTTTATCTCCAATTGTCATTAGATACACAGAACTATTCATTACAAAATCCTCTGCAAATGTATATAAGGGTACTCTGTAAATAAATAGTTTTAAATTTACTTATAAGATCTTGAATAATTTCTTATTGCAGTGGCTATGCATTTAGATTAAACAAATGAGCCTTCTCCATGTATATGAACAGTCACTAATTTTGGTTTGATTAATTTTGTTTCCTATATGCTTTTATATACTTTTTAGGTTCTAAATTAAGAAAATAGTTTATACAGTTTTTCATCAATTTTGCCATAAATTTTAAATTAGACAATTCTTGAAAACATTAAATAATTATTTCAAATTCAAAATATAAAATGCAACATCTGAGCCATGCACCTGATAAAAAAATACAGAATTATCAATTCAGTTTTAAATCCAAATTAGGCAAAGGTGCTTATGGAACAGTTTATGCTGGTCAAAACACTAATGATAGTACATATACAATTTTTATCATTAGATAGTATTGTTGCTCTTAAGATTATTGATAAGAAATTGTTACTTACTGATTATGCAAATCAACTTATTGTTTCAGAAATTGAAATAATGAAAAAAATAAATGATTCACATGTTGTTAAATTGTTAGATGTATTATAAAGTGCTAATAATACTTATATCATAACTGAATTTTGTAATGGAGGAGATTTAAGAGAATTTATAAAAGCCAGAAAGTACAATATCTATAATAATTAGAGTTATCCCTGAAGATGAAGCACTCAAAATCTTAAAGGATTTGTTATAAGGAATCAAGGCTTTATTAAAATAAGGTATTATACATCGGGACATAAAACCAGCAAATATTCTTAAACATGATTCTCAATTTAAAATTACAGATTTTGGTTTTGCAAAACAAATAGATCAAAATCTTGATACAATAATGTGTTCTCTTGTTGGAACTCCATTATATATGAGTCCTTAAATTCTAAAAAGAGGTAAATATTCTTCCAAATGTGACATTTGGTCATTAGGATTAATACTTTATGAAATGCTTTATGGTATGACTCCATGGCATTCTCAAAATTTAGTAGAATTGATGAACAAATTAGATTCTAAAGTATATAAATAATTTATTAAATTAGCCTCTCTAATTTCCAGTTCATCCTTATATATCTGATTCAACTAAACTATTAATTAAGGGATGTTTACAAATAAATGAAGATAAGAGATGGAATTGGGATGACCTATTCAAAGCAGTCTATTTAAATTCAAATGAAAATAAGGAAAATTCTCCTATTTCAATTATTAAAGATGACCTTCGATCACCAACTTATAGATAAGATCAAAATTCTCAGAAAAACGATTACAAATACTCTCTCCAAATGTAAAGAATCAAATAAAGAACTGAATCGTTATGTTAATAAATAAATAAACATAATCGAAGCTACAGTAATGCTACCTTTTAAACTAATGATAAATCTAATAGACAAGATAATAAAACACCTGTTAATGACAAATAAGTAAGTAGTTATTTTGATTTAAGAGAGAAACTTAAACAAAACAATATTTAACAAGAAAGAGAAAGAAGTACCTCATAAAATTATAGATTTCATACTTAAAGAAATGAGTTAACTACCTTTTTTGATAAAATCTAAAATGCTTAATAAAAATTAAATAGTAATAATGATTCTTGTAGAACAGCAAGTGCTCTATAATCTAACTCCACTAATACTTCAAATAAAGTGAATTATGATTTGGATTTGGTTAAGGTTTCTGACTTTCAATTAGAAGATAATAATCGAGTTTCTGATTATAATACTACATATAGAAATCCAAAGACTGAAAGAGTTAAAAGGACTAATAGTTTAAGTGGACATTTTCAAAACTAATCATTTTAAGTCAAACCTTAATTGTAGTAGTTAATAAAAATAATTGAGAATCAACTTGATTTGATACCAAATTATATTAATTGCAAAATTGAAATAAATACTATGGTAATTTTACATAAGGAAATAATATATTGTGCCACAAATAAATAGGTTTATACAAGTAAAGATTTAAAAGATCTCAAATTATTAATAAATAGTCTTATTTCTTATTTGAATGAAAACACTGGAGAAAATTCAAGTAAATAATCACAAATAATGTTACTATTGCTCTTAACATATCATAAAGTATTAATTTACAATATCAAAAACAAATCTCTAAATATTGATGCTAATTTAATTGAGACAATCAAAAAAAGTATTCAGGTTTAATAAAATCAAATAAATTTTGAATCAAAACTGTTGAGAGAGCTAATTAATTTATTATTGTGATTTCATATATTTTTCAATTAACTCTTTATGTAATTCTTATCCTCCTTATTTACATTTAATTCTAAAGAAAATACTATAATTATACTATCATTTATTTATCATTACATCATTAGTATATTCTTAAAGTAAGATTTTTGATCAAATATTCACTATTTAAATTATGAAATCATTCAATTAAATCCTATTCTTAATTTTAATAGTAGTCCCAACAGTAATTGCAGTGAAAGGTGTTGATTTGAGTGCATCCTTCAATAATTTTTCATGTATTAGAAATGCTGGCTATTAATTTGCTATTGTAAGAGGATATATGAGTTATGGTGCTGCTGATACTGTAGGTCTCTAAAATTTAAGAAATGCTAAAGCAGCTGGATTAATTGGTGATGCTTATTTTTTCCCTTGCAAAGGAAGTATATATATAAATCCTAAATTTTTAAGAGAAGACTGCTTCAGCTTAAGTTTCTGAATTTGATAGTGTATTTAATTCAGAATATGGTACAGTATGGATTGACGTTGAATACAATCCCAGTACTGGATGTGGATGGAGTACCTCAGATTATTCAGGAAATTGTTAATTTTTATAAGACATTGTGAGAGAATTAGGAAATAGAGGAAGATTAGTTGGAATATATGCATCTTAATATTAATGGTCAACTATAATGGGATCTGCTTCAGCTTGTGCTTATTTTACATCAAAGCCACTTTGGTATGCTCATTATGACAATAATCCATCCTTTAGTGATTATTCTAAATATGCTTTTGGTGGATGGTCAACTCCATCAATTAAATAATATTTAGGAGACACAACCTTATGTAGTGTAGGAGTTGATCTCAATTTTTATTGAACAGTTAATTATATAAAGAGAATTAAAAGTTATGATTTAATAATATTTAATAATGATAAATATTAAATATTATAAAATTAATGTAAATAAGGAAATTGTTACTAATCATTATATATGTATAAAAAGTATGAATAATAGTAATCAATTTATCCTGATCAATTTCATTTGTATCAATTGGTTCTTTTCTTAATCACTAACTACAAATGGAGAACCGTTTTCATCTAATAAACATAATCCCATATCACAATCAATTAAATGTTTCTCTGAATCATATGTACATGTCAAAATTCTATCATTTTTACCTAAATAAAGTAATCCTTATAAAATTAATTTAATGATTTTATACTTCTTTTTATTGCCTTTGTTAAAGCATTAATCATAGGTAAAGGTGCTGATTTTCCTCTACTTTTACAAGACATTTATCCACTCAAGTTTTCATTTAATAGTTTATTAATATTTTATAATTAGGATTTCTTAAAGGGATTTCTTGGAGGACTTTAGAACTCTTCTATTTAAATTGTCTTTTTAGTTTTACTGAAACCACAAGTTTCATTTATTTCAAAACTATCATTAGAATCTAGTAATGAATTTTCATTAAAATCAGCAAAATCATCCAAACTGATTTCATTTTTCTTTTTAGCAATACTTAATTGTTTTTTTGATTTCTAATTTGCTACAGCTGTAGAATTGGATAAGAAACTATTTTATTTGACTTAAGGTGATAATTGTAAAGTTAATTAAGAGTTAGTATTTTTCAATTTATTAATTTCAGATTAGAATTATGAAACTAAGAATTATTGTTAAGTTAATTATTTATTTAATTCTTGCTTTTCTTTTTCAATCTATTTATTTTTTTACTTTAATTATGTAATAGTTTCAATAGATTATTATTATAATTATTAAAATTTATTTGATAAATTATTGAAATGTTAACTTAAATATTTGCTTTCTTATTTATTGTTATTATTCTCCTAATCTCTTTAATTTATTGTATCATACATGTTTTATAATTATTAATTTACTTATTATGTTAGATTCAATAAAGTGTTTTGTATTTAATTTTTGATTTATAATAATTCATCACTTTTTTCATTATTTATTTTATTTAATAATTAATGTGCCTATTACAATTGTAATTAGTATTAATTTTATAATTAAGTAATTTATACTTATATTGTTTATTCTACTTTTTATCTGTCTGCTTTACTATTCAATTTTATATTCAAATTTTCAATCTCTTATTTGAAATGTTATTCATCTTCATTTAATCTTAATTATGTATTAGAAGATAGATTTTTAACTAAATGTTCACTCTATTTAGTCTTTTATTCAAAATTCTCTTACAATTCCCTAATCTATTCATTTAGATTATTTTATAGATTTGACACTTTTCTATCAATTTCCAACATAAATTATTAAGTGTAATCATTCTAAGTGATGTTTAAATCAATATTATTTAATTTGTGTCTTAAGTCTTCCTAAAACTTCTTGAATTCTATATTAAATCTCTCTTACAATTATTAATATTAATGAACTTTCTCTGATAATTGAGTTTGTAATTGTTAAATTTGTTCATTCTATTGTTTAATAATTGTTGATTGACCCGTGTCATCCTAAATACTGAAATTCAATTGAGCTTAAGATTAAACTTTGTTCAGTTCAGATAACTTGTTTTGTTGTTCAGTTTTCAGAGGTACATTCTATTAGTATTATTATTAATGATAATAAGCAACAGTCTCTTAGAGTGATTTTCGTATTGGTGGACTCGAACCTCTAAATTGCCATAAAGTCAAGTACATTACCTTTATTAAGGATATTGAACATATTATATAGGTGGATGAGGTAATTTTTATTCTTAAGAGACACATCTCATAATTTATCTTGGTTCCAAGCTTTACTAAATGGAGGAAGGACGTACTTGACGTTATTCGATAGGCTGTTGATATACTGCATTACCAAATGCTCTTACAGGTATGCGAGAGAGCTTCATATATAATTTTGTTCTAACGATTAAAATATAATTAAATGAAATTCGCTGAATTCTTATTAAACAATATTATTCCAGAATGGGCCTTAATGTATTTGAATTATAAGGCCATAAAAGCCTATTTATCAACTTCAGGTGCCTTAAAAGACTTCCTACTCTATGCCAAAAAAACAAAGAGCACTCAAGAGTACAAGGATATTAAGAAAGTCGTTATGGAAAAAACTTATATCATATCAAAAATAATGGTGGATTAGAAAGAATTCAATAAAAAATTCAATTAAGAAATATCTAAAATAAGATCCTTTGTGAATGCCAAATATAATGATTTGAAGGGCAAGACTTATAAAATATAATTATAAATATTGTCAATGAATAGATAAAAGAGATAATTAGATAGGAATAAAAAGCGTTCAGTAATCAGAGGAAATTCTTAGGTAGCAGAAGAATTAACTGAATAATTAACTAGAAAATCAATCAAAGTGAAAGAGTCAGAGTTCAATTAGAAATGTAATAAATTGAAAGAATTATGTTTTTAATTATATAATGAAGGGGTGAATTTTGATAAGTATTTAAAAATCAATCAAGAATCTATTCGTAAACTTTTAAAGAAATAAAATAAGAAATCCATTAAGATAAATTAAGAACAAATAAATATGGATGAATCTAAGAAATTGGCTTCAGAGATAAATTTTGATTTAATAAGAAATAAAGTCAAATAATTATTATTTCAAGTAGAGAAATACCTTTTAAAACACTTCTATCAAACTCAATAATAACTATGTAAGGAATAACTTCGTAAATATCAATTTCAAAATAATTAAAATAATAAAGCATGGTTTTAGTTTGGTCTATTCACTGGCTTTTCATTGATGTTAATGTCATTCATCATATTTTTAGCAACTTAAAAATAGTTAAACATTTTAAATAATACTATTATTTATGAATCATTTCCAATTTACAGAGGAGCCTTGTTGTTTATTCTGTATTATTGGTCCTTAACAATAGTTATTCACCTATGGAATATATCCAAGATTAATTATAAATTATATTTCTGCTTCAATCATCATTTCTCAACTATCAATGAATAATTAAAAAGAGTAATGACTTTGACCACAATCTTTTTATTAGTTAGTCTTTTTTATATATGCGATGTTTCTAGATTAGGTGTTATATTTTCAAATCTTAAAGGAGAAGAGTATTTCCCATTAATAATTTGGGCTTCTCTTTTGGCAATAGTGGCATTTCCTTCAAAATTTATATTTAATGGACAAGGTCGATTGTGGCTTTATCGTAATTTATGGCAATCATTAAATCTAAAAGTAATAGAATAACGTCATTTTTTCATAATCAGTCAATTCACTTCATTAATTATACCATTTACTGACCTAACATATACAGTGTGTGAATATTCGAAAGGAGTATATTATTATTGATTAATTTAATAGATAAAAAATCAAGAAGATAATGATTTTAATTTATATGATGAATGCTTTTTCATTTCTAGATATTTCACTTTAGCTTTAGTGTTAATCCCCTATTTAATTTTAATATTTTTAAACATATTTTTGACTAAAAAATAGTTGAACACGAATCTTTTTTTTATAGATTTTATCAGAAATATATTTTCAATTGCTCTAATCATTTTTGCCACTTTATCTTATTAGGAATCTAGCTTTTTTTATTATTGGTTAGGAATGGCAATTTTTATTGCATTTTTAAATATAATTTCCAGTATTAAGAAATGGAGTTATTTGGATATTAAAGAAAAGAGATAAAAGAAATAACTTATATCCTATAAATAAAAATTATTAATAATATACCTACCTTTTGGAATACTTCAGCCATTATCAATATCTACTTCAATATTTGGGTGTTTCGATTAGAGCGAATAACACAGTCTTCTTATATTATATATAGGTATTGCTGAATTAATTAGAAGTAATTATCACAATATCATTATTATTTAGGAATGATTATCAATTATTATATTGTTGATGCTGAGCACTTTAGAAATAAATAGAAATATTAAACTGTTGGTGAATATGAGTTTCCATTTGAGGAATTTTATACTAAGATACAACTATAACAATTATTGTAAGAAAATCATAAATTCTACTTAGATAATATGAGTCTGATGATAGTGATGATGATTAGAAAGAATTTATAGGAATGAACAAAGAAAAGAATTCTGATATTGAAATTATCATGACTTAAATGGAACCGTCAACGTAAAGTAGACCAGATGTTGGACTTTTTGTTCAGGGATAATCGATATTAAATTAAGTTAATAATTCTGAAAATCATTTATAGAAATAAGTTAAATAGTTCAAAATATCTGAATTGATAGTTAAGGAATCAGAAAAAGCTTTGGGAGAGAGTTTTTTAAATTATGACATTAATAATTTTAAACCAGATGAATTGAATTCGATAATCAATTGTTAATAAATATCAGAAAGTGATTTATAAAGTTTGCATGTTAATAACAAGAATACTAAGGAAGAAATAAATAAATTGTATGAAGAATTTGGTATCTAAATCAAATAGTGAATAATTATGTATAAGTATTACTTGGTTTTTATTATAAAAAATCAAATAATAATTAACGTTTATAAAATGAGTTAACGAGATCTGAGTAATGTAATTACAATCAATCCCAACGATCCTTAATAATATTAAGACTTGCTGGCATATTATAGATCTAAATTAGGAGAATTTGAGAAAGAAAGATTTGAATGGTTAACAAAATTGGAAGAAATTAAAATTTAATATGAGGACAAGCATTAATAGGAATGGGAATTATTAAAGAGGAAATAAGAGATAAAAGAGTTATAATAAACAGTAGGAGAGGCAAAAGTATATATAAAAATTGAAGAAATTAGTTAATGTTATTTGAAGAGAGATAAGCTAGATTAAAGTTATAAAAGGAGAATGATGCCCTTAAAGTTAGAGAATTGGAAGATAAAAAGAAAATTGCTGAATTAATGGCTATGATTGAACCAATAGAGGAATAAGTAGTATTATAAAAAGATTTAAGACCTGAAGTAACTACAAAATATACAGGTGATACATTGGCTGTAAGAGAAAAATAAGGAAAGTATATAGAATTTATCAAACTATTTAGTGTTAAGATGCACAATATCAATTAAGGCAGGAGCATATTAAAAACAGTGTATATGCCAAATGAATAGTTGAATGCATATTAATTGGAGAATGATAATTTGAAAAAATAACTTGAAAATGCAGAAACTATGTTGACTCAATAGTTTGCAGCTTTGAGAGAGGAATTGAGAGCAAAAGAAGTTGAAACTAATTTAAGAATAAAAGAAGACTAATAAAAATTAGATTAATTGGTTTAAAAAATATAAAAATTAGAAAAATAAAATGTTGAACTTGTTAAAGGTAAATCTCATTATTAACTCATTATAGATTGTTATGTATTAAAATAGAAATTTTAGAATAAGGAGAAATAAATGCAAGAAGATTTAGAAGTATAAAAGTTGAAAAATAAAAAATTGAAAATGGAATTGGATTAAATTTAAAAGAAATACAATGTTGAAAATAAAACAGCTTTAGAATTGCTTGAGAAAAAGTCTGATGAATATAATAAAAAATTTAGAAGCCAAATCAAATCTAAAGATGAGTAATTATCAATCATTAGAGAATAATATGAATAAGTTTAGAATATTTATATTAATAAAATATAATAATTGGAAGAGAATCTATCCAAATTAATTGAAAAGTATTATTTTATTGTAATTAGATATTAATAATTGGAAAAGAGAAGATCCTTAGAAGTTGAAGGATTTAAAAATGACATCAAAATTTTGACTAAGAAAGTAAAGGATTGTGAGAAATCACATATAGAAAAACAAAATGAAAATAAATCTCCAGAAGATATAGCTAAATATTAAGAAGAAGCATAATAACTTAAATAATAATTAGCTAAAGAGACAGGCATTATCTATTCTTCTGGAAAGAAAAACAATTCTAATAATTAACAATAAACTATTAAAATTAAGGGCAATTAATCAAGGGGAGCATCAAAAACTATGAAATAAACTAATAAATAAAGCAAGAAAGGAATTAATAACTAAGGTACAATTTAATAATTGATTTGTAGATTAGAATGATTAGAAAGATGATGATGATGTATCTGAATCTGTACCAATGCATGAATTAGAGGATCTTCAACGATAATTGGATGAATTACAATATCAAATGGATATAGCAAAGAAATAATGAAAATAACATATCAATTTTATATATACTAAATACAATTAATTAAAAATTTACTTCTATTTATAAAATTAAAATTAATTTGTTAATACGTTGGATGCAAATTGATACTTCATCTAATCATATATTAGATAAGTGCGAATCATTTAAGCATTTATCTCCTTAAGCTTAAGAGGCTTTGTTAAGTTTAAAAAAGATAAAGAACATTGGATATGAATAGACAAATGATTTAATAAATATTAATGTCACTACTAATAACCATGATAATCCATCAATCATATCTGAATCTATTGTAGAGAAGATTATAAGACAATCTCCAAAAAATGAATTTATGGGATCTTAAAATTTCTCATTTATCTAGAAGTATTCGATTGATATTAAGTTTAACAAAGTTCCAAATAATTATTGGCATTCAAGAATTCGGTAGTTCTAGATGACCCAACACCTGATTTTTCAGATGCTCTATCTAGTGACAGAAATAAACTAAGTGAAATTACATAAAATCAACAATTCTTTTAAAAATAGATAAATTTAATTTAAAATTAATAAATTAAGCAATCTTAGAATCAGATCAAAGAAAATAAATGTTTTATTAGAAAATTTACACAAGAGAAAGAGAATATGCTTAATCATAATTAAATAAAAAATTACTAAATAAACAGATTAAGTGATTTAATATCAAAAGAAATAAAGAAAAATACTTTAACATCGTCTTCAAATAATATTCGTAAAAATTCATATACAAGTTTAAATACTCATTGTTCATCATAAACAAAATACCAATAATTAAATTAATAAGATTATCTCTATAAGAAAGCAATAATAAAACAAGAAAAATTAAAAACTTTCATAGAGTAGGGTCAAATAATAAATAATATAAAGGAAATGTAAGAATGTACGTTCAATCCAAAGATCAATAAAAAACCTAAGATTATTAATTCGAGTACTTTTTTTGAAAGACAAAATATATGGATGAGAAAGAAAAATGATAAAATATCTTAATAAATCGAAATCTAAAAAGAGAAAGCAACAAAAGAAGTAAATATAATAATTTAATTTAGTGCACATTCATTCCTAATTTAAAAGATGATGATAATAATAAAATTAATAGTTAGCATATCTATTATAAAGATCTGTTATAGCAAAATAAATTGAATGGAAAAAAACAAAATTTTCGAAATTCTATGATTGATCTCAACAAAAATGATTTATAAAATAACACATGTAAATAGTAAATATAAAGATCAAATTCTACATAAATCATTAATTAACAAACTGATTTGAAATAGCTGCTCGAAATTCAATTAAAAGTTGATGGTATAAAAAATGTTCAATGCATAACTCCAAATAATTAGGCTACAAAAACAACTATAATTCCTAATTCGTAATGTGGATATTTGGATCTTAAAAAAAGAAAAAATAGTATAGAATAGATTGAATAAAAATATAAACTGCTTTATGATTTAGTAAATAATGTAACAAAATAGAAAAAATGAATTTTATAATAATAATTCTATTTAGTTATATAAATTTAATTAATTAATTAATTAATTAAAGTAAAGTAAAGAAATCAAAATTCCCATTATTCTTCTTTATTTTATTAGAGAGAAGCAGAATACGAAAATCCTTAATATGAATTATTCATTTATTCTTTTGTGGATAATGAATTAGTTTAAGAGAAAATAGGTTCTTTTAAGAAACACTAAATAATAAGATAAATATTAAATTACATCATCGAAATATTAAACATCATCATCACTATTTAATAAAGGAAGAAAGACAGGAGGAATTTATTTTTTAAAAATCATATCCCAATCAACATTTTTAAACCAAGGATGTTTTTTAACCTAGATTTAATATCATTATATAATTTTACTTCGTTAGCTGAACTAATTCTATTATTTGGATCTTTTTACAATAATTTAGATAATAAATCTTTTAATTAAGAAGAAACACCAATTTTTTTGTAATTAATTTCATGATGAAGAATTTAATTGAATAATTCTTCTTTAGTTTCTCCAAAAAATGCTGGTTAACCAATAACCATTTCATAAATTAATGTTCCAAATGTCCACCAATCTGCTGCTTTACCATGATTACCTGTTAATAATTCTGGAGCCAAATATTCAGCTGTTCCACATTTTGAATGTGCACCAAAATTACCTTAAATTCCTTATTTAGAGAATCCAAAATCAGTTAACTTAATATAACCTTCTGAATCAATTAACACATTCTCTGGCTTTAAACTTATTTAAATGATAAAATATACTCTCTATATATTATATCTTATTCATGTAAGTATTAGAATGCTAAGACAATTTAACATGCATAAAACTTAGCTCTATAGATATAAATATTATATTTACTGTTCTTCAGTCAATTTATTTTTTTAAACTAATAAATTATATAATTCTCCTCCTGGACAATACTATAAACAAAAATATAACTTAGTTTCATTTTAGAATGCATATTCTAATTTAATAATAAATGGATGATGACAATTTTTCTAAAAATATTAATTCTATTATACAAGTATGTTTCTTTCAGCATATATTTACTTTACTTAATGATTTTCTATTAATTAGGTTTTTTTGATAACTTTAAGAGCATATGTTTTTTAATTGTCTTTCTTTCTTACAAGTATAACCTTTCCTATAGAACCTTTTCCAATTACACTTAAAAGATGGAATTAATCAAGAGTCATTTTCTTTCTATCCTATGATAAACTATTTATGTATTTGATAGTAATACTTATGTTATTATATTAAATAAACTACATTTAGACCTATATCATTATCTTAGTTATTTTTCATGAATTTTTTAATTGCTTTTTTTTTAATTTAAAAACGAAATAAATAAAATAAAAGAAGAATTAATTTATCAATTTAATTTTCAAAATACTGTCATCATACTATATTTTAGATTATATAAATGAATTTATTTGTTTTAAATTAATATATAAATAAGATATTATATCAAATAGACTTTTTTTCTTCTTTTTTAATCTTCTATTATGGCTAAGTTCTAATGGGTTGCTAATTAAAATGAAAGTTTTCTTACTCTCAAGATAATAAATATCAAAATTAATCCAACACAACTTACAAAAAAGTATATCTAAATTAATTCTTGTATTGCATGAATCTATTCTAAAGAATCACTACTTGGTAATTTATTTAAAAATAATCCATAGAAACACATTTCAACTAATCCAATTATCCATTAAATGTTTATACAATACAATATTCCAAATTCTGGTAATTAATATGGAATTATTGAAAAGATTTAAGTGCCTATTCCCAAACTATAACCAAATTACAATAGAACAAGTTACCAACTTTTATCTTTGAGACCAACTGAAAACCCTAAAAATGCCAAAGCAATACAAATAATTGCTTACCCAATTAAAGTAATAATCTTTTTTCTCTTAATAAAATTATAAAATATCATTTGAAGCAAAATCATAAGGAATCCAGTAATAAAAGCATATATCCAATATTTTTAACAATCATTCTTTTAACTATTACAATATTTATTAAGAGGAGTATAAAGGAATGAAAAAATCAAAGTTTCTCCTGTAAATTATGTTAGAACAATTAATAAACAGCATTTAAAATACTTCTTTAAATAAGGTTTTGAAATCAAATATTCAGAAGTATTTTAATTTAAATTGTTTCTTAAAGTGTCTTATTCAAATCCAAAATATGTTTATATATTATCATTATGAATTTCTTAATAAATCATTTTCGATCTTCTTGAATCTTTAAGAATTTTAAGATAATATTGAGGAGTTTCAATTTATAAAAATTAAAGTAGAATCATTCGAAGAACACTTACAAAATTAAGTATGAGAATAATATTTAGATAAGTTATTAGATCAGGAGGATTTTGTGGATCAGATTCAAGCCAATAAGCTCCTAAACACTGTCCTATTAGCAATTAAAGTGGGATTAGTTTAAAGAAAAATTAACTTTCTTTTTTCGAACTCATTTATTTAACATAAATGATTGATTATGCATAATTCAATCCATTAGCAATTCCTACAAAAACTCTTAAAATCAAATAAATATCAATTGGCTATAAAGATATCTATATTTTATCACTCTCATCTTAAGGATTATCTTTATTATTAGGACTTTAAAAATTTAATAGTATTATAGTGCAATTACTTAAGAAATAGATTACATCTGATAATAGAAATATAAATTTGCTAGATTGATTTGCTAATAATCTAATACTTATTTATAAAATGTAATACTTGTACATCTCTGTTCCCAAAACACAACCAAATATATAGATTCCATTTTATAATATCAAAGTTTCAGTTGCCTATTTTGGGGTTTTAGAGGATTGGACAAAATTATTTAAAGTATGAATTGGCATTGATTATTGAAGTGAATATTGAAATATGGTTAATGTTCCAATTATGGGGAATATAAATTTTTTAAGTTTTGGAATTTCTAACATTAAATATAAAATTATTAATTTGTTTAATAAAAAATAATTATACCTGAATGCAAATTAGAAATATCAAAATTTGATTTATTTGACAATTCGCGAAATTCTTTCTCTAGGGTATTTAGGGATTATTTTTGAAAATGTACCTGGAACATACATGGTTTTAGGTAATTTAGTAACAGAATTAGATAATGGATATGAAGTTGGTTCAGTAAGCAAATGTTATGGAATTTATGGTAAAGAGGGTTATTAAATTTATGGCAATTTGGTAGTGGTAGATGCAATTTAAGAAGAAGTTTCATGTATTAATAATTCATCATAATGATCTGAGATAATAGAAATGGTTCCATTAAGTTTTTATAATATAGATGAATTTAGAGATTAAATACTTTGATCTCCATTAATAGATAAAGGTATATTTTGAGAATTTGGTTAATGGAATTATTAGGATGATTAAATTTAATTTGATGTTAGATTTAAATTCTTATTAGTAGGCAAATTAGAATGCAAGGGTTGATTTGTAATGATTGAATATTCTTCTTTACTCATTTTAAGATGAATTTAAGATAATGTCTTTTACAATTCTTTAGGGTCTTTAATATCAACTAAAGAATGTTATCGATCATTTCTCTTTTCATTTTTACCTTCTATGAATGCTACTCCTTTTTGTAATTATATTATATCAATTTAAGATGAACTAATACGATTAGATAAAGTAGAAGGATTACATTATTCTATAGTTTTCTTTTTGTGATTATTAATTGATTCTAATTATTTTTTATGTAAAGGGAAAAGGTCTTTAACCTCTAATAGTACTCTTTTTTGTTGGATTTCCTAATTAGTCTTTGGATAACGATCAACATCTGGTGGCTTCTAAACTATCACTCTACCCTCAAAATCGTATGTGTATTTGGCTAAGTAAGTTGATTAATACATTTAGAATCAACATTTAATCTCTTAAGTTGTCTATTCATCTCTTGGCATTCTTGTTTTTTTATTAAATCTTGCATCTGCATTTATTGGAAATTAAATAATTATCTTGCCTTAGCTTAACGCATTGATTCTATCTCTGTATCAAAATCAACATCGTCATCTAAATCTCCCATTTTAACTGGTTAAGTATCAAATCTTTGGATATCCCCTTTATTAATTAAAGTACTTTATAATTTAGATTCTCTTCTAAAAGATCTATTTTCAATTAAAGTTCTTTTGGGACTCTATACTTAACCAATCATTCTTCTCCAATGTTCTATTGGACATGGTTTAGGTTCAATTTCATCTTAATTTGAATCTATATAATTCATATCTTCTATAATATCTGTTATAATCATATTAGCAAATTATTCAGTCCATTAACATCCAAAAGGTATTAATTAATTCATTACATAATTCTCTTTAATTATATCACTTGCTTTCTAAATAATCTATCTACAAATGAATCTACTCACTATGACACTTTCAGTTAACATATATCCTAATTACTCATCTTCATAATTTTAAGATAAGAGTTCCAAATTAGGAAAATCTTTAATATTAATATATGATACCATGTATACTCATTTATGAAAGTTAACGTTTTGGTGATCCTGATAAACTAGATATTGCAACACTTCTTCTTTTCATTTATAATAAATAAAATCAATTAAAATCAAAAAATAATCTCACTATTATCATGAATTTTAGCACTCTATCCTTCAAAATAAGCATATTTTCTTAACTCTTTTGAAACCCAATAAGGACAATCTGGTATCATTATTCCTAATAAATATTTTATTAATAATAAGATATGTTCAATAGCTGCCAATACTAATACTTATATTAGTGGATTACTATCCCCTATTAATCCTTCAAACTCAGCCTTATTTACTATACCTATTACAAGACAATTCATAAATGTAGAACAGTAATTCATTAGTTCAAATATGGACAACCAAATGCCAATCGAGTCAGCAGCTTATGCTCTCTTTAGTATTTAAAAATCTTACTTCTCGCTTTAAAACTCTCTAATAATTTGAAATTGAGAATTGCAAATTGATAAATTGATTCAACAGGAAAAATAATGGAGCAGCAGCAAATGCAGGTGAAAACATAGTTGTATATCCAAATTGAATAGCAATATTAGTATATTCCTCATATAATTCTTTTTATGGCTATTTACTATTACTATCCTCCATCAACTTCATAAATTCAATCTATTAAGCTTATTTCAATTTCTCCTTCACATATTACATATCACATATCTTGAATTATTCTTTAAAAACCTTAAATGTTTCAAATTAATCCTTCAAACCCCACTTTAAATATTTATATAATAGATAAGGTAGACAATTACTTTATAAATTAGAAATCAAACCTCTTGTTATAATTATACTAGCAACAGATAATGTTAATTATGTCTAATCTGTTTTAAATAATACAGCATAAACTACTGAAATATAGGATATCAAAAATTCAAATAAAAATACTTTTAAAACATAAGAATGCTACATTTCAGAATTAAATCTATGATTCTCCCAATTTACAACAAATTTACAAAGTCTTTTATATAAATCACATAAAACAGTCATACTAACACCATTCAATGAATTTATAATTATAGGCATATAAACACTTTATGGATCTTATTATCCTTGCCATTAATTAAATGCTAGAAAACTTACCAAAATAATAGAAAACCCTAATAATATTACAGGAAATTCAACAATCAATCTTCTCTTAAAAGTTGTAAAAGAGTCATATACTTCAACTTTATTTTTGCATGGTTCAACAGTATAAAGTCCTGTATACATAACTCTCTATGGTTCTTGTTGTTTAAATTTATGCATATCCCAAATATATTTGAGTTCTGATTCTCTGTTCTTCCACTTCTCCATAAATAGAGTAGCCCATAGAGACATGAACAAAGCATAAGATGGTAAAATTGAAGCACTTTAATATTATTATATCATACTGAATTTAATCAGCAATCAATTAATATAATTAGATTGCTGATCCAACCAAAGCTGGTATAATTAACCATCCGACTATTTAAACATTAAATGCTATATACCAAGCAATAACAGGTCCATAATAAGAAGCTATTGAATTCAATGGTCTCAATGCTATTTAATGAGTTTTTATTCTTATAGTATCTCTAATACAATTGTATTGAAGATCCTTCCACATTTCACTGACTTTTTATGATTTTGAACTATCTTCTAAAGGAAAATGTGAAATCACCAATCCTTCTAAAACAAACTTATCTAAATCAAATTCTTCATTTAAGACATTAATTATAAGTTATTGAATTTATAATGGTTTTGGAAATTCAAAATGGCCATAATCTCCATATTTAAATTTTGTTAAATGCTATATCGGTTAATTAGAATATTACCTTCTTTGTAAAATGATAGCATTCAATCTAATAGATATCTGCTAATTTGTAAATTGTATCTGCTGATAACTTGATTACATAATAATGATGTTTCACACAATGTTCTTTTCCATTATACATATATTTATAATTTGGAGTATTTATAATAAGAAATTCAAATTCCATATTTCTTTATTAAAATGATTATCTGATATTCTATAATTACAATAATACAATATCTTAACATATATCTTAATTCCCAGAAGTTTAAATTACATACATATATCCCATTAAATTAAAACTCTATTCCTTACCTTTAAGATAGTGATTTTCATAATATTTAACCATTTTTTCATCAAATGTCAATTCTATAGGCATCAAACATCTATGATTCAAAACATCCATTGAAACTCCATGTTCTACTAAAATTTTCATACATTTAAAATTATTAATCTCTATTGCTAAATGTAATGCATTAGATGGATTCTAATCTGTCATCATATTAAATGCTTCAACCTATAAAACTTATATAAATATTTACCTTATTAAATATATCTTTTTTAATATATGTTTTTGAGAATTATCCTACTGTAATAGATCTATGTAATCTTAAAAGATCTTTTAATTCCTAATATTCATATTCACTTTCCAAAATTTATTTTAAAATCTCATATTTACCTTTATTAGCTGCAATATGAAGACAATTGAATCCTTAATATTAAATTAAAAATGGATTGCATTTCTGCTTCAAGAAATAACTAAAGAATTCTGTTGATTCAATTCTAGCTGACCAAAACTACAATCTACATTCAAATAATTATTTCTTTGTTTAACTATTTGCATAATGATATATAGTATAAGTCTCATTAAAGGTAGTACTTTTTCTTGTAATCAACTTTTATCCAGGTCTTTTTAATGAAGGTCTCATAGATTTTACTCTTTGAAAATCTTTCATTGAAGGTCTCAAATCATTCATTGATGGTCTATAATCATCTTATGATATTTAGATTTCTTGAGATAATTGTCTACCAAATTAAGAAGGAGCTTATGATTATTAATATTGTGAAACCATATATTTAGATTATTCAGATCTAGAAGGTATATTATTAGATTTAAATAGTCTACCAAATTCATCATCTTATTATAACAAAACTCTAAATTAATTTCGATCACTTTCTAAATCATTTTTAGAACCAATATTATTTTCAATGTTTTCTGTAATGTTGTAATGAGGATCAGAGAAGATTGTATTTGTAGGTTAAATAATTTTTACTGAGGGAATCTTCTCTGCTTCTGGCTCATTCAAATCTTATTAAGAATCTTCAAATGGTAGTTCATTTTACACATACTTATTAGGTAATTTCTTCATTCTCTCTTAGATAGATTTAAATTATTAACTAATTCTAGAACTGATAGAATCTCTTTTTTATTATATTGTACTAGTTTATTACATTTTTGACATTAAAGTCATAGCTGTTTATCCACATTATAGATGCTAATTCAATTTATTTTCTTAATCTATGCTTTCTAATTCATTTGCTGGTTCTTTCAATTAAGGTTAATTTTGATCATTAATCATAATGGGATTTTCCAAATTATTTGATTTGTAAGATATGGATCCTATTGCTATAGTCATCTAAGTGTTTAAATTCCTAATAGTTTTAAATTGATGACCATCATTTTTTAAAGCATATTCTTATACAGTCTTTACAAATATCGCCTTGTATTTTTTCCTATTTTATATTTTCAATAAACAATTACTGATATTCTTCAGGTCGGTTTTCAAGAAATAAATAATCTATTGGATACATATCAAATTAATCTAATAAATATTGTAGATCTGAGTAATTAGATAAGAGAAATTCAATTAACTCTAAATTGCCATAATAATATGCCCAATGTAATGGATTGGCTCTTTTATATTTGTTTTCTGTAGGCAATTTGGCATTGTGATCAAGTAGTAACTTAATCAACCTAAACTAAAGTTAAGAATTATATTCCTTCATAAAACTTTAAATAGAAATAATATCACTTACCCTTTTATGCTAGCAAGTTCTACAGCAGTGTAGTTGTGTAGATCAACCTGATTTAGGTCTATGATTTATGAATACTATGATAGCCATTTTTCTAGTAATGCCAATTAGCCTAAATATGCAGCCCAATGGACTACATTTCGTTTTTCTTTGTCAACCATTTTGAAAAACGAATTCAATCCATTCTAATTTTATTGAAGACTTTATTCAAAAAATGTACTTAGGGTTTCAGCGTTGCCATCTTTAACCCATTCCAAAATTTGAGTCTATGTAATTTTAAACATTATGTTTAAATTAAATAATTTGAGAGCAATTTTATATTGATTTTTCTTAAATAAATTCATATGAAATTAATAGTAATATCATATGATCATTATAATATTAAAAAAAAAATGAATGATGGTATTGCTATAATTTAAGAATATTCTTGGTTTAGTATATAAATAAAATATCTTTAAATGATTTCATTATAAATTTGTCGTAATTCTAATTTTTCAAAATTTGATATGTGATTTTAGATCCTTTACAAATTAATAGAGTTCAGCGAAGTTATTATTTTATTAGATAATATCCAAATAATATACATCTATCTATTCGATTCTTTTCAATCTTAATTCAAGTAATGAATCATTTTTTAGTTTTAAAGTGATAGAGTAATTCTCATAAATAATTATTGGAAAATGTAATTTCAAATAATTGTGGATTATATCAATAAATAATTAAGGATGTTTCTTAGTTATGAAAGATAAATGATAGGGACCAGTGTGTTATTCAATCCCTCGAATATTTATAGGTTATCTTGGAGAGTTTCTCAAACTATTTAAACCAGAAGTAAATCTTTAAAGAATATTTTAAGTGGATTAGGATTCATCAATTTTTAATGTTGTTTAAAATTTAGTTTTTTCCAAATCACTAATATTTCTAGTATGAGAATAAAAATGTTTAGTAGGAGTTTTAAAAGATGTTGTTGTATTTGAAAATATTTTTTAATTTCTATTATCATGCATACTTTAGACAACTTTTTAGAATTATGTTTATTTCATTAAAGTTGAGTATTATGCTGAAGGTTATTTTTTATGTTTATTATAAAAAGCATAATTATTTTATTATTTAATAAAGATATTTTATTTATTAGTGTTTGTATTATGATTATTTTTAGGATTACAATTATTTGAAGATTCATGTAAAGATTTAGATGGTGTTTATCTCATTTTAATTTTATCATAAACCTATTTATAAGTATAATTTGATAATTTAGATGTAGTTGATTTTGTATTTGGAGACTTTGTAGGTGGAGATTTAGCAACTGGTGATTTAGCATTCCTTGGTGAATTTTTAGGTAAATTTGGTATATCTTCATTATAAGGACTGTTTGGTAGAAATTAACAAGGAATTGTAATACATTTGGCCTTAAATGCTGACATAGACGGATTCTAATGATATCGAAATATTAGACATCTCTTTTCCATAATTGCCACCATTTATGTCTTTTTATTTACTAAATTGAATATCTTTTTTATGGATTAACTACTAAAATTTTCTTTATTAGATCTTTGGCATCAATTGAAATATGTTTTGGGAAAGTAAATTCGGCATTAATGATCTTTTAATACAGATTCTATGTATTTAGATCATCAAAAGGTAAATAACCACATATCATTGCAAATAAAATAATCCCACAACTCCATATGTCTGTCATTTATCCATTGTAAGGTTCTCCTTGTATCATTTCTGGTGCTGCATAACAAGGACTACCACAACAAGTCTTAAGCATATCTTTTTAAAGGTTGCTTAATCCAAAATCAGCTATTAGAATATCTCTATCACTAGTTAATAATAAATTCTCTGGTTTTAAATCTCTATGAATGACTTTTTGATTATGCATATACTCTAATCCTGAAATGATCTAATGAAAGAATTTGCATGCCTCATATTCTGTTACTCTACTCATTAAAAATGAATTATTTTACTATTTAACTCTGTCAATATAATCAAATAGTTCTCCACCATTTGCATACTCCATGAATAAATAGATATGGTTTTCTGTTTCGATTACCTATGGATTACTCTATACTATATTTAACCTCATAAAGTTTCACGATTTATGGATGATGAAGTAGCTTTAATATTTGAATCTCTCTTTTTACTCGTTCTATATCTCCTTCTTAATTGATTTATTTCTTCTCAAGAACCTTTACTGCTGTTTCATGACCTATCACTTGATTGATTGCTTAACAAACCTTGCTAAATGTGCCTTGTCCAATAGTCTTTCCTATTAAAAAATATTTATGGTTCCACTACCTATTAAATAATTCCCAATCTCAGTCATACAAAAATATGATTGCTTTAAAATATTTGCTATATATTTATATATTATGAATTAAATATAAAGTGATGTTATGCATTTAATATTCTAATAGGCAGATTTCCAACAAGATTAACAATATTCTAGACAAGAATTTTTAGATTATTTGAATACTTTGGTACAAAAAACATCCTAATGAATTATAGATAAATGGTTAGTTTCCCTTTGAATTAATTAAATCCATAGATCAAGATTATTCAACCCAAATCAATTTACTCACCATTGATGAGTTTGTTAATATCATTCTTTAAGAATATAATTCTTAACTCTAAATCAAATAAGATGCAATAAATCAGATCTAAACATATAAAAATGAATATAAATAAATATTAGAAGAATTAAAACTAGCAAAAAAGGAAGAAAATTTAAATGAATACAATATTGACATTGATAGTACTCTATTTATTACAGTTTGTTCTGCAGATTGTTTGAAATAATCTCAATATTATGTAACTATAACACTTTTCAATGAAGAAAAAAATACTCAACTATCTTAGATTACTAACCATCCAATATGGTAAGAAGAATTTAAAATGTAAAACATTCCAAAACTATGTAGAATAGTCATGTAACATCACCTTATGGTTAAATTATTGTTGAATTATTGAATTCATCTTAAGCATTAATTGGATAATTGAAGTTACCACTTTATTAATTTAAAGATCAATAGAGTTCTAATCAAGATTATCTATTAGAAGATGAGCATGGAGTATTAATTAATACTAAATTAAAACTTAATTTAACTATTTGGTGGATTCATAGTAAAGTTGCTTTGTTAGAAGATTAAATTATTTTTATAGATGAATATAAAAAAGAAATTAAACAATAATAAGATATAATAGAAAAAAGCAATCACTTTATTGATAATTGTATCTTAGCATTCAATGAATCAAGAATAATAAAATAAAAATAACATCCTTAAGAAGTTAATTAAGAACCTAATTCTTTTGATAATTTAGAATGGACACTTAAATTTTAGAATAAAATGTATTAAATTGCAAAATAATTTAAAAGTATTAAATTTCATAAATATATTATAGATGAACTTTAAGACAGTCTTGAAGAATGGTAATAGATTGTTTTAATAATTAATGGATTAGTGATTATTTTTACTCTTATCTTAATTTCTCTATCTAGACCATGTTTTTAATAATTAACAATATCCTTGTTAGTTGGAATTTTAATCATGACTTATGATTCTAATCATATTAAAACATCAAAGATATTACCTTAAATCTCCTTGATTTTATTAATCTAATGTATTTTTGATGTTTTTTGGTTGATTGTTAATTATGTATAATTTATATAATAGATACTAGAGAGTTTGGTGGAACTGTACATTGATATTTGAATAGTAATTGTTTGGTAGTAATGTTATGAATTACATTTCATATTATTGTACCATAATTATTTTACCCATCAATTTAGTTTTGTCAGCATGTTCCTTTAACTTATCACTAAAGTATTTAAGCTAAAATAATATCGAATTATGATTACAATAGAATTATATGTTACAATAAAATTATATATTATAATAGAATTATGTCAGTAAATATATATATAAATTTTTGAATTATTTTTTAAATATTAATTAACCATAAAAATGATAATTTTAGTAAGACATGGAGAAAGAGCTGACAATTGTGAAATCGAAATGAAAAATATTGTAAATCCACATGATCCTCATCTAACTCCAAAAGGGTGTGAATAAGCTCAGTAGGCTGGAAAATTGATTCTTTAGGAAATTGAACCCTATAGATAGATTGAAATTCAAACATCTCCTTTCTTAAGATGTATAATGACTGCTAAAAATATTGCTCATTAAATAAAGAAGGAAGAAATTTCATTAATTACAGAAATTTGTGAAACTTTATATCCTTGTTTCTTTTCCATGAATCCGTTGCCTGATTTAACAATTAATAGCAATCCCACACTCACTTACTTCTCTGGGATTACCTTAAATGATTAATAATCGAAATAAGATGACATATATCCTGAAACTTTAGAAAATGTGACCAATAGAATTATGAGTTATGTCTAGAATTTGTTAGAAAAGATTGAAGATGATTAATGTGTGATATTAGTAACTCATCAGAGACCTTTAAAGACAATTTTAGAGTATTTCAAGTAGAAGACAGATGATGTTGGATATTGTAAAGTGATATCACTATTTAAAGGAGAATCTTCATAATTAGAATAATGTAAGTTCAAAATTTATTGATTATTAATAAAATTAATTATATAATTTAATTATAATTTAAAAAATAAAAGTTTGTTAAAAAAATGATTGGTTCAATCATGTTTATTATCTCCATTTTATTATTTACTTTATTTGATTTCAGATAGTTCACCTGAATATGATGTATATTAATTATCATTTTGATGATTGTTTTATTCTTCATCTTCATTTGAATCAGAATCATTATAATCTATTTATGTTAATTCATTTCTTTTTTTTTTATGCAATTCCAATTCTTCTCTCTATTATCTGATACTATCATCATACATCTTAAAATCCTGTTCTTTTTCATATCTAGTTTTGTTTTTTTCCATTTTCTTTGCTAGAATAATATCAACCTTTCTTTCTTTATATTTATAAATCAGGAATGGTTTAATATATGTTTCATCAAAATTTTTGAAGAATTTCTCACTTTTATGTTTGAGTTATTTATATGCTGCTAAATCTTCTTATATAAATGTTTATCTTATTGCTTATGATTGAGCTGATTAAGTTCTTGATTAAGAACCTGAAATATCTTTTTCCATTTATTTATAAGCCCATTCACATATATATTTCAATGTTCCTCCATTAATTAAAGTAGTAAAAACTACCATATACAAAGAAGTAGTTTAGATAATTTTATAATAATCTTTACCTCCAACTATTTATTCACAAATCAAAGCATAAGCAACCACTCCTTTAATAAGACCAGAATAAAAAAGAAGAAAAAATTCATATTTATTGATTCTCCATGGTCCTTTAGTTTTCATACGTAAACTATAAAATAATAAGTTAAAATTTTACATGATAGCTAAACCATGTGCTAATAGCATAGATGATAATTTAGCTAATGGAGAGAAAACAAAATATTGAACAAGAAGAAATGTATAGGCTTGAGATTTTAAATTAGTATCATTTTATTCTTTTACAATTGCATTTTCTGTTACCATATATCCAATATAAAAATAGATAATTGTTTCACTTATATAAGCAAGTGCTTTGATTGTAATTTTAGAAGAAGTAGCAGATATTTTAGGTAAATTGTAAGTTTAATAATGTGATAACATAATACCACACAGTAAAACTGCTAATACTCCACAAAATCCTAATGATTCACATACACAAAATGAGAAATATGCTATATATATAGTGAATGCAGTAACAACAGACGAATGCTCAGATAGAAATCGAGATTCTTTTGTTATCCATGTTGCTATACTACCTACTAATACACCTACAATTAAACCAACAATTAAATTTGCAAGAATCCAACCAATAAAAATGAATACACTATACCATTCCCAATCATTTTTTGCTTCACTTTAATTATGAAACTTTTCTACAGTTTTACTTAATGCAAATACTACAACATCATTTAAGATTTATTCACCAAAAATAATGCTATGTAATTTAGGTGCATGTTCAAATTCCAAAACACTTAAAGAAACAGCACTATCTTTTGAAGATATACAAGCTGAGTAAAATATTGATGCATACCTAGAATTACCAGGATTATTGTTTTAACTATCAATTTATGGAGGTATCCAAAATATATCTAATATTAATTCAAAATTTACTTGTATTAGTAATTGAATAATTTAATGCAGCCAAAACGATAAAATTGAAAATAGTTCCAAAAATACCATACATTACTACATAAAAGAAGTTCTTCATAAAGTGTTGCTTATTTAAATTGTAACCTTCTTTAAAAACTATTATAGGAAGCAAAATAAAAAAGAATATTTCAGATGAATTATCATAGTTAACATTCTATACAACTTAAAATTCAGTAATGACACCAATTAATAATCCTACTAAAATAGCAACTGAAGCCTCTCTTAATAGATTGTAATGTCTATGTTCACAATATGTTTATAACAAGGCTATTCCTCCTAAAATGGTTGTAAATACAATGAATATTCCACCAGTTATTAGAGACTTAGTATCCAAATTCGATGTTTGGATGAAGGATTATATATCCATAATTATTATATATGAATATAGAATTAATTATTGAATGTTGTTATATATTATGTAATCAAATAATAATATCAACACTTGTTATTAAATTAATTATATTAAATTTTGAACTTAATTTTAAGTCATATTACAAATTGAATTTTCAATACTCTATATACATAGATTTAAATAACTAAATCACTATAAATGAACAGACAAGAAATTATAAACATTAAACCAGAAAAGAAGATATCAAATTATGCTTTTAATCTAAAGGCCATTCTTGGTAAAGGTTCCTTTGCCACTGTCTACTTTGGAAGAGAGATGAATACTTGTATAATATATTCTAATAACAAATAGAATTACCTGTAGCTCTTAAGGTTATTGATCATTCCAAATCTATAAATTATGCTTAATTATATTAATCATTACATTAGGAAATTGAAATCATGAAAAAGTTAAAACATCCTAATATTGTTCAATTATATGAAGTATATTCAACCTCAAATAACACTTATTTGGTCTAAGAATATTGTAATGGACCAGATTTAAAATAATATTTATCAGAAAAAAAAGTCTTAGAAGAAGAATAAGCAATCAAAATGATAAAATAAATAGCAAATGGATTAAAAGAAATAGTCAACAATAATTTTATACATAGAGATCTTAAACCAGCCAATATCCTTATTCATGATGGCTAATGTAAAATTGCAGATTTTGGATTTTCAAGACCATTACCATTAGAATGCATAATGGAATCTCTTGTAGGTACTCCTCTTTATATGGCTCCCTAAATCCTTACAAAATAATAATATACTTCAAAATGTGATGTATGGTCATTAGGACTAATATTTTATGAAATGTTATTTGGTACTCTACCATGGATGGCAACTAACTATATGGAATTGATATACAGAATTAATAATTGTAAATTAACTTTCCCAAAGAATAACAAAATCTCAAAAGAATCTCTTAGCTTTATTTAAGGATGTTTACATAAGGATGAAGTTTAACGATTAAGTTGGAATAGTGTCTTTCTTCATCCTTTAATTAAACCATAAATGAAAATCCCCATAGATCCAGGAATTAATGAAATCTTTAGTCCCAAATTTTCAACACATAGATAAATTCAATCTAATGATAAATCAACACTTCCAACTCTTAGAGAAAGAAGTTGTTCTGGAAAGAATCCATAAAATAAACAATCTAATGAAATTAATATAGAATAAAAATAAGAACTACCTCCTGCAACTTCAAGTTAATAATCTACTGAAGGTGAAGAGAATACAAAATTAGGAAAATATTATCTTCCTAAATAGTAAGAGAAATTTAGAAGAACAAGATCATAATTTGAAAATATTAAACCTAATTAAACTGAAATCAATCCTAAAAGATATATCTAATAACCTTTACCATCTAATTGTAATATTATCAAATAAACTTTTCCAAGTAAAAAACGACTTCATTTTGAATTATTTTAAAAAAACAATGCTTAGAAATTGAAATCAAATTCTGAAACAATTATTTAATTACTTGATTTAATAACTTCATTAGAAAAGGATGTAAAAAATTAAGATATAGATTTAGAAGCATTTCTTAATAAAGAAAGAATTGCAATTACAAATGGACAATAAAATTAAGCTTTAAGGATTAAAATAGCCTAAAGGTATGTTGAGAAACTTGAAAGTAGTAAGAAAAGAAAATTAGAAACCTATATTAGTTTATTATAGAAAGATCAAAATTATGAAGAAAATAATCTATAAAAGAATAATGTTGCACATTTGCTGTATTAATCTTGACTAAATTATGATTATAATTAACTACATTTTATAATATTATGTACTTCTCTGATAATGAATATTATTCCTTTGTCGAGTCAATAAAAGATCTTCATAATTTTACTATCTTACAACAGTAATCCCTGACAGATAATACCAAAGTTTTGATGTCTTTAAACAATTCTTATCAAAATAATGCTCAATCCATTCTTAAATTACTTCTTTAAGGAATTGGTTAAAAATAATAAGAAAGAAGTGAAAAAATTTTAGAAATTGACTTAAGAGATTGTCCTGAGATAGTAACATATATGATTTATTGATATAGTTAGAAACACACTTTTAGAATAGTTTAAATCAAATTTAAAACAAAAATAAAGAGATAATTGACAAATTATTAATTTGTTAATAAAAAATAGAATTTAGATCAAAAAGATAGAAATGTTTGTAAAAAAATGCTTCATGGGAATTGGCTTTAAAAGATGAAGTAGAAATGATGAGGAAAAAAACTTAATAACTTAATGAAACTTTATAATAGGTAATAAATTCAGATTTATTAAACTTGTAAATAGCATTCTATAAAAATATAACATGAAGAAAGAGTTAATTAAATACCAATAAGAGATTTAAATGATAATTTTGAATAAGAATCTTTAAATTTATTAAAAAATTTAAAAGATGATTATATTAAATAATTGAAATAATTGCAATAAAGTTAAAAAGTGATTAGACAATTTAAAGAAATATTAGAATGAACAATTATTAAATTCCTTTTTTTATTATTAATATTATTTTGAAATGGCGCTTGTTGAAGTCACAAACATAATCTTTGAAAATGAATTAGCTTTGTTTCAAACTCCCATTTCCTTACAAATAACCTTTGAAGTTAGAAATGATTTAACAGATGAAATAGAATGGAAGTAAGAAATTTAAATTAATTTAGTTTAATTTATATTGGATCACCTTTGAGTGACAAATTTGATTAAGTTTTAGATAATTTTAGTATGGGTCCATTATAAAAAGGATTCATGTAATTCACAATAACTAGTCAACCTCCCAATTACTAATTAATCCCATCAAAGGAAGATTTATTTAGTGTATCCGCCCTAATATTGTCAGCCAAATATAGATAAAAAGAATTTTTTAGAGTTGGCTATTATGTGTATAATAACTATACAGAGGCAGAATTGATTGAAAATGAGCCATAAGTAATACTAATAGATAGAGTTTATCGATAAATATTAGGAAGTAATCCTCGAATAACAAAATTTCCTATTGATTGGGAAGGATAATTAACATAACTTTATGTTCCTCCAACTAATCAATAATTTATGTTTGAATCCTTGATTACATAATAATAAAGTGGGGTTGGAATGTAAACAGAGAAAAATGAACAAGTTTAACAAGGATCATAGAGTGGCTAATTTACACAAAATTTATTTTGAATGTTTAATTATTTTTTATAATCAAAAAAATAAATATATAATTGATGATATCTGGATATTTGTAAGATAAATTAATAGCACAATCAACAATTTAGGAAGTTAATGGGACTGATATGTTGGCAACTTTAGGTATATATGATTATTAATATAGAAAGAAGAACTACAAAAATCTATATGGGTGGATAATCTCAATAACAATTGAACCCATTAGATTTAGTTTAAATTAGTAGTGCATTACCTTAATTTTCCCTTTAATAAAATATTGATCCAAGATTATAGAATCTTTTAAACTCAAATTATTAATAACAAATATCATAATTAGCCTCTTATCCAAATATTGATTTGATTAATTAGGTCAAGGTAATTGATATATCAATATAATTAGGAATAAGCAAAAGTTGTTAGAATGCATTATTAAGCTTGATTAATTTATGATATATTATAATATATATATATATATATAAATATTTTTAAATTATAATACCACAAATGGATAATGAAATACATGAGAGTTACAGTAAGGATGAGATAGTCTGGGCAAAAATAAGAGGATGTAAGTGGTATATATTATTTTAGACCCCTGGTGGCCTGGAATTATAGCTGAAGTGATAAAAGATAAATAGTCATCAGAACCTACAAAATATCTTGTTAATTTTATTGGAGATAACTCACAGTATGATTAACCTTTGAATAGAAGTTCCACATTACCTTATTAAAGTCTTGCCAAATATTAGGAGAAGTATGAGGAAATAGTTTAAAAAATCAAAACTAAGCAACACAAGGATTCGGTTACAGCAGCAGATTAAATTTTGAAAGGATAATCAACATATGATAGTATTTAAATTTTGATATTAGTTGAATCAAAAAAAATTTCAAAAAAAAAGAATTTCACTAAAACAGTCAGTAAGCGTAAAAGTACAAGATCATCTTCTAGTGAGGAACATAGTGGTATTTATGGATCATCCAGAAAATCAAAGATGGATTCTGAAGATATCACTAAACCTGATAATTTTAGTTAAGAGATATAAGAATTATTGAAATTGATAACAGAGAGTAAATTGAATCCACTTTAAATAGAAACTAAAATATCAAGTGTATGATAAATAATTAAAATTAATAGTTGATTCAAATTGTTGATTTAGATAGACCAGATATAATTGAAATTCTATAAGGACCAAATGGAAAATTTTTAATGTAGATATAAGCACGATTAACTGATAAAAAGAATCTTTCTTAAGCTTAGATAGATTTTACTCAATTCCTTGAGAAATTAAAATCAATTGTATTAAGAACGGTAATACAAAAATGAATAATCTAGTTTTTTACAGTATTTTGATCCAACCGAAATCATCCAGTAATTACATTAAGTATCAGGTCAAAAGAAGATCACTTAAAAGTTATTAGAGAAATTATCAAATCAACCAAATTTTATTTTGGATTGTATATATATATTCAATATAAATTTAAAGCTGAAGATGATAGTGAATAATCAGATTCAGATGAAAGTGATGGATAAAGTGATGAAGATGAATCAAGTGAAGAATGTGTGAAAAAGGGAAAATATTAGAGATAAATTCCTATTTCAAAACCAATAATTAGAAAAAAAAATATATAAACACAATCACCTAAGAAACCTAGAAAATAAAGTTAAGATATTCCCAATCCTTTATAAAAAAATAAAGTAGTATAGAAAATCTCTGAAACTATTTCAGAATATACTGATTAAAGTATTCCAAAAAGGATAAGTGAAGATATAGAAAGTAGAATTAGATAATGTGATTCAAATATGGGATTTGTATATAAGAAAAAATATCGTACAATTCTCGAAAATATTAAAGTATGAATGTTTAATCATTTTAGAAATCACATAAATAAGACTTAATCAATTTGTTATAAAATAGTTCAAATTCAGAATAGTTATGGAGTAAATATATATTTTTATCATATAGATTATTTGAATGGTCATAACTAAAGTATGAACCAGAGCGGCAATAAGCAAAATGATTATGAATAATAATATTCATGAATATGTTCAACTAATATTATTCAAAAATTGGTTTGTCTGATAATTAATTTAAATTCAAATATTATCTAAACTTCATGGATATTTATTAACTTCTAAGTTTTGATGGATTCAATAACACCTTAGAGATCATTCTTAACAAATTAGCCTGTTAGAAATTGCAATAAATACAAAACAATTTAAATATTATTTGCATTATTGGATCTTAAAAATCTGGCAAAAGTTGGTTATTGAATAAGTTGTTTATGCAGGGTTAAGGTTTTCAATCTAGCACTAAAGTATCAATCATAATAAAATCAAGGGATTCTATTTTACATATGATGGTTAATTAATTATAGATACAGAAGGTTTGGGTTGTGGTGATTAAAGAAAAGATATGTAAATTATTTTGCTTGCTTCTCTATTATCAAGTGTAGTAATCTATTGTGGTATTTTATAATAATAAATATTCTTTAAGGTTATTCAGTTGAAGATTTTGAATTAATGATTAATCTTGAAGACTATGAGGACTTTTTACCTCCTTTTATTTGGGTTTTAAGAGATATACATAATAAAGATGCACTCTAGTCTAAAGAACTACTTGAAAGATAATTTAAATCATAAAATAGATTGAAGAAACATTTACTTAAACTTTTCTCAGATTTTGTTACTATTCCATCATCTAGTGAAAGTATTGAGTTTATAGATTCTATGGCTTTATTAAGGAGAAAAGTGCTTAATTATGCAAAACCAAAGAAAATCTATTAGAACATATATTTGAATGGTCCCCTTTTGGTGGATATGATTTAAATGGTTGTTACTAAATTTAATACAAATTAAGCTGTTGATTTAAGACAAATTACTGAAAGTATTGTAGACAAATAATCTACAGTTCTTTTAAATGATGCATTTAAAAAATATGAATAATCTATTATGCAACTTAAATTACCAACATGTTCTTTTGAAGAATTAAAAAATCATCATAAAGATTCAGAACTTAAGGCTTTAGAATATTTGAAATCTAAAATTAATGATAAAGATTTAAATGATGATTTACATTAAATGTGTAAAGATACATTCAAAGAGATTTGTAAAAGAAATGAATAAGAAGCAACTAATTTATGCAATTAATTTATAAATTAAGAATTTTAAACATTATAAAAAAGATTATCTGAATATAGAAGTATCTTAGAATTTGAAAGAGACATCAAATTATTTTATTAATTTTTATTAGAACATGGACCAAAAACTGTATTAAAATAATAAGTTTATTAAGAATTTTATAATAAAATGATGACAGAAGGTACAAATATGTTCATTAAATAATAAAATTAATAATAATAATAATAATAATAATAATAATAACCACTTTAAATAAAGAATGAAAATATTACTACAGAAAAAGATAAAACTATCAATGAACTTATATGTAAAGTTAAAGAATAAGAAAATAAAATTTATTCTTAATAATCATAAATAAAATTGTTAGAAGAATAATTATGTTCTTCAGATAAATAATTAGAAATTCTATAAGCAGAATTAATAAAATAAAAAGAACTACATTAATAACAATTTAAATAATTTGAAAGAAATCTTTATCTAAAAGAATCTGAATTCAATAAGATGAAAGCACTTAATGAATAAAAAATTCAACATTTAACAAAACAATTAGAATAAAGTTAAAGAAAAGAAACATAAATGGATTCATCATTTCTTTCAACTAAATCAGAATATACAATTTAAATTAGAGATGTTTAATAAAAATATGAATAAATGATTACTTAATTGTAAGAAAGACTTTTAGTATAAACTGATAAAACCTAGTAACTTTAAGATCAATTAAATAATTTAGAATAATAAAATAATTAAGTTTAATTTAAATTATAAAATAAAGAAAGTAAAATATATGAATATTAATAATAAATATAAATTTTGAAGAATTCAGTAATTTAATTGCCATAAATTGATAATTCTAATAATGAAGAAAATGAAAAATAAATAGTTAAATTAAAAGAGATTATTGAATATTAGGAAACACAATTAAAAGAAAAGACATCATAATTAATATAATTAAAATCAAATTTAGAAAGAGAATAAGCATTAATTGCTTAAGATAAACAATTTTTAGAGATTTAACTTAAGGATTTATCTGAATAATTAAAGGCTGAAAAAAAGAATCATGAATAAACATTAAGTTTATTTGAAAGTTAAAATGATGTGAATAAAAGTTAAGTATTCTCTAAATAATATATGGAAATGAAAGATATGCATTTAAATGAAATGAAATAATTAGAATAAGAATTTGAAATCTAAAGAAGAAAAATGTAATAATAGATTGAATATTTAAATTCAGAATTAAATAAAACTGAGAGTTAATTATTATATTAATAAAATGATTTTACAAGAGAATTGTAATAAGCCTAAACTTAGATTATTAATTATGAAGATAACATATAAAGATTAAATAAAGAATTCTTATTATTAGAATAATAAAAAACAAGAATTTAAAAAGAATTAGAAGAAAAATTGATATTAAAAACAAAGAATCATTAAATAGAAATTGAGGAATTAAAAAAATAGAATTTAAATGAGTATAGATTATTATAAAATAAAAATGAAGAATAAATTGCATAATTAAGATAGATGTATGATTTGGAGAGATAAAAAGTTGAATAAAAATTTATGGAAGATAGAAAGATTATGGAATAAAAGTATAATTAAATGGTTGAAGAATTAGAAAATTAATTTGACAATAATTAAGATTAAGAAATTTCAAAACTTTAGAAAAAATTAAAATAAAATGATTTGTAATTATAACAATTATCATAACATTGGTAAAATGAAAATGATATAAAATAAAAATAGATTTTAACATTAGAATAAGTAAATAATTCTTTAAAAATATCTATTCAATAATTTTAAGATGATTAATTGAATTTATAAAAATAAATATAAGATCTACATTAACTCAATTAAATTAAAGAGGAAGAACTTAATATATTAAAATAATAAGGATAGTATGAATCATTAAATCATATTAAATAAGACTAAATAGAAAAAATTAAATAAAATAATTCTTTAGAAAAATAGAAACTTACAGAATCAATTATTGAATTAAGAAAATAATTAGATGATGCATAAGATGAAAATATTAAAATGAAAGTTGAATATGAAAAATAATTGGCATTAATTACATAAGAAAATGAATTCAATTCACATAAATTAGAATAACTTTAAATTTAACTATAAAATTATGAATCTAAAAATTTTACATAATTAATTAAAATTGAAAGCAATGTTGCATAATTAACATTAGAAACTGATCTTAAAGAATAACAATAGAAATATGATAAATTAAGATAATAATATAAAGATTAAGAAATCAATAATAATAAAATTGTTGTTGATTTATAATAATAAATTGAATAATTAAAATTGTAATTACAAGAAGTATTAAATAATTAATAAAAGAAAAATATGAATCTTCCAGCTTAATAAAATATTGTACAATCAAATACTTAATTAATTACATAATTAAAACAATAAATTGAAAGTTTATAAAGTGAATTATAAGAAATGAAATCATTATATGAACGAGATACATTATTATGGGAAGGTAAATTCAAATTCTTATAATAATAAAAGGATCAATCAAAATAAGATTTACAAGAAGCCATGAAAAAGTTTGAGTTTACTATTAATCATCTCTAAAAAGCTAGATAATAAGATTTAGAGGAAGAAAGTAATTCTATTTCTGAAATGTTGGTAACTTTAGAAAAAAAGTATTAATTATAAGTTTTAGATATTACAGAACATCATTAAGCAATAATTAATGAATATACAATGAAAATTGAATAATTACAAAAAGAATTAACATTAAATAATATGTCAAATTAAAATTATCATAAAGGTGATTTTAGTGATATCTCTTCACTTTATGAAAATCAAATTGAATAAATAAAACTATAATATGAAACCAAAATTGAAGAATTATACATAAATCAGACTGAAGAAAGGTAAATTTGGAGAGCTAAGTTAAGTGAAGCAGAAGAAAAGTTAAAAGAAGCAGAGATTAGAAGATCAAATATGGTATTTGAACATGAAAAAGAAAAAGCTAAATGGAACATTGAAAAGGATGAATTGAAATATCAGAAGAATGAATTATAAGAATAATGTTCTAATTTAGAATAATAAAAGAATAAATCTGATAAAAAAAATAAAAAAGTTGGAACCATAAGAACAAGATTAAGTCCTAATAAATCTCCTGGTAATTAAAAATCAATATTTTTAGGAACTTTTTCTAATGCTTCCAAATTAGGATAATCCTTTGATACTTTTTAATAAGCAAGTATGGAACTTCCTGAAGAAAATAAATCGATTCATTTAAATCCTGGAGAATCATTCGAATCTTATTACTTAGCTTAAAAAAAGTATGATTGATAATTAATATAAATTTATTATTAATATTTTTTTTAATTGCATATATATTATTGAACAATATTAATTTATCTTAGTCATTTATTCTTTAGTCATTTACAAAGTGTATAAGCTTAAATTTGCCAACCTAAAATGATATCATTAATTAAAAACAAAATACTAAAGCAGAGAATATTGATAGACTTCCATTTTAATAATTTAGCTAATAGAATTATCATCTAGAACTAAAGAAAGAAAATTTAAAATCCTTTTTCATAATCTAATACTAAGATAATTAAATAAAGGTATGTTTATATATGACATATTTAACATAATGTATGGTTATGAAAAGAAAATGAGATCATTCTGGAAAAGAATTTTCTTTCAAATATTAAAACAAAAAGAAAAGTCAAATAAACTTTAAAGGCTATCTAGCTAATCAATAAGATTTATAAAACTATAAAATGATAGTATACAATGTTTGTCAAATTATTAAAGGACAAGCGACATAGAATTTATGAAATGAAAACAAATTTGTTGGTAAATATGAACCTACAATTACTATACCTATAATGAGCTTGCTTAAAAATTAGAATAATATCATGAATTTTAGGAATATATAAGGGCCATTAATATCAATGTGAGTGATAATTTGGTTTTTATATTTAATTGTTAATTAGATTAAAAAATATCTTAGGGTAGGAAAAGAAAATTATTGATTATTTAAATAATTATTTCTTGAACATCTAGTCGTAAATTTTTAATAAAAGTTTATTTGTTTATTAATTAACAAATTTTTATATAAAATTTTCAATAAGTACTGATATTAGTGGTATTATTATTGTATATTATTTACATATTAAAATAAGTGACATCTTGTTTAAATAACTCTAAAAATAATTGAAAATAATAATTAGATTCAAATTTAATAATCAGTTTGATTAATTGATAAAGAATTCCATAGACTTATCCAAAATAATATATAAATTATGGATTAAGGTCCTTTTTAGTTGAAAATTTGAAAGATCATCTTTTATCCAATATTTAAGATTTTGTAATCTTAAAGTGTCCAAATAAAGTATTATTTTTATATCTAAATAATATTAAAGAAGATGATTTAAGAAAAAATTGATAATGAATTAGATGATGAAATGATCTAAAAAATTGAGTAAGCATTTAGAAGCTGCATTGAAAGAATTAGATGGAAAAAGAAGAAGTTTGAAGATTTAAAAGAAAAAATGGATGAGAAAAATCTTATTATAAATTTTTTTGAAAAAGGTAAATATTCTTTAAAGTCTATTTCTATAGGTTAGGATGGAGAATACAAAACGAGGAGAGGAAATTATCGAATTTAGAAAGGTAAAACAAGAAAATATGAATGTTAAGTTTGTAAAAAAACCTATGATAAATATCAATAACTTGGAGGACATTTAAGGAAAGGTCATCCTAAATCTGAAATTTTAGAATTTGGTTCGATGAATTAACATGAAGAAGAATGAAAAAAATTATACATAGATTTAAAAATATTTTTCCAAAATATTGATAATTATCACTTTATATCAATGTGCTATATATTTTCCTAGTCATTAGTGGGAAATTTTTCAAAAAAAAAATGGATAATATTCTTTTTTATAGAAGGTTAATTCATAATAAAAAAAAATATTTCATTTTAATAAAATTTATTGTTTTAAAATTAAGTTTAAAATTTTTCTATTTTCTAGACTAGAAAAAAAAGAAATTTTAATTATATTAGATTAATTTTTTAAGTCAGATGGCTGTTGTTAGTTTTTTTAATTTAGAAAAGATTTTAGTTTACTTTTTTACAATTCTTTTGGTCATCATTTGAAAATAAAAAAAAATCTATATAATAGAAAATATAATTTTAATCTTTAAGCAGTAAAGAATGAGATTCTTTATTAAAATTCAATATTATGAATTCAAACTAATTTGTAAAACTCAAGAATGATTTAGATCCAGCCACTTAAATTTTAGAATCTTAGTAATGTTATTTTGTAATTGCTATCTTAATAAAATATTATGGAATAATTATAGGAATGTGATTATATGATAATATTGAAGGATCCAATAAAAAATGAAAAAAGCTATATTAAATATGTAGAAGAATTAGAAGGTAGATCAGATACGTTCTATAGAATAAATTTGGGTGTAATTTTAATTAATTAACTAAATACTAAAATAAGTTTTCATAATGGTACATTTTAAGGAAAAGAGTATTTCACTTGTCTAGAAGGTCATGTTTTATTTATTACAAGAAATCATTAAAAAATAACAATTATTACAAGAGATGTAAATAACTAAAATAGGAATATGTGATATTTTAGAAAATTGACAAAAATGGTAAAAGATGAACCTAAACAATAAAAATTAAAGACAAGTGCCAGTTCAGCTGCTGTTGTTTAAAAATCATTACCATAAACCTAAAATTAATAAGGAAGTAATAAGACTTCCAAGTAAGCAATTCTGAAGCCACAAATCAATAATTATAAAAACAAGTAAGTTAATTACAATTTGAAAAAGGATTGAGAAGATGACAGAAAAATTAATGAAGTAGGATGATCTTATTGAAGTCTAAGAAATTAGATTAAAGCACTTAATGAAGATAAAAATTGGATTAAGAATTAATCTAAACTTTATTAGATGTAAATAATTCTTTGGAAAACATTGAATGATATGTAATTAAATAAGATTAAGCTAATGCTTAGATTAATAATAATTAAAATGATTTATAAGATAAAGATTAAAAGTAAAATTTGCTTAATTAAATAAATAAGTTGATTAATAAAGATTAGAAGAGGATAATAATTAAAATGAACAAAAATCTATAACATTTTTTGATGAAATCAATCTTAAGAATTAAGAATTAAGAATTATTATTGTAATAAAGAAATACTTATAAAAAGTATAAAATAGCATTAAATAATATAGATAAGAAATTAAATAGCATAGGAATTATAATTTATAAATCATTACCATATGATTATTGTAAAAAAACTAAGATTTAATTTCTTAGAGCCAGTTATTTTCTTAAGAAAATTAAATGAAAAGTCATTATTATTAGCAAATGAATTCTTATTATAATTAGAAAATTATTTGATGCATTTATTAAAGAGGGATTATAAGATTTAGGATTTTGGACGTTAAATCCTCATAAATCACTTTATTAGTTAAGTGATTTGTGTATTATATTCATAATATATCTATAAAATTAAACGGATAGAGAATCTTCAGAGAAAGTAGCTAGAAATAGAATTTTTCTAAATTAATTCAAAATTGCAGATACTTTGGTTGCTATTATATCTAGTGTGTAAAATCAAATATCAGCACTTAACTCTCTTTATCAGAATTATAATTGCATTTTAAAGAATTAATGATGATCTAAATAATCTTGAAATTCAGGAAGGGGCAATGATTGAATCATTGTTAAATCAAATAATATTTAAATATAATTATTCTGTCTTTAATTTTAAAGTTATTGTTAATTAATGGAATGCTACAACTCTATAAACAATAATTGTTGATTAATTTATTGATACATGAATATAAAGATGTAAGGAACTATCCAAATAATAACATTATCGAAGATAATTTTTGGGAGGATACTTTAATAGAAAGAATGAAAAATTCTCAGAATCAATAAACTATATGTAACAGTTATTGTAATCAGATTTGAATAAGTTAGAGTTACATTAGTATTAATCATATATTTCATGTTAAGGAGATTTAGTATCATAATCATATAGAGATAGGTGTGTATCTATTGTTAATTTGTTAAATTAAATAAATCAGCAATTTGAAAAGAATAAAATATTAATGATAATTTCTATCAAATAAGCCAACTTAACTTTTTAATCCATAAACATCTCTTTGAGCATAATGGTAGAAAGAACTAAAATCATAATTATCTGATATTTCTTATACTATTGAATCTAAAAAAAGATTAAAAGAAGATTTGTAAAAGTTAAAATAAGAAAAATCTCAAATATATTCTGATTGTGTGGCTTTGCTTAAAAATAAGGAGGCTTTAGAAAATAAAGTTGTTGATTTATAAATTAAAGCAAATAGAGTATAAGTTCTAGAAAATGAAAAACAAAGACATTTGGAGAAGATTAAAGGATTTAATGAAGCTTCAGAATTAACAAGAAAAGAAATTGATAATCTAGAAATAAATTGAAGGAGAATGAAGAAATAAGAAAACAGTTAGAAGAGCAAATTTTATTGTACCAATTATAATAACCTAAAAATTCCTTTTTGGATTAACCTTAAGAAAGAAATATTAGAAAGAATTGCACTCTATTGATCCAATCATCCAAAAATTTAGATTTTGAGAGTAATTTTAATCTATTTTAAGAATTGACTATAAATAAACGAATTAAAGCAGTATTATGAAAGGAGAATCAATAATAAAAGTTATATAAATTGATAGATGAAATACTTTCAATAACTTCATAAAATGAAAAACCTTAGATAGAACAAAAATTATTATAAATAAGGAAATTGAAAATGAAATAGTTAAAAAGTATGGCTTAGAATGATAAGTTTGATGCCAGAAATTAAGCTGCAAAATTCTATGTAAAATAAAGTGGAATTAAAATTACAAACACAGTTTTGATGGATACTTTATAAGCTATTATAGCAAATTGAAAATATGAGTAAAATAAAATATTATAATATATAAAAAGTCATTATAATCTTCTATTATAGGTTTGTTTTAAAATTGACCTTTTATTTTATGAAGTCTGATTGTTTTCTGAGTCAAGACAAGGGTTCATCCATCCAATATTTGATATCCCTTTACATTTTAATACTTATCTCTTGATATAAGTTACTTCTGTATTTGGATGATAATTTAGTACAATAAGAAGTTCGTTAAAAGTAATTTCTTTACTACTTCCCTCAAGAATCTAGGGCTCTTCTTCATCTAGTGTTGATTTTTGAAGAAGATTCAAAGGGGTGGGTTTTAAAATTTTCCATGGTGGTGAATATGAATTCATTAATAATACAATTTATTATAATCACCAAATAAGATATGGATTTAAAGTTTATACTATGAATTAAATTCATGTTATTTTATGAAATTTTACAATTTAATATCATAAGGATGATATTTATAATATAAAAAAGTTTATATGTTTATAAATAAATTTAATTAAAATAAATTAGAAATGAATCAGCCAAATAAAGTATAGGAATATGAAAAAGTTCTTGACCTACTTGAACACTTCCTAAAAAAATATTAAAATTTAGGTAGGAATGCCATTGAAACTTCGATTGTCAGTCTTTTAAAAAATAATATTAGTGGATTATTTTTTGTAGGATTTTATGAAGTTATTGATGGTATAATATCAATTCTATATTAGAAAATTATCTTGAAGTTGGTCCATATTAAAGTACTATATTGGCAACACCAAGAATAGAAAAAGGGAAGGGATAATGTGGATAATGTTGGGCTGAAGGAAAAGTTCAGATTCAAGAAGATGTGAAGGTTTGTTAAAATTACATAGCTTGTGATAATGAAACACAAAGTGAAATTGTTATTCCAGTGATAAAAAATGGAGTTGTGTAAAGTGTTTTAGATATTGATTCAGAACACTTGTCACGATTTGACGAAGTCGATTCTAAGTATTTATAAAGAATAGTTGAGTATTTAATTTGATAAAATATTAATTAATGACTTTTTCCTTTGAGTTATTGAATTTGAGACCAACACTAATGAGATTTGATATTTGGCCTTTTGTCATTGGTTATTTGGCTCTGTACTCTTGGTGGAGTACATTAGATGAAGAAGCTCCAGTTGAAACAAATCCATTAATGGAAAAAATAAATAAAGCCACATTCTAAGGAGCTGAGAGTACATTTTATCTTATTATGTAGTTTATAATGATGAAGTATATTATGAATCAATGGAAAATATTTATGCTAGATTAACTTTTATAGGATTAGTGTTTTTTCATTCATTAACATATATGAGTTCGTTTTGGTCTGTGTAGATGAAGTCTAAAATTAGATATTATTCAGGGGGGAACAAACTCAGTTTGAATAATGTTAAAAATTACAAATTTTGCAAAATCTAATTTGTTAAACAACAAAAATCTTATAGTGATATAGTGACAATACATTCTGATTAAACAAATAAATATTGGATCTATTTTATGGAAAACAAGTATTTTTATGATGAGACAAAAGAATCATTTATAAGATTGAAACCAAATGTTAAATTTAATTTAAAGAATTTAGAAAATCATGAAAAATTAGAAGAATACGAAAAGAATTCCTTACTTATACCAATGAAGAAATTCAATGAAGTGTTAAAAGAGTAATTAATGGAACCATTTTCATTCTTTCAAATATTTAGTGTTTCCTTATGGTTATTAGATGAGAGTAGGATTTATGCTCTATTTACATTATCTATGCTTTTTGTTACATCCTGTACGGTAGTTATACAAAGAATGAAAACAATGTTGACTCTTAGATAAATGAAATTAAATCCACAATTAATTACTGTATACCGCAAAAAATAATGGATAAAGATTTCCTCTGAATTATTAGTTCCTGGTGATATAGTAATATTATAAACAGCAGAATAAATCAAACCTGCTGCTAAAGAAAATAATAATGATGATGAACAATTTTTAAGATAGTAGATTCCATTTTCACAACATTTACCACCTAAATTATTTTAAGTTGAAACCATGAATGTAGACTCTTACAAATCTGTTCCATGTGACATACTATTATTAAATGGTTAGGTAGTAGTTAATGAATCCATGTTAACTGGTGAAAGTGTTCCATAAGTTAAGGAAGGAATCAATTAACATTAAAATGAATAATTGGATATCAAAAATAAACATAAATCAAATGTTATATTTTGTGGAACTGAAATCATTCAATTATAAGGTAATACACAATATCCATCTCATATCAATAATGATTAAAAGCAATCTCATTGTTTAGGTTTAGTATTAAGAACAGGATTTGATACTGCAAAAGGTAAGTTGATAAAGACTGTATTTTACAATAATGAAAATGCAAATGTTAAATAAACAGATGGACTATTTATAGTAGTAGTTTTACTTATCTTTGCCTTAAGTGCAAGTGCATATGTTTTAATGAATGGACTTTAAGAAGAATCTAGAAATAAAAATAAATTATTTATACGATGTATATTAATTGTAACTACTGTTGTTCCACCTGAATTGCCTATGATTTTATCAATAGCTGTTAATTAATCTTTAGCGTTATTATAATTGCGAAAGATCTTTTGTACAGAACCTTTCAGAATTCCATTGGCTGGAAAAGTTGAGGTTTTGGCTTTTGATAAAACAGGTACATTAACTAATGATACTTTGGTGTTCTCTGGAATTGTAGATAATTGTATTAATAGAAGTTCAAAGTCTAAAAGTGATTGTTCCTTATATTGCTAATAAATTTTGGCAGGATGTCACCAATTAATATATGCTGATAATAAATTGTAAGGTGATCCAATTGAACTCTTATTTTTTTAATAAAATAATCAATGGAATTATTAAACATAACAGAAGTATGCTTAAAATAAGGATTTAGGCCTATCACTTTATTAATAATAAGTATTCTCATTCAAAAGTGATTTAAAAAGAATGAGCACTGTCGTATAGGTTGATTAGAAGGGTCAAAGACATTATAGACTATTAGTTAAAGGTGCTCCTGAAGCATTATAATAACTATTTTAAGAAGTCCCAGATGAGTATGAATACTGTTATTAACATTATTCAAATTTAGGATATAGAGTCCTATGTTTGGCAGACAGAGAAATTGAATAATATGAGAATTAAGAGAGGGAAGAATTAGAAAAGAATTTAGTATTCCGCGGATTTCTAATATGTGAATCTCCATTAAAGACTGACACTCAATAATGGATCCAAAAATTCAAATCAAGTTATTTTCAACCAATCATAATTACAGGAGATAATTTACTTACTGCAATTGCAGTAGGTAAATAATTAAAATTAAATGATAATTAAAAAACTTATATTTTAGATTATCATGATAATAACTATGTATTAATTGAACATGGTACTAAAAATACAAAAGTATTGAATAATTTAGAAAAAGAAATCACAAAATCAGAAGGTATGTTGTGTATATCTTCATCAATTATGGAAAAATTAATAGATTAAAATCTAATAAAATTGATAATACACTTTTCTATATTTGCAAGAATGTCACCAAAATAAAAAGAAACTATTGTTATTCAGTTTAAAAAGCAAGGTAAAGGTGTATTGATGTGTGGAGATGGTACAAATGATGTTGGAGCATTAAAGAAGGCAGATGTTGGAATAGCCTTAGTTACAAATTAGGGAGAAGAATAGAAAGAAGAGGATGAAGAGGAGGAAGAGAGAATTGCAAACTTATCATTTACAGAATAAATGTAATAAGTTAAAAAATAGTAAGAAGAGTTAAGAAAGAAAATGAGTGAAGCTAAAGGAGATAAGGAGAAGATGAAAAATATTGCTAATTAACATATGCAATAATAAGCAGCTGGATTGTTTGATATGGGACCAAGTTATAAATTTGGTGATGCTTGTATTGCTGCCCCTTTTACATCAAAAATGTCAACAAGTATTAGATGTGTTCATACTATTCTAAAATAAGGAATCTGTACTTTAGTGACTACAATTTAAACTTATAAGATTATGGCATTATAAAGTGTATTAAATGCATATTCTTTAAGTGCTTTACATATGTAATCATTGAAAATGAGTGAAACTTAGATGACTTTAATGGGAATCTTAGGTGCTGCATATTATTTTTGTTATTCTTCTGCTAAACCTTAAAGAAACTTATCTAAAATAAAACCAAGTTTTTCAATTTTTGAATTTTCATTTTTCATTTCATTAACACTCTAAGTCATTTTGCATGTATGGTCTATGCACTATGCCATTCATCATATAGCCATGCCAAATATGACTGAATTAGAAAAGGAAATAAAAAACGATACTGAATTTAAACCTACATTTTTGAATACAACAGTGTTTTTGTTACAATTATTGCAATAAAGTTGCATATTTTTATTTAATCATCCTGGAGAACCGCATATGCAAAAGATTAATGTGAAATCTAAATTTTTCAAAAGCTTAGTAAAAAGTTTTAATTATATTTTTTTAGTTTATTCCTCTTGTTTTGTGTATAATATCAGCATTTAACTATAGTGAAATGTTGAATTCTTATCTTGAACTAACATTTCCATCAAGTGAAGAACCAAGTGTACAATTAACTATGTTGTGTGTATTTGTCACAATAACTAATTGGTTAATTGAAAAAGGAACCAAAACATTGAAATATAAAAAATGGTATGGATTTATATGATAATGAGTTTGCATAAAATATTTTAATTACAAAAAATATTTAGATTTCTTATAATACTATCTTTTATAATTTCATTAGTATTTTGGATAGAAAAATAAATAAAGAATTTAGTTGTTTTAATTAATGGATAATTTAGCATAACTTGAAGCATTAGAAAGTGCTGCACCAGAATAGACTGCTAAAGATAAGACTATGACTCCTGTATTTGGAAACGAATTAGTTCGCTCTAATTCAAGTCCTAAAGTATAACCTTTAAGTGGAAAACCATTCAAAATTGGAGTAATCTACATAATAATCATTAAGATTTGTGGTGGTCACTCTTCCGGAAAAGCCTTATTAACAGAAAAATTAATGGATGAACTATAATAATTAGGGTTTTTAGTTAATGTAGTTAAATAAGATAATTTTGATGTTGATAGTAATGATTTTGACAATTAGTAATTAATGATTAATCATTTAAGTAAGTAGAATTCTGATATTCTCAATAATGTTCCTTATGTTAATAATTAGGATTATTAAAAATTTCTGGTATTAATTTATGCTAAGTTTTAGTCAACAGCCATCAATACTCTTTTAACTACTAGAGACAAGAATGTAATCATTATTGAAGGAACTTTAATTTTGTATGACAGACAACTAAGAGATTTGCTTGATTTAAAGATATTCTTGCATCATGATTAAGATGTGAGATTATCAAGAAAAAGTATTATAAACTATTATCATTTTAGTCTATAAGGAAGTGTGTGCAAAAGGTAAAGATGTGGAAAAAGTCATTCACAATTATTTAAATAGATTAAAGCCACTTTATGAATCAATAATTAAGCCTACAGAATAGTATGCTGATATTATTATACCAAAATTTGGAGGAGAATTCTCCTTAAAACCATAAGAATATTAGGGTGCAACATAAATATAAGCGGGTTTTGGCTAAGTTAATCCAAATTTCTTAAATTTGCTAATAAAGATTGTAAAGGCAAATATTTTAGGAGGTGATAAAGTTGATAAACTTGAAAAACTTGATAAGACTTAAACAAGTACAAAATGAATTAAAAATGTATTAATTATAATAATTAATCTATAATTCTATAGTTTATTAGATGCATTTATTGCATTATAAAATTAATATTTTCTTTGAGTATTTATACTTAAATGATAAAAAATTATTATAAACAGTCTAGGTAATAATCATACTTATAAACCTAAAAAAAAGCTTCAGAATTTAATTGCAATTAAAAATCTAAATCAAAATCTCCAGGTCCTATTAGGTAAAAGAATTAACCAAAATAATCTAATTCAAATATTAAATCAAAATATAAAATGGCAACAGGAGAGTTAAAATATTTTTAGGAATGCTTTCCAGATGAATATACAATATTTTCAATAAATAATGAAATTTACTTTTAAAAGGATATTATTAATTGTAAGTAGAAGGATTCACAACTTAATACAACTTTAGAAGGTTCATCAGATGAGGATCAAACTAAACTGTAAGAATTCACTCTCTAGACATCATTCAATCCTGCAAACTTTACTTAGTATCAGTATAGCTCTCGTTTTGCTTATTCTAATAGAGAAAAAATATTCGAAGAGAGAAAAACATCTTTAAGTAGTTCTTAAAAAATATTTAGGTCCTTTGTAACGAAGCTTATACAGTAGACACAATAGTTAATTACAAAGTAGCAAAAGGAAAATATTTGATTGAATATTATTGCATTACTAATACTGCAATCGAAATCAGAAAATGTATCATAATTATTTACATAAGTGTTTCAATATATAAACTCTGAAATATTTTATATCTATTGAAATCTCCTTTTATTCAGTCTTTAATATCAGCAAATTTTCTATGAACATATTTTGTTTAATAAGTAGTAATAGAGAAGAATTCATTTAATTTAATCTATCAATTCTTGTGATAATTTTTTATTCTAATAAATAGTCATATAAAGATTATTATTAAGATATAATAATAATAATTTAATAGATTTAAAAAATTAAGTGAATTTAGCAATTTATCATCATAAGATTGCTTAAGAATATTTGATAGACAAAATTACCTAGATCCAAAATAAAGGCTTATGTTGCATTCTATAATAGTTCATTTATATGATTTATATATATATATAATAATAATTCATTTTGGATTGCTTTTTTTAACAAATTTTTTAGCAATTCTTTTTCTAATTTTTACAATCTGAGATTTTGATTCTGAGTGACATTGTGATTAACTCTTTTATTCAAATTTCAAATTTAATGGAACAGTTCGTTTGTAAAGAACTTAAAACTTACATGTTTGTTAGCGAGTGGATTTAATTTCAGTATCACTAAAAGAAACTGGCTATATAGTTCTTAGATGGTTAGGCTTGAATTAATTATTTAAATTTTCAAATTCATCCTCTAAAAATTTAGTTTTATGTAGACGTTGTTAGAGAGATTCAACTTCTAATCTATCTTAGTAATAATTATCCTAATCCATTACAATTAATCAAAATTAAATAAAAAAAATATTAAAAAATTTCATCATTGATTAAAATGATCACGATATCTTTTAACCATTTTTTTTATTTCATTTTTGCTTGCTTACTTTGTCATAACAGGCTTTAATTTCAATTTCATGTTACATTCAGAATAAGTTGTTATCATAATTTTATTGTCCTCAATTTACTTGATTTGATTCCCACTTAATAATAACAGAGCCCTAGTACATTGTTTTGGAGGTAATTCTCTAAATTAATAAATATTATAACTTACTAAGGTTGAAAATGATCAACATTTATAGATTTGGAAATCTCTATACAATCATCTCCCTTTCTATCAGTATATTTAATATATAAAAAGTCTCTTGGGTCCATAAACATAATCTTTTTATATCTTAGATAATTGATCTAAAAATTTATATCTTCATAATGTTTCTCAAAAGCATCAATACTATTATCCATTTATTTTTATAATTGTAAATCCTTCATGAATTCTATGTAGGAGTCAATAGATGTATTCAAAGTATATGTGTATTTCATTATACCAATCTGAAATTTTTCAGAAGTCTCAACATATTTAATCCAAAAATTGAAGTCTTCATCTTTCTCTAACAATTCAAACCCATCCATTTTATCAATCACTTAGGTAAATACAACCACTGCTCTTTCTCCAATTTCCTTAATTAATTCACTTTAAGAAAATGAGATATGAGGAATATCATCTATAAATTATCGAATTGTTTCTTCGTCAATTAATTATTCACAATCTTAAAAATTTGCTTTATTTTCAAATTCTTCTATTTTATTTTCAGGATTCTAAATGAATGAGTCTTCATGAGCTCCTAAATACAGTCTCTACCCATATTTACTTAACTCAGCATTCATATTGCTTTCAATGTCTCTGCTTACACTCTCCATCTAATAGCTCTTCTCTACATTCTCTACTCTGGTGTACTTGAAGATATTTAAACATCTTATGAATAATTACCTAATACATTAACATATTCTTAACATAATAAAAATTAATGAAATATAACCTAATCCTGTTATTTTTGAAACGTGAACATCTAATCTTACTAACTAAGATAGCTCTACTAAATGAATAAAATCCAGCTTGTGAATCTCAAATCAATTTAATTGACTAAGAAATTCAAAAAGAAGAAAAATTACTTATCAAATCAAAATGGATTTAATCTGAATTGGATGTTGTCAAGTAGTAAATTCTGTAAATAGCCAATCTCACTTTCTCTTATTATAAATTACATTTCCCTATCAATTCTTCTGTCTCTATCAAAGAGCATATTAAATTTATTCAAATAATAAGAAATTTAAACTATAACTGGACTACCTTGGATGACATTTTTAAATAGTAAAGAGTATGTAATAATCCATGATATAGTATAGATTACAATTAGAAAGAATGAAATTAATAAAATCACAAAAGTTAATTGATGAACCAATCCATCCTAAGATTGCCAATTATAAAATAGACTTTACTTATGTCTAATACTTATTTAATAAATATTACAATTCCAAAAATATTGATTACAAATAGCCATATCAATTACTAAATTTATTGGTTAAAAAAAAGTTGTATAGAATCAATAATCGTATTTGCATGAGCATAACAAGTTTGGAAGATGTTCCTCAACTGCAATTAATTAATACGAATCTGATATAACCAATCTTAAATTATGACTAATTTAATAGTACATTTGAAAAAAGAATGAATAAATTAATGAACAGAAACTCATAGATTTAACAGTCCATACGTTAATACAACTATCTCTATTATAATTAGAGAACTTCTATTCCAAATTGCAAGACTTCAGATGATCTTCCAACCTTATAGAGATAAAAATTAAATCATAATTGTGAATCAGATATATTAATACTTCCTGATCATAGAACTTAGAGAACAAATTATAGATTTGCAAAATTAATTGAAAGATAAGAAAATAAAAATGTTAAACCAATAAACATTAAAGATTAAATGGAATTAGTATTAATGTAGAAAATTAAACGTCATCACACATCTTCCGAAAGAGATGATTCTAAGTAAATTAGTAGATCTCAATTATTAAGAAGTGTGAAATCAGAGCATTTATTGATTGAGTAAGAAATTTTCTTTAAAAAATTTTTATAGCCAATAAAAGAATAAAAATTTAAAATAAAACAAAACAAATGATATTACTAATGTTATATATTGTAATTTTTTAGAATAAAATTATTTAATTTGGGTTTTAGGAATTAATATTGATTCCTATTTATTATTAATAGTGCATTAACATATTTCTAAAACTAAAAAAAATATTCCAAATATTGTCAAGTGACTTTTATATTTCTTTTGCATAAATTAGAAAGAAAATAATTTCCAAATTTATGGTTGAAGCAAAAATAAAATAACTATTTTTAATACAACTTATGTTAGTAATTCTTTTATTTGTTATTGTTACATTCGATCACAATTATTTAAGTTTTTTTAAGTATTATATTCAAATAAGAGGATTGATATTATATCAATTATATAATATAGAATTTCTTATTAATCATATTCTGTGATCTTTTCATTAGTTTTTGATAAAATATCAAAATTGCTATAAAATGAATCGTTCTTCTATTTTGAATACAATTTTTGTTTTTACAATATTCATAAAACTCCAAAAAGTTATCAAAATTTATTTTCTTTGGAAGGTAATATTTTTGAGTATGAATACAATAATGAACAATTTGAAGTTTATTGATTTTATCTTATTTTAAATGAATTTGATTTTTTATTTTTTAAATTGCTCTTATTTTCTTGTAAACAACAAGAATTTAAGGTTTAAAATAAACTAAGTGTATTCATAAGATTTGTTAAAGAAACTTATGTATTTAAAGTTGCCATCAGATTATAAATATTTTAATTATACTCATTTAATACCCCAAAGTTCTTCATAAGCATTTGAAATTCGTTATAAACAATATCCAGCACTCAGGGAATATTAGGATATACAAATGCATTCATCGATATATTAGGCTTCCATTCCTGGGTTACCTTTAGAAACTGCTCCTATCACATATACTATTGGTTTGTTCTGATTAAGGTTTGGTTATTTGATCTATTCATTAATATTTTACATAAAATTACAAATTATTTTACATCAATTAATTTGGCTTAAGTCGATGTTCCAATTTTTAGAGCCTCACTAGGTAAATGATCTGTGATAGGATTCTTGATAACTTTAATTAATGTTTCTGAACTCTCTACAGCTCTTACTCTAAGCTTATGCAATGCTTATGCAAATAATGCTGCATATGATTCATAAGTTCTTGGCACTTTTAATTTAGGGCTAATATCAAGTATGACATTTTAAGCGGTGCGAACATAAATTTTAAGTTTTCCTGCCTTATTCAATGGAGAATCCATCAGACTAAGCAAGCAATGATGTAGAATATCAGGTCTATAAAGTGAATAATCTTTATTCAATGTTTAATTGATGTAATTCTTATGTTCATCAGCATTGAGTAAAACTATTTGTTATCTTATTGTCGCAATTTCTAATGGAGCCTATTCTAATACTATTATAAGTTATCTCTTATCTTCAATATCTTCTGGCAATAATAATTCTTATTACATTAATTTATTTAACAACTACATACTATGTCTTAGTAAATAAAATAAGTTGAAATAAAATAAGTTAGATCAACCTCATTCAATAATAATTATAAACCTTACGATCGTCGATAGTCGTAACCTTTAAATTAGACATTTGAACAAAAGTAATTCGAATATCATCAATCGAATTAATCCACTGGTTAAGATCTGATTGACAATGATAAATAAAATCAAATGTTGTAAGTTTTAGAACAATAAATAAATATTAATTAGTATTTGGAATAATAAGTTAACACATTGCAATAGTAACTGATAAAATAATAGAAAGTATTTAGTATTATTAATTTTAATAAAGATTATTGAATAATAAAGTGATATATCTCATGTTTTAGAATAACTTAATGTATATAAAGAAATAGTAGAACAATTGGAATTTAGATTGAAAGACATTTTAAAGGAAAATGAAGAATTAAATTAATTTAATTAAAAATAACAACAAAAAATATATTATTTGGAGGAAGAAATTAGAAAATACTAATAAATTATTGATGAAAAGATACATGAATAAGTAAAAGGAGTGATGTCACCAGATGTTTAAAGGAAGATGAAAAGATTAATAGAAGAAAATGCCATTCTTAAACAAAGTAACAAATAGATGGAGGATGAAGTAAATGAATTAAGAAAGAGTTTAGAATAGTTTAAAGAATCTATTTAAACTCTTCATCTACATAGTAATACTTAAGATAATAATTATGTGGCTGAATTAGAAAATCAAATTTAATATCTTTAAGAGATGCAATAAATTGATTAACTAAAAATGCAAGCTTTGGAGGAAAAATTAAATTTATTATAAAAAGAAAATTATAGATTGTAAGACAATCTCAAATCTAAAAGAAAATAATATCAATCATGATTTTTATTGATATAAATCAAATTTTTATTAGAATCTGATGTATGATTTAATTCTTAGTTTCTAATTATTATTATTTATTTATAAATTTTTTGGATCAAATTATTATGAATTTAAATCCATTAAACTTTTTTAAAAATACGTTATTCTTAATGAAAGCTTCCAAATATATTATTTTTATTATTCTGTATCATTTTATTATGACTTATTTCTGACCTTAACTTTCAATATCTACATATTAATTCAAATATTAATTTTGTTTTTTCCTCTTTAATCATCTTCTCCGTCATTTTGTTTAACAATCATAAAAAATTATTTCATTTGAAATATAGAATTTCCTATTTTTTACTATAAATTACTTTCTCTTTACTTCCTACAATTTTTTTTATTACCCAAAAAATAGTCCCTTAATCCAGTGATCATTTATGGTTTTGGTTTGATATAAGAATCACTAAAACACAATAAATTATCATTATTTTCCTAAAGATAGTAGTTTCCTTGATAACTATCAATATCTCAAATTTAGGAAGTAATTAGCAGAGAGTGATCTTGATTTATTTCATGATTATCATTTAGAATTACTTAGGTCTTAGTATTTTGACATAATGAAATACTAGGATAGAATTTTTAAAATTTTTAAGATATATTTTAATCCTTCTGCTTTATATTCAAAAACAATAGTGGAATGCTTAGGTATCTACTTTTCAAAGATGATATTCTATGTCCATCTGATTTTTTTAACTTCTTAAATATTGAACTTAATTTTAGACATAAAATTAATGGAATATAATGAAATAAAGTAACAGGTAACTAAATTATAAATTTCTAGATTGTTTCCAACATAAAGGAAAACAAATAAAAAATTAAGGACCTTTAAATATTCTTAAAAACATAACATAATGAATATAGTGAAGCATAAGAAAAGTTGGAGGAAGAAAAATAAAGAAGAAGAAAGGCAAAAAGTTCAAAAAACAAATTTTCAAGCTTTGAAAATGCTATTAATCGACCCCCATTTTTTAGTGCTACTCATGTTGAGTAAACGTTTCATGAATAAACATTTATTGATAATGAAGTACCAGCATTGACAGCAACCTAAAAAGAATAACTTATTATGCCATAAAGAAACAAAAGCCCAAAGTTAAGTATGATTAATAATGATTTTGCAGTCACATATAAAATTGACCATCCATTATCAAAATTACAAAGTGACTTTCCAACTTTGAATCCGAATTAAATGAGTGAAAAAGAAATTAAAAGATTAGAGTATTGGTAAACTATTACAAACTAAACAAGAAAGTTGTAAATAGAAGAAGTACTTTGTTATTTTATATTAGCAAAATAAATAATTGATTGGAAGTTTAAAGAAAAAAGAATTAGAATAAAAGCATACATAAGTATTTTAATTAGCAAATACTAATTTACGGCTTTTAGATCCTAAACCATCATTAATCTCAGAAAACCCATTAACACCAAGAAGATTATAAAAATTAATAACTTTGCCAAGATTATATGAAAAAAAGGTATGGACTCCTAACAACAATTATTTTTGATGCATTTTTATTAAATAATCTAAGAAAAATAATATTAAATATTGAATCATAACTTATTTTATAGTGCAAACTTAAAATAGCACAGTTTATGATAGTTTTTTCTTGTCTTGTTTTATTATTAGATATGATTTTCTAATCATTTTGAGATTATAACAAAATAAACTGTATATAAAATTTATTTATAATTATGTAATAAATATTTTTTAAAAGAATTTACGAAATATGAAATCAATTTCGCATCATAAACTGATATAAATAGAAAACAAGTTTTTATAATTTTATCTTTAGAATAGTATTTTTTAGTGATTATATATATCCGAAAAAAATAAAATAAAATATCATTCTTTCTAAGTAGATTACTATCATCCTCAAAAGAGATTCTTTAAAATCTAGCTACATTCTTCTTTTGGGTCAAGTCAAGTTCGGCTTAAATCTTAATAGTATAACTTTGGCTAAAGTTCTCTTCATTAACCAAATGTGGTCAAGTGAAGTTCTCTACCAAGCACTTCAAAATAAATCTGTTCGGGTAACGTAAGCCGAACTGGAAATGGTTTATAGTCTCTACATGGGAATAGAGACTAAATATTTTCAAACAAAAAATTAATATTAAAAATTTAACAGAAAAATTTAACTTTTATAATGTAAAATTAATGGATAAAATGATGATTAATTACTAAAAGAAATCATTCGTAATTCTTTAAAAGTTTCAAGCAATTTTAAAAATAACCTTTAGTCTTTTACTCACTGGAGTCATTCATAGTTACATCACTTCTGTAATGTTCTTAAAAAATATTAATGACTATTCTTGTAATCTTAGGAATTGGCATCATTAATTACCAAATTCTGTTAATTTTTTCTAACGTGATTTGCTTTTCTGCATATATATTTTTTTTTCCTATACCCAGACTACTGTTCTTTTTGGAGCTCTGGCTTTTTAAAAAATTCATAATCTATTACAATAGTCTAAAAAATTCCAATCTCATTTTGTTAATGCATAAAGGAGATTGGATTTTTTTTAATCTCTTAATAATGATGCTAATATCATAAGCTTCTTTTTTCTTTATTCTTTAACTTACTTTATCAAGTCAGTATCATAGTAATAGAGTGGATTTAATTTTCCTAAGCATATTTTCAAGCATGTGATAATATTTTTACATCCAAAACCATACAAACACACCTAAAAATATTAATTCTCTTTCTTCAATTTATATCTTACACCAAGACATTACTTCTAATCCGGTTCAAAAGAATTGTCTTACTATATCAACATATTCTAAAATAAAACAAATAGGAGATACATAATTAGCCTACCTTTTTTTATAAATCTAATTATTCTTAAAAAGATTATTTCTGTAAATATTATTCATATTATTTTTTTTTTCACTTCATCTTAAAATTTTTGTTATTTATTCTTTTATTGTTAAAGTTGTACTTTTTCTCCTTACTTACAAATTGTTCCAAACGTTCTACTTCTTTTAAATTTTATTTTTATTATGGCCAAGGTTATTGTGGGATTGGTGCTGCTAATTATATATATTATTGTTTTTCTTCAATTTTTTTTCAGCTCTGGTATTTATATTGTTGCCTCTTCTTGATGATATTTCAAGTGCTTTCAATGTTTCAGCAGTTAGCTTTTTTATTAAGTGTTGATGTCTACTTTTCTGGTTGACATTCTTGTTAATTTTTTTCTCTTTTCTTTTATATGGCTTTTTTTTCTTTCTTATCCCCTAGATTAGAAAGTTTCATTGCAGATATTTTTGATTGATTTTGTTAGAGGTCAATAAGTATTCTATACTTTTGAAAAAGAGAGAAAATGAAAAATAGTAAATTTTATTCAGAACACCATTAATTTATTAATTTAGACAGAATAAGTAACTGGTTGATATTTTCAAAGAAACTAAAGAAGTTAGAATTGCATTATTTCTTTTCTTTCGCAATAACACAGATTGACTAAAAATTAGAATCTTTTTAAAGTTCATCATTATGTAGTATTTTTGCATATCCACAGAAATATTTTATTTTAATTAAATAATAATGTAAGGCAATTTTTGTGACTTGCACGGAAATAATTCTATTTCTCATAATGTAGGTATAAGATAAATTTATTTTTTTACTTAATTAATATTAACTTATTTTTTTCATTATGNATAAGCTTCTTTTTTCTTTATTCTTTAACTTACTTTATCAAGTCAGTATCATAGTAATAGAGTGGATTTAATTTTCCTAAGCATATTTTCAAGCATGTGATAATATTTTTACATCCAAAACCATACAAACACACCTAAAAATATTAATTCTCTTTCTTCAATTTATATCTTACACCAAGACATTACTTCTAATCCGGTTCAAAAGAATTGTCTTACTATATCAACATATTCTAAAATAAAACAAATAGGAGATACATAATTAGCCTACCTTTTTTTATAAATCTAATTATTCTTAAAAAGATTATTTCTGTAAATATTATTCATATTATTTTTTTTTTCACTTCATCTTAAAATTTTTGTTATTTATTCTTTTATTGTTAAAGTTGTACTTTTTCTCCTTACTTACAAATTGTTCCAAACGTTCTACTTCTTTTAAATTTTATTTTTATTATGGCCAAGGTTATTGTGGGATTGGTGCTGCTAATTATATATATTATTGTTTTTCTTCAATTTTTTTTCAGCTCTGGTATTTATATTGTTGCCTCTTCTTGATGATATTTCAAGTGCTTTCAATGTTTCAGCAGTTAGCTTTTTTATTAAGTGTTGATGTCTACTTTTCTGGTTGACATTCTTGTTAATTTTTTTCTCTTTTCTTTTATATGGCTTTTTTTTCTTTCTTATCCCCTAGATTAGAAAGTTTCATTGCAGATATTTTTGATTGATTTTGTTAGAGGTCAATAAGTATTCTATACTTTTGAAAAAGAGAGAAAATGAAAAATAGTAAATTTTATTCAGAACACCATTAATTTATTAATTTAGACAGAATAAGTAACTGGTTGATATTTTCAAAGAAACTAAAGAAGTTAGAATTGCATTATTTCTTTTCTTTCGCAATAACACAGATTGACTAAAAATTAGAATCTTTTTAAAGTTCATCATTATGTAGTATTTTTGCATATCCACAGAAATATTTTATTTTAATTAAATAATAATGTAAGGCAATTTTTGTGACTTGCACGGAAATAATTCTATTTCTCATAATGTAGGTATAAGATAAATTTATTTTTTTACTTAATTAATATTAACTTATTTTTTTCATTATGGAAAACTTTATGAATTTCTTGAGAAAAATTTTTTAATTTTCTAGTTCTGGTGTTTGTAATTTTTCTTTTTTTTGTTAATTATCTGTATATGGGAAATAATTTTAAGTTCTTATTTACATGCTTAAACCTGATCCCATTCAATTAAAAATCTTTTTTTTTAAATTTATGAACTTTTTCTAAAAATTTACTATGTAATAAATTAAATTTCTAAATCTAGATCATTTTTATTGAAAATTTACAATTAGAAAAAAATTACAATTTTTATAGATTATTTACTTTTCTTGCAGTCTAAATCATTCCCTGCTTTCTTCTAAAATTCACAGGCTTTGAGGCAGCTTAATCTTTCGAAGCGAGAAAAAAAAAAAAAATTTTAATCAAATTCAGAATTGGTTGAAACTCAAAGAATCCCTTGGTTTATCCAGTCAATAAAAACTCAAATTCACACTTTTATAATTTTTATAGACTAAACATTCTTCATCTGATAAATAGGAATTATGAAGATGAGATAAATTTTTTTTTGCTGACTGTATTTGCTTGGCAAATCATTCTTGTAAAAGAAAAATGTGTTCAGAATGTCAATTTGAGCATTAAAAGTAGACTTCTGGAGATTAAATCGTACCCATAAATATTCTAATAAAAATGATGGAAGAAAAAATATAACAGTATCATTTAAATGATCACAATTATATCATGAATAAAGAGAAAAATTTTTTCACTAAAATAGAAGAAATCAAATAAGGATTGGACTTAATTTTAAGAAATTCTTCAATTCTTATTGAAGAAATAAAAAAAGAAGATAATTGGTATCTTGATTTATTATAATAAAACCCTTTGGAATGCACTCAAGAAAATATTAATAATATTGCTTATATTTTTTATAATAGTAAAGAATTATAAAGACGACAAAATTAAAAGGACTTAATAGTTAAAATATATGAATCAAAATTAAATTTAGTTTGCAAATATTTCAAAAGACTAATGGTTATTCTAGGAGATTAAATCTATCAAAATAAAAAACAAGCTTTTGAGTAATTTTTATGAAAAATAATTTAGCAATAAAATACTTTAAGGACCGCTTTTATTAGGCTTGAAACATGGGGAGTATTTCTAAGTAAATGAACGTAGTTTAAATTAAGTAACAAATTAAATTATAATTTAAGATAGGTGCTATGAAATTTGATGAAAAAGCTGGTCTGTGGAAAGATGAAGGAAAATAATTGTTCAGAAGTATTTAGAATCTGAAATGGCTATTTTAAACAACATAGTTTTAGTATGAAATAAAATCATAAGGATAAATTATATACCTAAAGGATGGAACTATTCTTGGAGAGTATTTTTTTATTATATTTCTAATTTAGAGAAAATAGAGACAAAATGGTACCTTCACTTAATAATGTTTTTATTAATAGAAATTTGGAACAAGTAAAACACCTTTCTTGGATAGGATAATATAAATAAAATTATTAGAAGTAAGGAAAGTGGATTCCTATATGGAGAGGTGAAAATCTAGAAGCAGGAGGAACCTATAATGTTGAAGGAATAAAGGAAGGATAATGGAAAGAATTATCTTCAAATTATTGCGAGTTTTATTGTTCAAGTATTTAGTTTTTGCAAAGTTTTCTATGTTGGTGAATATATAAAAGGAAAGAAAGTTGGAAAATGGAATATTAATTTTGAAGAATAAATTATGTATGTAAGATTTATAAAAATAGAGAAGGAGGATTTTATAATTAAATTGAAATGAAATAAGGAAAATGGACAGAGTTAGGTGATAGTTTTTGGAAGTAAATTAAAAAAAAAATGAATTTAGTCAGAGCCAAATTTTCTTTATTGGAGAGTATAAAAAAGGATTGAAAGTTGGAAATTGGAATATAAATTATAGATATCATAAACTATATGATTAGAAAAGAATGTACATGATCATATTCAACCTTAAATAGTGGAGGAGGATATTTCAGTTAAAATGGTGAAAAAACAGGGGAATGGATTGAGTTACATCCTAATTTTTTTGTATCAAAAATTAGTTCTTGTTAAGTAACTTTTCATGGAACCTATTAAAATGGGATTAAAATAGGAGAGTGGTTGGCTATATTTTAAGAATTCTCAAATTCTGAAGAAAGAATAATGTATCCTTTTAATAAACCTATTTAGTGGAAGAGGATTTTACAATAAAAATGGATTAAAAATTGGAAAATGGATTGATGTAGTTGACAAATTTTGGATGTATATAAAGTTATTTATAAAGCTTTTGCTAAGTAACTGAAGTTGGAGAATATAATGAAGGAAGAAGAATCAAGAATTGGGAAATATAGACATCAAAATTCAAAAATGAAAACAATTCAAAAATGTAATAATCTTTAAAAATAATTATAGTGGAGGAGGTTCTTATCAAGAGGATGCAGGTCTTAAAATAGGATAATGGAGCGAATTACACGAAAATTTCTTTGAGTATAAAAATAGTTAATTAGAGAAATTGTGATGTAATATATTCTGGAGAGTACAAAAACGGAATAAGGGTTGGAAAATGGATAATCAAATAGAAACAGAAAAATTTAGAAAAATACAAAAAAATGTATAAAAGTATTCATATGATCAGAGGAGGAGGCACTTACAATTAGGATGGATAAAAAGTTGGAAAATGGATTGATTTGTTTGAAAATTTTTCTGAGTACTCTATTAAATAATCTAGTGAATACTAAGTCTTTTTTATAGGGGAATATTAAATGGGAAGAAAAATAGGTAGATGGAACATATCAGTTGTATAATTGAATAATACTCATTTAGAAAATTAGTATTTCATATCATAATTTTTAAAGTGGAGGAGGATTTTACAATGAGAGAGGTTTAAAAGTTGGAACTTGGGTGGAATTGCATGAAACGAATTGTGCCAACCGTTATTCTGAAAACTCTTTCAATATCATTTATGCGGGAGTATATCAAGAAGGTAAAAAAATTGGAAGATGGGATACAAAATATAGAGAAGAAGAATAGGATTGTTTTTAATTAATGTAAGGAAAATCATAAACGATAGAGGAGGCGGTTGTTATAATTAAAATGGAATAAAAATAGGGAAGTGGATTGAGCTAAATTTTGATTTTAAAGATAAATAAGGCAGAAATTGGGTTTTAGAGGGTGAATATGAATTAGGAGTAAGAAAAGGACCATTTGCAAAGAGAAATTGCTTAATCAAAAATGATTGATTGTTAAGAAATTTACTTATTTCTAAATTTATAATTGATCTAACCTTCTGTTGGAAATATATCTCACTTATGAAAACTTAAGAAAAGGCTTGACAATAATATTCTAACAGTTCATGAAACAAAATCTAAAAATATTTTCTTTTGACAAAAGCATTTAGTTTTCTCAATAACCATAAGTGATGAGATGTTGATATGTTTTTGGTTGTTCTTAAAATTTTATCCTATATTAATTGATGTATGAAAAGTAAATAAATAATATGATAGATTTTAAAATGATAGGAGAAAAGTACAATACCCCCCTTTGGTTTTTCTAAGGCAAATATTTAAATGTTTATATGTTTAATAATACTCATCTCCTCACTAGAATACCATTACAAGCATGGATTTCCTAATTTGGATAAAGGCCACAAACCACACAATGGCCTTACTGAGTCTCGATTTTTTGATAATCGGCAACACGAGCTAATTCCCGTAGACTATTCCAATTATATATCCTCCTAAGATCAATCCATAACATCCATCACTTATTAATTCCATTGACCATAGCCTATTCTAAATATCCTACCTAACATTAGTCCTTATCCAATTCAAAACAACTTTATGGAATTATAAGATTCACTCACATCTACTTACTATAATCTAGTCGGAGTAAACATTATATTATTTAGGTTCTAGGTGACATCATTGTTATTATTATTAAACTAACTCATAAATACTTCATTTAGTGTTGATAATTCAAATCCATAATTCGATAAAGCAAAGAAAAGTGCAAATGGTCTAATTTTAACCCAACAAAGTAAGTTTCATCTTAAATTTTGAGAGCATTAATAAACCTACCAAACTGCTCATCTGAAGCAAAACTAAATTATTCCATAAAATAAAAAAATAGAAGTGTAAGTAATTTTTTAATACTTATTATTAGTTATAAGGGGAGATATAATATTTCCTTCAATCTTAATCCTTACATTAATATCATACTTCTTGATGATGAATATATCATTTCAGTTTATTATAATATCTGAAACTTTTGAAATCAATTAATAAAAAATACTAAAAGGTTATAAAAATATCACTTTGAATAGAATACATTTTAATTATCATTAAATCTAATTGCCTTAAATTTTAGTTTAAATTAATTTTAGATATAATTTTTTTAATGTTTTAAATGTTTAATAATATTCATTTCCTAACCAGAACTCCATTACAAGAATGGAACTCCTAATTTGGGTACAAGGACTCGATTCTTTGATAATCCGGCCACACGAGCTAATTACCGGAGATTATTCCAATTATATACCCTCCTAGGATTTTTTAAATTATTGACATTTCATTTATATTTATTATAACCTTACTATTTATAAAATAAACCTTAAATTTTAATTATATTTTTAATACCAATCACTTATATATTAAAATAAAATAAGTAAATCTATAATCTAATATCCTATATTATTTAGAATAATGTTAATTAAGTAATTATATCGATCTATATTTTAATATCTTCATTTTAATTAATGTTCTTTGTTTAGATTATTATCTTAATGTAGTATCATTTATAATTAAACTATATAAAAATTAATTGATAACCCTTTTAAATGACATTTCAAAAAAAATACCC